ACAATGATGTGGAGAAAAGGTAGAGGGGTTAAGCCTTGTTATGCAGATTTTCTGGTTTTGCATAGCCTCAGGAAGGATTAAACCTGAAATTACCTCTCCTTGCAAGCCATTCTTATGCTGATTGATACCTCCCCGGGAAGGGATTCTGACAAATCAAAGGCATTTCTTATGCAGCATTTTCCTTGCCTTAGGCACTTCCTTCTGGGGTCCAAAATGACCCCAAATGCGACTAATGCTAGTTTTTTGATGTTGGTGTAGAAAGACACAGAAGCTGGAAGATCCACCTCAACAGTCTGGTACCTTCCTGCCCTTCTCATGCCACAGAGCACGACTACTTGTGGGCTCAAACAGGATTCTTTTCTTCCGGACCTATACAGTTGTGTTTCTTTTCACCCACTCTGCACCAAAGGGCTGCCAAAAGGGCATTGCAAGGTGGAAACTTGTAAATAAACTCCTGTAGGTCACAGTCACAAAGACTCTGCAAAAGACAACTGGTAGAAGAATTTCTCAGGGCCTGTCAAGCTGAGGAGAAGGGAACAGGAGCAGACATTCCCCTGGGAGAAGTGCCATGGCTCAATGGAGAGCCCTTGCTTTGCACCCGAGCATCTGCAAGCAAAGTGAGGAAAGAACTATGCCAGAAACCCTGAAAAGTCCATGTCACTCAGTGGCTGGGTTCACGCATCACACCAAGCAATCCTGGATTGTTTCCATGGTGCAGGGATTTTTACCTGTATGTGCCTGATAGACAATTAAGGGGTTCCTACTACAGCATGGTTTCCATCCTCCTTGCTCACTTCTTCCACTGTTGGCATATATCCCATCAGCCACCATGTCTGAAATTCAATCCCAGCAGTGGCACCTGCTGCCACCACTCTTCCTAGAGGACTGTATGGAAGCTGCATTCCTAGAGGACTGTGAGAACCATGATGCCAGGTTTGGATGATCAGGGAAACCATGGTGAAGCAAGGAAACCACGGAACAAGCCCTTGTTTCTTATTGTGGTTTCTAAAAACCAAACATACCATGCTGAAATACCATGTCAGAGTTTGGATGACATAACAGACCATCCGAAGCAGGAAACCACTGTGGCTTGTCATGCTGTGTGTTCTTGCACACTCTCTATAATCCTGGACTGTGATGGAAGGTGGTTAATCCCTGTGTGATTAAGCCTGAATTGCCCATCCAGGTAGCTGCTCAGGTGTGTCTGTAAGAGCCACAGGGAGGGAGGGACGGAGGGAGGGACGGAGAGACACAGGTATAGCCTCCTTCAGCACACCACAGGGTTTGCAACGCAGAAGGGACAGGAGAGCTGCCACTGCTCCTGAGTCTGGGCATCTGATTCTTTTCCATGGGGAATATCCACACTGTGAGCTTAAGGCAGGTGGGAACTACTGTCTTGCTGTCAGTCCTATCCAGAAGGACAAGCTCTTGGAACCCCAAAGCTTGTGTCTAGTCTCTGAATTCACTGCTATCTCTGCAGCAATAGAAAAATAGGCATTTACACAATACTCTACTCAACTGGTTTGGAGCCATTGGATTGAAAATGGCAGGTGGGAATGCTGGATCTGAGGATCCACTCAGGCAGTGGGAATCTGTTGCATTTCCTGGGCTCAGCTCCCCAGGCCTTTGTCTGCTTTGTTGTAGTCATTCATCTGAGTTCCTGGCCAGGAATCGAGCCCCACATGAATGCTGGGCAATCAGGAACCCTCTTCTGCCTCACGCGCCTTTGCCTGGACTGTGGGTGATGCAGAAGAATGATGCTGGTTGCCTGGCCTTTGCTCCACGAGCATTTGTGGACTTCCTTGTAGGATGGCTTCATTTTCAAGACAGGGACGGTCCTGAGAAGACATTCTACAACTGCCAGAGGGATGAATTCCATGATTCCCAAGGATTCCCTCAAGAAGCATGAGGTGTGCGAGGCGTGCAAGCCCTCGGAAGGTTTCGGAATCCTCCCCCTATTAGCATAACTGCAGACTTACTCCAAGACTGCACGAACTGCCTCCACCCCATCTCTCCTGCTTTCTAGGTGTGTTAACGTCGAGGCAGGGGCAGCACCTGGCATCATCGTCAGGTGAGTTGCCCTGCCCCTCCCCGTCCACTGCTGGGCCATCTTCTGGCCCAGGATGTGCCCACCTTGGCATAAAAATGAAATGGGAGCAAAGAAAGGTGGGGTGGCAAAGGCAGCCTAGTGGCATTTGCATTCGCTAAATAAGCCTGGAGGAAGCTTCCCTTCCCCCATTGCAGGGGGTGGTGGGGCTGGGAAACATCCATGCCTGGAGAGCTGGAAAGCCATTGCTGCCAGTCAGTGACTGCAAGACTGGGCTTGCATGGGCCACAGGTCTCACTTGGTATAAGGCAGCATCATGTGCTTCACAGGATGCTCAAAATGAAGAGAGATCCCTGGGTGTTTAGCATTTGTGCTCATGCCAGGCTGCACATGCTCCTGTTTGGTAGTGTGAGCAAGATCCTGTCATTCTGGCAACCAAAGGGGATTGCTCTCTCTCTCTCTCTCTCTCTCTCTCTCTCTCCCTTCCTTCCTTCCTTCCTTCCTTCCTTCCTTCCTTCCTTCCTTCCTTCCTTCCTTCCTTCCTTCCTTCCTTGGGGAAGTTGTGCACTCCAGCCCAGAGTGGCAAGCACCCAGTCCAGGCTGTGTTAGCATGGAGTGGGGAAGGGTGCAGAGAAAGTTGATTAGCAGCTTTATTGTAAAAATAAATAAGGAAAGGCGCAAAGAGTGCTCCTGCAATGGTGGTGTAGAGCAGGGCACTTGATCTCAACAATAAGAATACTCAGAAAAATAACCAGAAAAATAAAGCAGTGAAGTTAGACACTGGTGATGCCACAGACCCCAACCTCTGGTTGCCATGACCCCCATGCCATGATTTCCCATCGACCATTCCAAAAAAGCAAGGGAAGTGCAAGGGGGTGTGTGTGTCATATTTTCCCACAGTCACATTTCCCCAGTTCAAGAACTGGCAAAATGTGGCATTTATGTGGGTCCAGGATGCCTGGAACTCCACAACCACTTTATAAAGGAGAATACCCATGTTTGCATCATTGGAATGGTTCTTACTTTCCGGAGGTCTGATCAAAGTGAGCTGGAAAGACAGGATCTTGGACTGGTCTCCTAACTGGAAACACAGTCGAGTAGATCTTAAAGGCAAAGGCAAAAAGTCAACTGAGGGGGCTCCTTGGGGGCTGGGGTGCCGGGTCTTGCAGAAATCTTGAATTTTGCAATGGGATATTAGCACAAACTACATACAGGAGGGTGCGGGTGTGGAGGATGAACGTATACGATGCAACCATTTCTCCATTTGTTAAACCTGCCATTGTAGTTCAACAGGAGGGGCACTTGTGTCCCACATTCTCTGCATCCACCAGGGGTCCTCAGCCGTGGTGCGGCCACTTCCTCTTGCACGTCTGTCGTGTCTTCCCGCAGCCGGGGCACGGGTGCCTTTCTGTTTCTTCATGCTGCCATGAGGTTGCTCCCCCAGAGGCCAGCACCCACCACCAACAAGCCAAGGTGACAACCCCTGGTCTCTGAGTGGTCACCAAGTTCTAGTCAGGCTCCGCTGCATGGCTGCACAGAGGCGGTGGTGGTGGGATCACTGGGGGGGGGGTCCACTCCCCATGCTCTCGACACATGGGCTGGAGTGGATGCTTTGGTTGATTTGATTATCAGCTGCAGGGCAGAACAGATGGGCAATGAAGATGCAGAGTGGCGATAAACGCTAAGACAGTCTCTCTCCTCTCTCTCTCTCTGGATCAACTCAAAGGCACCATATCAATGCCGCAGCCCCAGCATTTCTGGCAGGGATGATCATGGGCAAAGGTGAACCAGGAGGACCACTGGTTGGGCACTGGTGAGGCTCCTGTCCCTGGAGAATGCTGCAAGGGGGGGGGGTGAGGGGAGAGAGAAGGCTGAGTCCACACCAGGAGGAGAGCCAGCCCCGTGTCCACTGCAGCTGCGTGTCCATCTATGGCTCTATTCACAATGTGCTTTTCTGTACTGAAAGGGAATCCTCAAGACAGCTAAGAATGTAATAAAAGCAGCGTCCATCAAACCCCCAAGAAAAGCAAAAGGCCAACCAACAGCAACATTAGTGAAACAGGAGACACCTTGAGAGCATGCACAGAGGGTGGCCACTGGATCTGCCAGGGCAAAAAGCTCCAGCAGGAAGGCCTTGTCTCTCATGCCCTTTAGCTGCCCCTCAGGCACAGAGGGAACACACAGCAGGGGCTGTCCTAAAAATAAAGGGCGACAGCAGGTTGGTAGGGTGGGGCAGGCCTTAAGTCATCTGAGTGGGATGATTTAACTCAGTGTCCTGTACTGAGTGGAGGTTGGACCTGTTGGCCTTCGTGGCCCCTTCTCACTCCGCTATTCTCTGATTTTATGGTCAGTCTGGCTCAGTGTTGCCTACACTAATGGAAAATAGCCAGGATTTCAGACAGGGATGGTTTCCAGAACTGGACTGGAAATCTTTTCATGCAAAGCAAGTGTTCTTTTGGATATTGCCTACCCACTAAGCTAAGTCCCTTCCTTTCAGCCTACAAGGCCTGGGAGCTAGGCATTGTCCAAAGTGTGGAGTTCAGCAGCCAGAGAACATGGCCATCAGTCCAGAAATATGGACTTCCCGCTATGGGAAAGCTCTGGAAAGGCTAGCAGGGCGGCTTAAGAAGGGGCTTCATGTCTAGTACAGCACCGTGCATGACGATCTGGGCTTTGTACCCCAGTGGACAGGCTTGAATTTGGGAAATTTGGTTTCCCCTTTTGGTTCTTGGGGTACACAGGGACCTCAGTCCCAATTAGCTCCTACAATATGGGAATAACAATATATCCCATAACTTTATCACCCTGGTAAAGCTGGAGTGAGTAAAAGTGCAGCAAACACCTTTCATGTTAAAATGCAGGATGCATGACCTCTGTCCCACCATGGAACTGGGCACCCTGAAAAAGCACACCGCCGGGTGTGCTTGGTACTTACTGCGCAGGGGTGCGAGTGCTATACTGCAGTGCACACGGTACTGACGGCGAACTCCGCCTCGTTGGCCATGATATCCGTCGGCTGCAAGTTGCGGTCATACATTGGGTTTTCAAACGTTCCTCGGACATTGGTGTTTTCATGGCCAGCATAGCCATTGAACGGCACCTTCGGTCTCCTTCTATACCCGATAGGACCAAGACACGTTACAGAAATCATTATCTCCAGTATGTGAAATCTTACTGAATATAAAGAATGAGAAATCAGAGTGCATTAATAAACAAAGCAAAGATCTCCAGTCAAAGGCGCCTTGGAATTCTTGTAGGAAATGGGGAAATCAATAAACAAAAGGAACTTGTTTGGAAAAGTATTGTGTAAAACTGTTAGCACAGTTACATGTACTTCCAGTGAGCGTAATTAAATTAGTGAGCTTCTGCTCCTTGGATAGCTACAGGATTCTTTGTATCACTTTTTTCCTAAATGGGGGTGGGTGGAGCTCTGTGTAGCTATTAAAAATTAAGAGATAAAAATAATGCAAAGAAACCAGTTAAAGTTACCCTTCCCTGTGGAAACAGAAGCTGGCTAATAAGAGGCAATTAAAGGATAATTCAGACCTTTTGAATTAGGCTTTTATTATGTGCTCACCATTCCTCTGTCACAGTGGTTTACAAGTGCCTTAGATATGCTGTGACCTTTCAGGTTTGCCTCTGGTTTGTATGAGCACTTTTGTGGAATATTTTCAAGCAAGGAAAATGTGATTATTATTTCCACCCTGAAACAAAGCGCAAGTCCCACTAGTCTAATTGCGTTATTCTTCTATGCCACAGTGCCACCTACAGGTTATGTTGCCGAACGTACAGAAAGACATGAGAGTGGAAAGCTCTGATCTCAGTTCTGTGAGAAAACTGAACATAGGTACAGCGAGTTAATCACTTGTTCACTTATCCCTACCTGTGTTGAACAGGGGCCAATAGATAGCAGGAACCTGGAATCAGGACACTTTTAATGAAAAGGGCAGGAACCCTCAAAAGACTAAAGAACAGCTTACTAGTTCCAACTAGACAAAAGTGGTTGTGACTACTCTGTTTTATTGTGATGAATTCCCTGCCACAAATTACTGGGACGTGTCCAGTGGATTCAGGACAAAAGGAGAGCAGATCTGTACTGCAGTGCAGCTAAATATGAATGGGTAAGTAATACTCGAGCTCATCAAACTTCTTGAAACTGAGTGCTGGTTTGATCTGATGTCTCTATCTGTTTCAAACTTTATTTTCTTTTTTCATGAACATATTTTCCAATACTTATCCAACAATTCTGTGCCTCTTGGAAGTGCACACATTCTTGGCCCATCAGTTAATGCATGCTTGTGTGCATTTGTTGACTGTGCACAAGTTTCTGCACCTCTTTTTCAAACACATATGTCTTGTCAAACACATTATTCTTTTTATACAACTCACGCTGCAAACTCAGAAATGTGCACACTCTGGCCTTAGACTGTGTTGGAATCCACAGTTCAATTTAGAAGGTGACAGATGAGTAAATGCTGATCAAAACCAAATGGAAACACGTTTCTCTAGCATTTTCCGATCATGAGTGATTTTAAAAGGCCTTCCCATGGATGAAATGTGTATGGAATGGAGTCTCTGTATTCAGAAGCCTGGTAACTTTGATGATCAGCTGCTCAGGGGCAAACCACAAGAGGCAGATAATGCCACCTTGTTCTGTTTGCAAAACCTCCCTGGAGGCATCCGATTAGACAGAAGAGTCTTGCAAACAGAATGCGCCTTGTTTTCACAGCAGGGCAGCCACACTGATCCATGCTCTTTTGCAAGATACGTAGTTTCCCATCCCGAGGAGAGTTCCCCTCACTGCTTTTCATCATCTGTATCCGTCATTGTATTTTGACACATTTGGTTGAGCCAATAAGGTTTTTTTGGCATCTTTCTGCTCCCAGCTCCCTCCACCATTTGTAATCCTTGCCAACATGTGAAGAAGAAGCTTGCAAGCCCCTGAGCATCTCCTGCCTGCCTGTCCCAGGGCCAAACTAGCTGTGGCAGAGAGGCCCAGCCGTGCTCGCCGATCGAGAGCAGCAAAGCAGCCGTGGGGGTGTGGCTGGACTGACTCCTAGCCCAGCCATCCCCAGCCAGGTGCCCACCAGGTGTGCTGGACCACAACTGCCAGCATCCCCAGTGAACATGTGCAGTGCAGCTGTCTTAATCTTCAACCTCCTCTTCCCCAAATCTGGTTTCCCACCGACAAGGGAAAAATATGGGGCAGCATCCTCTTTCCCCCTGCAGGGATAAGAGAGACGTGTGGGGCGGCAGTCTGGAGTGGACACACAGCAGCAGTGGGGCGTGTTTTGCCTTCTCTCCCTCCACTCAAACTGCTTAAAACTAATCGAGAGAGAAAGTACTTTTCTTTTCCCAGATCTTAGTCCATTGCAACAAAATCAACCAAGAAACTTGTGACAGAGTTAAAGACCGAAGGCGCACTCCTCTGCATGCGTAGGCAGCACCCTCACCCCGCAGTTATTCCCAGCATGCCCAGCTGCTTCTTCCTGCCTTCCTTTCACAGCCAGGCAGCCACACCAGCTCCTGCTGTTTTGCAAGATAATCTCCCTCCCATGCGCATGTGTAAGATGGGGCTTCTGGTCGCTCGTTACAGAGGCTTTCAGGATGGCAGAAATCTGTTGTGCAGAACTGGAGAAAATTGGGACGCATCCCAATAGTTGCCAAAAGAGAAAGTGAGTCTCATGATGTGGGAAAAAGTGCTCACTTCTTTAAGAAGCCCAACATGTTTTGGCCCAGAATATTATTTGTGGCCTTTTGCCTGGAGAATTCTTAACAAGCTTAGCAAATACCTGCCTGTCTTCAAATGCATGAGAGACCACAGAGTTCACTCACAGCTATTTAAGGATACCCCAGAGGAAGACTGTGAATGGCCTAACCTGCCAAAACAAGTTGGGCTTCTTAAAGTATACAACTTCTTTCCAGCATTTTGTCACTCGTTCTTTTCTCTTTTTTTAAACTGCTAGTTTTTGATCACCCGTCCCAACGTGGTGTTCTGCTGAAGTGTTTCATGGTTACTGTCATGGCTAGGGATGATGGGGTGGCAGTCCAACATTTCTGGAGGACACTAGGTTGAGGGAGGCAGGGTTGATGCCATTGCAGTAGCTTTGCTAGTCAGTGTAATGCCACAAGTTTCTCTGAGATTTCTGCTTTCTTGCCTCCCTCACCTGGTCCAGGAGCTCACCTGTGCTTGTAGAGATAAAGCACAAACCCTGCAATAATCAGGGCGATGAAAGGCACGAGGATAGCGGCTGCCACTGAACTGCTGTTGGATGCAAACGGATGTCCCATTGACTCGGAATCCCGCTCTATGATTCTGCTGTCTGGAAGGGGAAGAGAGCGTTAGTCCAAATATCGCAGGGGGCAGTGGGCTTTCAGTTCTGTGATCTTCTCCTGTCCCACCCATGATGGGGCCGCCAGATCTCCATCTGCCAAGGTTGTCTGTTGTATGAGATCAAGCTCATTCAGTCCCATTTAAAGGCAAACTTTTATGAAATGCTGTACTTCGTGTGCATGCACATTTTTGTGTGAATTTTTAAATGTACACATTTCTCTCCCAAAACTTTGGAATGCTGAAATTTGACTTGGTACAGACTTTTTGCTAACATGAACACCATGGGCGACTTTTCCCCCAAATGGAACTGCATCAAAAGTATGCAAAAAGGCAGATTTCAGAACTCTGGCAATGCTGCATCAGCTTGGGGAAAGGCTTCGGAAGGGCAGATATGGCGAACCCATGAATAATACTCTTAAAGACAAGCAGGCCTCAACCAAAACCACTTCTCATATATCCATAGTGTTTGCCTACTGCTTATAACTACACTAAGAAACTCCAGATGTAATCCCTGGCATTACTAATTCCAAAATTTCTGGCAGGATTATTGGGAAAGGCAGTTGAGAAAGCAGACAGCTAGAAATGCAAGACTACACTGAAGTACTGGCAGAGTTGTGAATATCCCCCCCTCTCTCATTCTCTCTCTCTCTCTCTCACTGTGTGGGTGCATGTGCACGTGTGGTTGTGGTGGTGGGGGATGTCCTGGAGGCAGGATTCAGCTTCCTAAGGATCTTTGCATTCATGTCTTACTTCTCTAAAAGCATGCTTCTAGCCCTTGTTATAATAATTAACCTGGAAGAGAACAATACTTGGTGAAAACAGTGCTAGAGAGATAGTTGAATATAATTTTTAATAGCTAGGGACTGTTACTAGGAAACATGAATAAATTAAGCACACTAATATTTAAATGCAAGCAAAATAAGGAAATAATATGCACATTTGTTCCATTTGCATAATGTACCAACATACTCACATGTTTATATGAAAGGAAGTCAAGGGAAGATTTTGGAGTGCATCGTTTCTAAACTAAGGAGATAGGGGTGAAAGAGAAGGAACAGTGCTTCTCCCCACTGGGGCTCTTTCTATTACAGGGGTGGATCCCATTTCTACAAAGCTGCTGGAGCCACATGCCTTTAGTCTTGGCGTGTGGGCCAAGAATTATTTATTTATTTATTTATTTATTTAAAGCTTTTATATGCCGTCCCCATTGCTACACAGCCTGGGGGTGGCTCACAACATAAATAAAACAAATATAATAACATTTACAATTACAATTTACAATTAAAACTTGGAAACACACTGGCTGCATAATTAAAACTATAAATATTAAAGATGATTAAAATACTGTTTGAATAAAAAGGTCTTGGCCTGGCACTGAAAAACAAAAAACGATGGTGCCAGCAGACCTGTCTGGGGAGCGCATTCCACAGATGGGGCGCCACCGCAGAGAAAGCCCTCCTCCGGGTACTTTGCTTCCTAATATCTCTTATGGAGGGCTCCCAGAAGAGAGCCCCTGCTGCTGATCTCAAGGGGGGGGGGGCAAATATGGCCACAGGCTAAAGCTGACTAAAGCTGGGGAGGACTGAAAATCCACTCCCACAATCCCGCTGTTACCAATTCATATTAGAAAGTTTGTCTATCCACAAATAAGCATGCAACTCAGAAGCAGGCCTGACTAAAACACTCAGTGGCACTTCCCAATAGCATTTCTACTCAGATGTAGGCATGGGCATCAAATCTACTGATAAGTAAGCAGGGCAAGCCACTATATTAATCAGAAGTAAGGAGGCAGGATCACTCAGCAGTACCCCAAACAGCATTTCTTCTGTTGCAGAAGTGTCTGCATGACTCTCCAAATGGAAGCAGGACCGCAACTCAGCCTCCTCTGCCACAGAGGGAAAAGCTCTTACCTCTGATCAGGAGCTGATCTGACAGAAGTGCTTCCACTGCTAAGTACTGAGATGGGTGTCTTTTTCTGTGCTAATCAGAGAAAACCACCCATCCCCAAGAAGCTACTGATGAGAGAGAGAGAGAGAGAGGCTGGTGGGCATGAGGGGAAGCTGGGGACTGCCCAGGACCATGGGCTTGAGATTACCTGACTTTGCTTCATTAACTTCCAGTTAAACAAAGTTCAAAACACATTTGATACTTCACATATTTTAAGATTTAAAAAACCCTCATAGTTGCTTGGATCTATGCAAATTAAAGAAAGAAATGTTGGCTTTTAAAACAATCTATGAATCAATTTTTAAAAGATTAGAGAGAACTCCAGATGGAAATGTAGACAGCTTACCTAGCCTCTGGAGGCCAAACTGCCCAAAACCTTTGCCATGCACAAAACCCTGGTAGACGAACGTCCCGCTGGAGGATTCTGGGGTGACCTGCATTTTGGGAACATGAACAAACCTTAGAACCCAAACTTTCTCACTGCTTGGATATTTTGGCTTTGGAAGCAGAATGATTTATCATAGTTGTCTCACCTTTTCTTCCAATAGTGCCTGGCTAAATTTAGAATTTTGCAATAATATGAATCAACAGTCCTAAAATGTCGGAAGGACAAAATTGCGAAGCAAAGGGGTGGGACCAGCAGAGGATCACCGCCAGGAGATGCTGAGCAGCAGGTGGTTCAGTCCAGAAATGAGTCGGGCTCCTACAAAGTACCCCCTGAACCCTGAAACCCCTCCCAAGGGGCAGGATGTTTGGTCAGCGACTCTGAGGAGGCAGTTTGTGCTGGACATCCCAGGGCCGGCCAGCCAGCCAGCAGGGAAGCAAAGAGGCTGACAGGGCGGGGTGCCTGTCCTCAGCCACTGTGTGCCATGCTTGCGCTGGGCCGTGAGAGACAGGATTGCCTGCCTCACTGGCCAAGGAGGGACACACGGAGCAAAGCTGTGTGATCAGCTGGCCTGCAAGGGAGGCCGTTTCCTGGCTGCTTGGGCTGAGCTCTGCTGTCCACCCTGATTCTGCCCACAGAAAAGGCCACCCACTTTTTCAAGCAGTCTTAATTTCTTGCAACCTCCTTAATGGCCATCTTGGTCCAGAAGAATCAGGGGCCAAACGCCTGCCCAACCGAAGTATTGCCACCTAAAGAGGGAAGAAGGGACCCAGTGGGTCACCCAGGAGGGGATATTCCACAACTAAACCAATCCACTGAGAGACTTGACTCTTCGCTAACCCTTACACGGAAGGACGTCACAACGACTGGCACGCAGGCTCTCTCAGGCAGCGCACCCCCTGCACTCCAGTGTTGCTGCTGCTGCTTTCCTATCAGCCGTCATCACTTTTTCCCAAGCTCCCTGCCATCAAAGGACTCCAGGAAAATTATGGAAGCATGTGGAGGGGGTGGTTCAGAGGAACTGATTAATACGCTGGCTTGCAAAAGGACTTACGTGTCCATCTAAAGCCCACTTGTCACTTTTGAATTTGTTCATGAAGATCTCCACTGGCCCTGTAATCTGGTACACCTGGAGAAGGAGATGCACATCTTCCCTTTTGTAAATACCTGGAAAGAGAAGGTGACAAGAGGGTTGAACCACAAGAGTTTGTGGGCTTGCCCTGCTAAATGGAAAAGGGGGAGGATGAGATAAAGAGGGCACACTGCAATTTGGAAAGGCAGCAGTGCAGTGAACTTGGATGCTCTGGGAAGCTGTAGGGCTCTTCCACACACCAGGTGTGTACCCAGTAATGTGACGGTACACTGTGAAGTGAGGGAGCTCATCACACCAGGCCCCACAGCCACAATCCAACGGAGGTCCAAACATTCAGCTAGCTGTCAACAAACCAATTTTTGCTGCTTTTACCTCTACCAGGAGCAGGGCCATTGTAAAGGTGGGTGATAATTCAAGACCAGATCGTTTAGGAAAAGACAAACCAAAGGAACAAAGGAAAACAAAAGTTGCTTTGGAAGATAGCTCCAAGCAGCATCTCGTTGCTGAAAAATTCATTGGCATCTCCTCTATTGCTACAGGTGGAACTGGACATTCTCATGGAGTTGGTCGACACCATCGGCATCCCTGCTGATCAAAAAGTGCCAGGGCTGCTCCGTGGCTCTCGCAACACCAGTATCTGCGCCCAGTCCATGTGGTGCCCTGCAGGAGCTGGGATGTTCCTCCACATTTGATGGATTAGGTGGCCTGAGGCTGCAGCAAGCGACGTTAAAGCATTTGTGCTGGTGAAAAGCCCTGAGAAGATGGCTTGCTCCCAAAGGCTCCCTGCAAACTGGGAGAACGGGGGAAGTTGTACCCGCACCTTCAAGTAAGTCAGTGCGCAGGGATGCGCGAAGGGACAACGAGGGGAAAGGGGCCTATCTGCACTCTCCTGGCCAGGGACCCAGTCCCAGCTGCTCCTGGCTGTCACTTGCCCCTGCCTAGCAGCCCCCACCCCTGCCTTGTGTCTTCCAAGCAGCCGAGGAAAACGGGCATAAAGTGCTCCCAGGTCCTGAGGCAGGAATTCTACGCCACATTATCATGGGGTGAAGCCCCACCCTGCGCTGACACACTGGGGCAGTGGTTCTCCAAGATTCCAGGCAGGGCTTTTCCAGCCAGGGATCCAACTTGCGCTGCTCCACAGCTCCTCCCCCAGAGCTGGCGCGGCATCTGTGCTCTCACCTGCGTGCTGCGCAAGCGGGTGCTGTGTGAGGCAGCTCCCCACCCGCGTGCGAATGGACAGAGCCTCCCCCCCCAGAGGAATGGGGGCCGCCTCACCCGACACTTGCAGCTCCACGCCACTGTGGTCTGTGAGGGTGGCGTTGACTTTACTGGTGACCGGATCAAAGCTGGTGACGGAGAGCATCGCCGGCTGCTTCTTGCCCAGGTACTCGTAGGAGCCTTTCCAGAAGGAGTTCCTTGCAAAGACATCTGGAGGAACTGAAGCAGTGCAAGGTAAGAACAGGGTGAAGAGGGTGCTTGGGATGGGTGAGACAGTTGGTTAGGGGCTGGGAGCAGAAGCATGGCTCACGTCTGAATCCTCTCCTTTCCGCATTTTCCCAATCTTATGTTTATCTTTGAGAATGTCTCCAGTCTTCAGTTTGGTTCACCCTGAACTTGGAGATTTGTTTTTTTAAATTGCATGACCATTCCTAAGCATTTGTGCTTGTTTTTCTTTTCATCTTTGCATTTCACATGCTTTTTTGCCTGATGCATCTTTGCGAGTATAACGCATATTTGAACATTATTTTTTCTAATATATGCTTTCTTCCTGCTGTGCATCCCTGCTTTATTTGTTTTGCAGGAGACTGTTCAGAGCAGGGCCTTTCCAGTGGAGGGGCCCATTTCAAGCCACTCTCTTCCTAGAGAGATGGGATATTTCCTTCTTTTGTTATTGACTAATTTAAAAAAATAGGATGGCAATTCTAGCTGTGTCTGATTATAAACTCTGTCAAGATTTTTCTGACCACTTTTTAAGGCTTCATGTCTATTTGACTACAAACTTTGTGTCCCTGTTCACCAGTGGCATTTGCAGGGGGATTTCTACAATTTTGAAACACAGGGAGAGAAAGATTTTATTTATCTATTATGAGATTCCATCATTCTCCCCCTCCTGCTCTCAGTCTTATCCCCACAACAACCACCCTGCAAAGTAGGCCGGGCTGCGAGCCTGTGACTGGTCCAAAGTCATTCAGGCAGCTCCGTGGCTGAGCAGGGACCAGAACCTGGATTGCCCGAGTCCCAGGCCTGTGCTCTTAACCTCTACCCCACATCGTCTGTCAGGGGTTATTCCTTTTCTCACCTTGCCTTTCCTTTCTTTCTCTAAGAATTATAATTTTGTCAACTCTCATCTCAGAAGGTTTTTTTTGGGGGGGGGATGATGATGATGATTATGCTGGGTCTTACCACCTTTGCTTATATGTAGGGCAAAATAGGGCTTATTTATTTAAAAATATTTCTTTCCCACTTTTCTCTCACTTGGGGTATCCCTGGGGAGGACCTCAAAATATAGTTCTGGGTAAAAGCAAGATTCCCCTTCCCCTTCAATGTGCCTTTGTCTGTTAATTTACCTTGCATTTAGATGCTATTCAATTAAAATGCCTCAGCTGACAGATGGCATATCAGTTAATTAATGGCCTCCTGATGTTGCCTGCGGAGGGGGCAGAGGAGTGTCTTGAGCCCCCACTGCCAGGTCCCACAACCCCAGGACTGGGCCTCTCGAGGCTGAGCCCCTTCCTGTCCCCCTCAGCCAGCATGGAAAGAGCCATCGTGAGTGTCCCCGCCACCCCAGCCATGACTGAGCCTTGGAGGAGGAAAAATGGGCTGCCAGATGTGGGGAGGGGAGGGGCTGGGGCCAGGACACAGGCCAGTTCCTGCCGATGCCCCAGCCCATCCCTTCTCCCTCCCTGGTATGTCATCTGATCGCATGCAGAGAGAACCAGGGTGCAAGGGGCACTCCAGCAGAAATCGGCACTGCCCGGCCTCATTCAAGGCAAGAGATGCAGAGCAGCCTCTGAAGTTTGAGGCGGGGGCACCAGGATTGGCCCTAATGGAGCGAGTCTTCATAAGTCAACCCAAACCTGCCCAGGCTTGTGGGCTGGGGGCTGGTCTTGTCTTCCACGGCTTTATGCAGCTGATAGCAGGATTTAATGAGCACAAGGAATACCTGACACTTTGGGAAGCGGCGGGTCCCTTGCGGTGCCCACGGGTCTCCCACTCGGTTGAATATCCGCTGGAAAAGACAGGAGAAGGAAGAGAGGATGTGAGTCTCCAAGCCGAGCACCACAACCTGGAGGGACGGGAGAGGGTTTAGCATGGAACGCCTCCTCCAGGACTGAAGAGGACCAGGCTTGGCTGGGCCCAGAAAGCACCCCTTGAGGAGGGGCAGGGCCACTTCCCTGGAAGGAACTGCAAATCTATACACTGTGTATGGTGGAGAGGACAGAGCAGGCAAAGAGAGAATCGCACTGCTGGAGGGTCACCCAGGAGATCCAAGCTGTCTGGGACAGTCACGCAATACAGTTAGATTTCAGGAGAGGCACGAGTGATGGATTCCACCCACAGCACATAGTGAACTCTCGACCTGTCCCAGCTGGGGGCACTACCAGCAATCCCAGTAGGAGGTCCTGCAGAGGGAGACAGCTTCTTCTTTATTTCATTCCTACAGCTCCCCCTAGCAAAGCTGCCTGGGCAGGAGGAAGGGAAGTAGGGCCATTCTGCCAGCCATTCCTCATTGGTTCAATCAGCACCAGAACTGGGCCTGGAAGCAGACGGATAGCCAACCCCAAGGCAGGACCAGTTTGCCCTGACTGTTCACATGTAGGCTTCTCTGGGAGCCTTTCTGGTTGAGGATTTTAAAAGCACCTTCCACAAACAGCGGTGAATAAATAAAAGCATTCACCTTGCAACAACTGGCCGGAATGGCTAAAAGGAAAGGAAAGGGGGTCTGGCAAAGGGGTCTGTTCCCCGAGAGCAGGTCTGCCTATAGATCTAGGCCCACCATGGAGCCAGCATGCTCTAAGGGGGCCTGTCTCTGATTCAGCCCTGCCTGGGAAAAGACAGTGGGGAGGGGGGCTCTCTGGCCTCTTTATGGGGGCCCCTGGCTAGCCTCCTGCCGCTGGTCCAGGGGCTTCTTTGGACTGGTGTAGAAAGGCAGCCTGGTGCCCTGCAGAAGTTTTCAGATACATGCTGGCAAGAAAGGCGGGAGATTGTCATTCCAGCCATCCAGAGGGCGCCAAGAAGAAATGGCTTAGAAGCCTTTGGGGCAAGGGAAAGCATGTTCTGTGAAAGGGTGGCTGGGGCAGTGCAAGACATAAATGGGGAAAAGAGAAAGGAAGGGCTGGGTGGCGGGTGAGGAGCGGGCAGGCCCCCCTGCAGTCTGCGTACCGAGGCACACGGGGGGCTTCCCTGTCCAGCTCCCATCAGCTTTGCAGGTCCTGTGCTCGGATCCTCCGGTGAGATAATAGCCGCTCTGGCAAGAGTAGATCAGGGTGTATCCGAGGGAAGGCAGGTCCAAGGCACCCACGTTGGCATGGGAGGGGGTTTCCGGCTCCTTGCAGTTGTGAGCTGTGGAGACATGGCAAAGACGCGTGGCCTGCTGGCAACTTGCGCAGATGTGGGCGCCACAGAGGCAGCCGCTCACGTGCTTCAGTGGGGATCGGTCACCACAAGGGGCAGGGTCTCCGGTGGTGGTGGGGGGCACGTGGTTTGCTCACATGTCACAGTGCTTGCTCACCAGGGGAAGAAGAGGCCACCCCGAGCTTTGCTGCACTCCAGCGCCCCCACGATGCATGGCCACAAACGGCATTGCGTCAAACCGCCAAGGCCCGCTTAGTTGACACAAGGGGCCAGTGGGGTTGCTGCCCTGGGAAAGAGCCTTCATGGGGTGGGGGGGGGGGCACAGATCTCTGGTCTCGGAGTGCCAGAAAGAGCAAGGCAAGGCTTGCTGGGTGCCTAGGGGCTCACGGGGTGCCTTCCTTCAGCCCTGGCAGGCCAGTTCTGGGGCAACTTGGCTGCCAGCCAGACCAGAAGTAGAGGATGAGGGAAAGGCACACATGTCCTGCCCCTCCCCTTTACCTCTGCTCTGAGAAGAAGGGCAGCCACGCAGGAGTGCTGGGAGGGCCATGGGTCCAACACGGAGAACACGCTCCACATGCCACAGGCTCCGAGTTCAGTCCCCTGCATCTAGGGATGGACTGCGACTGCCTTCAGTGCAGACCAGCCTCCAGGTACTTTAGACTTCAGCTGCCATCACTGCCAGCCTGCATGGCCCGTGAGTAGGAGCTCTGGGGCTCGCAATGCAAAAGGGTGGAGGGGGCGCCGGTGCACTGACGCTGCGACGTCCGCCAGGCAGGTTCTTATGGGCTGCTTGCGGACCACCCTTCCCTGCTGACCTGCTTTCCTGCCCACCCTCCTCTGCACGGATGACTTGCCGGGTTGCCACCTGATTCCTCCAGACCAGCAGCCCTCCCTCCCTCCCTTCCTTCCTGGAGAGGATCCAGTCCCTGAAGGCAGCCAGGCAGCTTGCCCTGCTGCGTGCGCTGACCCCCACTGGGCTGCCCCACAGACGCCAGCCGGGCCGGCTGCGGAGGACCAGGCCGCGAGACTCACGGATGCAGTCTGGCTGCACTCCGCTCCACGTGAGGTTCGGGAGGCACGTTCTTGTGGTGGAGCCTTGTAGCAGGTATCCTTTGTGGCACTTGAAAAAGACAACGCTCCCAACCTGTTGCAATGGGAAACAGAATCATAGAAAGCACAATGCAGCCGCGCCGCAGACTCAGGACTAGCTTCGGTTCCCAGCCTTCTCACTTTTTAAAACCATCCAAGTTGTCTGCCTGCCTCCTCTGCACCAACTTCTCTCTCCCCGCACTTCTCTTTCAGGTGACTAAACGCCTGGAGGACAAAATTACTAATATTTCAACTCCCAATGCATATGTGCATTTTACTGCCAGTTCTGGAACTGTACCTACTCAGACCCTGACGTTCTCTTTGGGGGTCCTGCTCTGGAAGTCTCCTCCAAACAAAGTGAGGCAGGTGGCTACCAGAAGAAGGGGTTTTTTTTTCCAGCTGTGGCCCCGTGGTCATGGAATGAGCTTCCCGAAGAAGCCTGCCTGGTGCCTACTCTGCATTATTTTCAGCACCAGGTAAACCCCTTTTAATATTCCCAGTATTGTAACAATTTAACTTTTTAATTTTAGTTTTCATATTGCATTTTATCCTGTGCCACTGCCATGCCTCTATGAGTGCGAAGATTTCAAGAGAATATGCTACCCTGCTTGTGCTCAGGGTAGTGAACATTTGCATGATTTGCAAACAGAAATGAAATTCTCATATTTCTTGAGTTAATTGTAGCTCACCTAATCAAAAGAAATGGTTAGAGTAGCATTTGGTACACCTCTGGTTTAACAGCAGAAGTCAGAATTAATACACTGAATCCCAGGATAAAGGCTGATGAATTAGCAACGTTGCAGGGATAATAATTTTAGAAATCTACTTTTGATCTTATGCCCACAAAAATGCATTATTAATTGCTTCTTGTGATTCATCTTGGTAAGTAATAAGCTTCGAGAGAGAAAAAGGGAATGAACTACATGGCCGGGGATATACAGAGTATATTAAATCCATTCCATTTGCATTCCATGAATTGATGGCATCTTTCATTCCATCATAGGCTCATTGACAGAACTGAATTTTTTACCATATTTTTTCTACTTGGGGTAGTTTGCATTAATATTAATTCTCATTAGTACTTATGCACACTTGCACAACTGTGTAAATACATATGAATGCAAAGGTGTGTCACTGAACACTTAATGCACAGGAATGCATGGCACCACTGACCAAATGCATATTACTGCTAAAGTGAGCTACAAGAAACCCATCCTTAAACTGAAAAACAAGTCCGCAAGTCTGCAGAACCTGCCCAGCTCAGGAGAAGTCAGCCCTCAGCAGAACCTGCCCTTGCAGTCGGAGAAATCTGAAATACTCTGAATCAGTTGTAGATTTCTCCTTCATAGCTACTATGTGCAGCGGGACATGACAGTGTGGTGTAATGGTTAAGAGCATGGGGCTGGGACTCAGACGATCTGGGTTCTAGTCCCCACTCAGCCATGGAGCCAATGGGGTGACTTTGGGCCAGTCACAGACTGTCAGCCCAACCTACCTCACAGGGTTGTTGTTGTGGGGATAAGATGGAGAAGGAGAATGATGTAAGCTGCCTTGAGCCCTTTGTAGGAAAAAGGCAGGATATAAATCGAAAAATAAATAAATAAAATAAAATAAATGAGTCACTACATTATGAAACTGCATTAACGGATGAGCAACTTAAGAGAGGATTTGGCTGTCCAGTTCCCAGGAAAAGCAGTTGGGCACAAAAGTCCAGGAATATGGAACAGCAGCAAAGGGCCTTCATCCAAGCCTTGCTTGCTTTGGGGAGTGCATGCTTGGACCAATAGCCCTGTGAAGACCACCCTCCTCCTTCCTCAGCTGGCAGCCATTCCGGGAGGCTGTCATGGGAGGGGGAGAAGGGGACCTGTTCCACCAGGCCGGCTACAGGGATTCTTCTTCCCTTCTTCCTGCCCCATTCCTTTTACTCATCCCACATGCCCTTCCAGATTGCAGGCCTGCCAGCAGAAGCTGCCATGCGTGATTGGTTTTAGGCAAGCGGCATCAGGAGCCCTTTTGGCTGAGGAGCAGCAGATGGCATAATTTGAGCAATTAAATAAATAAGAGGCCGGCATAGCCACACCCCACGATGGTACTCTGGAGAAGAAAAGAACAGTGAGGAGCAGCTGCTTGGTGCCAAAGGCATGCTTTTGGTTTGCACTGCTGCCAGTCGCCAAAGTCACTTCGGTCCCCATCCCAAATCCCCCTTCCCTGCCTTCCCTCTTTTCACACAGTGGCAGCTTGATGCCTGCAGGAAGCACAAAAGCAGGCTGTGAATGGAGCTGCTCCTGCTCGCTGGGGCTCTGAACTACCCGATATACCGAGGGGTGGTTTTTCTCACCCCGGGGGCAGCAGGCAGCTTGACAAGAAGCCACGGGGGGCGGGGGGGCTGCTGGGCCCGAACCTGTCCAAACCCATTTCAAAACGTGTGCAGTTGGAGGCCCCACCCTGTGGAAGCAAATTCCATTTTTTAGCCCTGGACCGCGTGAAGAAGCACTTCCCTTTATCTGCCCTGGACCTCCACCCATTCAACTTCATGGGATGTCCCCACTGGATCCCAAAGGTATAAGAAAGGGATAAAACCAAGTCCCGGCCCTCAGTGAAGAGGACTCCATGTGGGTGGCCACAGCAGCAGCACTCAGTGTGTCTGCATGCACATTTCACAGTGATGGACTACACCCATCAAAGGTCCAACTTGTAACAAACTCCTTTCTCCTTTCCCCTCACCCCAATTCCATCATAAACTCAACATTCCTCATTAATGATTCCATGAATTGGGAAGACAACTCAGATTACTGATGGGGAAGATCTCCTTCTTCCAGAGCAAGACAAAACAATGGGCGTCTTATACAAAGGTAAAGTTCCTTATAGGATTTGCTGCCACAGGGTGTGGCGAAGTTTAAATCAGACAATCTGACAGTGAATAGGGCCAGTCAATGGTTAAATGCAGCCCCGAGGTTCAGAAGCAGCCTTGGAACAAACCTTGGGAGAACAGCAACGCCCGGGAGATGCTTTTGCCTTCCCGCCCTACTTAATGGGACCTTTGTGGGATCAAAGCCACCTGGTGGCCCCATGGTGGGGACTGGGAAGCCTTTGGCCTTGTCTAGCAGGGACCTTCTTGTTTCTGCTTCTGTTCAGTCGCGGGACTCATTACGTGGTTGGCAACTGGTCCAGGAGTCAAGAGGAGCAGACATGGCCAGGTACTTTGCGTACAGAGAGAAAAATGAGCTGAGAGAACGTATTGAATGTTTGTGTGGAGAGGGCTGGGGCTGAAAATGATACCTTACCTGATAACCTTGGGAATTGTTCTGTGTTCCAAAAAGGGGCACTCCAGGATCTACACATGTTGTAAGAGTTGCATCTGAAAAAGGAACACACAAATGTGGTGACAGTTTAACTAGCTTTATTCAATCCACACACTGGAGATACAGCCCAGTTCCACCAGCTGGGATTGAGATTAGATTTTCACAGGAAATTCGTGAGCTCTCAGTTCCTGCCACCTGGACACATCAGCTCCCACAATGAGGGATGCGGATGATGGCTTAAACGGAATTGGAGGAATGCGATTCTGTATTTTCTTTGCACACAAATCTGGGTGAGGAGCAATGGCTTGAGTGTTCCCTGCTCCTGAATGAGTGATGGCTTCAGTGGAGAGGAGAGGTGGTGGCTCGAACCATGGCAGCTTGGGATGGGTCGCTCATGGTCTTGAAGGGAAGCCTTGATCTTCTTACCTATGCAGCTGGGCTGAGTTCCACTCCACGTCCCATCAGATTGGCAGAACCTCCGTGCTGACCCCACCAGCACCAGTGGGGGCAAGCAAGAATATGAGACAGAGGAACGGTAGGTAAACCCCCGGTCTTCACGTCTTGCTTCAGCTGGGATCCCTGGATCACCACAGAAAACAGCTGCAAAAGAGCATCCAGACTACCTTAAGGAGGGGCGGTTCACTGGAGTAAAAGCTCCTGACTCCCAGTTCATAAGGATTTCATTTCAGTTTGCAAATCACTGGAACTTGCCCTGTTTGCAGTTTATGAACCTGTAATTGTGTTTGAAAATTGGAAGTCAAACTGAGCTTTGATGTGAAGTTTGGAAATGTTGGCAAGCTTAAAATCTCCTTCACCATTTGCTCGCACCTACTCCCAAGCTGAATCTAATACCTCATCTTACACATGCGTGCACACGGCCCAGAGCAGTGATTTTTAAAGAAAACCTGGCTGCTAGCAGAAGGGTTACTCTGGCTCCCTTCTGCCTATGTCTGTCTTGATGTCAATTATTGTTTAATTAATTTCTTATCTTTCCACCATCTCTTGGCAGACAAACTGAGGGAGAACAGAAGGCAAGCTTCTATTTTTCACTTTTGCTTCTGCTCAAATTTAAAACAGATCTTCATTCGTGGTGGCAAATCACCATGTGGTGCTGTGCTGAACAGGAAAACCTGTTTGTTGAACAACAGGTGGGATGAGGTGCACCAAACGCAAACTGCTTTTTCGCGTCTCTTAATGGCTCTTGTACAGCTGCCAGCTGCCTTGGGAAAATGGGCACCTGAAAGCCCAGTCTAGAATCTCGGCCAGCGAAACTCTCTCTGAATGGAAACGTTCAGTGTTTACTTAAATACAGATGCCGTCCTCTTTGGAGAAAGGCCTATCGCCAACAGCTTCCTGGCCTGTGTCTGTAAAGAGAGCTTAGCTCCCCTTTCACTGTCAAAATGAAGGGTGAGTTTGTTGGCAAATATGTTTCCCTCTGGTGGAAGAACATGAAGCGTGGGAAGTGGGGAAGAATTTGGGGTAGTCCTTTGGTGGGTGGTGGGGTCTTCAGGGAACGCTCTGAGCGGACGGTGAGGAGAGGTGGGGCACCCACCCCAAGGTGGTGCTCCAAGCCTCTCTGCCCCTTGCAAAGGCATGACTGGCAGCTGCAGGGTTTTGAGGTCCCCCAGGCAGGGCACCCTCAACAGCCCCCCTTCTGCCTTCTGGGCCCTGCCTTCTCACACTCTCAGCAGTGCTACCAGCGGGTCAACAGGCAGGACCAGGGAGCAAGCAGGTAAGGGGTATCAGCCTCTGTCCAGGTAGAGATGGGAGAGCAAGCAGTTTGCAGCGGAGAGGAGGAGGAGGAGCTCCAGGGGCTTCTTCAGGGGCCTCTGCTGGGTTGGGGGCCGGACCAAGGAAGCCTTTAATGGCATCCCTTTCCCTCAGGCTGCTGTTCCCTGGGCTTCAGTTGCCATTTGGCACCATGAGCATCCCCATCTCTCTCCTGAGCCCTCTGCAGTCGTAGCACCCATATGCGAGGTGTGTCCAGAAAGTAATGAGCATGAAGTCCCCACACTCGAGAAGAGCTCCGTGAAGGGAGAGGCTGGCCAAGATTGCTTGGGGTGGGGTGCCAGGCATACGTTGGAACACCGATCAGTTGCATTCCAGCCCTGCCAGAGTCGAGACGTTCTCTTTCGTGACACCCTGGTCAGGTGCCTCGTATTAAGAATAATGCAAGTGAGTCTGGAACAGCGGCATGCGATAAAATCGTGTGAAACTGGTAAAAGTGCACCAGAAACCTTGGAGATGGTGAGGGAAGCTTATGGAGAAGCTGCACTGTCATCTGCACAAGGGCACCGATGGCATGAGTTGAGATCAGCTCAGCTTGGATCCTTCATCACGACAACACACCAAGTCAGAGTGCTTTGGCTGTCAGAGTTTTGGGCTGAAAAGCACATCACGGTGCTTCCCCATCCACCACACAGCCCCGACTTGGCTCCTTGCGACTTTTTCATCTTCCCAAAGATGAAGAATGGTCATCCACATTTTGGCAGTGTGGATAACGTCCAAAGATGCAGGTCTCTGAATGCCATCCCACTTGAAGACTTCCAGGAATGGAAAAATCACTGGAAGCATTGTGTACACTCACAAGATGCATACTTTGGAGGAGAAAATGTTCATTTGTAAGAATTTTCAGTACAAGAATTTTAAAAATATGATTCTCATTACTTTCTGGATACACCTTGTATAGCAATATGAGTGCTGTAACCATTCGCTCCAGGCCGGAAGGGGCTTTCAGGCCATGAGCCATGTCGTGGGAGCTGAGTATCCTGCACTAGCCAGTGAGAGAAGGATGTGGGCTGGAATGCTTGCACAGAAAAGGTTGGACATTTCCCCCTTAGAGTAGGCAGGACAATCCTGCAGGGAGGGCGGCCCATTGTCCCGGGACCCCTGGAAATGACCTCTTTCATAGCTCTCAGCAAAGACAGACAAAGCACTTACTTCTTACCCAAAGGAACAATAGAAGCAAGCAAGTGTCCTTCCCACAATTAGCATAAGCCAGAAAACTCATCTTTCCCTTAGACACAGGCAGAGATAGATTGTGCAAGAATCAGGGCCAAGAGGTGCGCACACTCTGGACACACAACCTCTGGACACTCAAGCTCTACACACAAGCTCTGATCTCAAGCTCTACTGCTGCAGGACAGAGAATGGGCTCCCACATCCCTGCTAGTCAGTCAGTCAGTCTCTCTTTCTCTGTTAGACAGGAAGCTCTTTCTCTCTTTGGAAATATAGAGTTAAATAGGAATGCAGCAGGTTTATTTGCTCTCTGGACAACATCAGGTTAAAAGCTTGTGCCTGCTCTGTATTTTTCCGGTGAATAAAGCTTCCTTTCATTTCCAAGTGTTGTGTGCGCCTGCCTGAATGCGAGACCAGGGCTTGCTCTGTCTGGCCACGTGTGCTAATCACCAAAATATCTCAAACCTTCCAAGACCACCTGGAGGGCACGTGCCTCCTTTGGAGAGTGGTGCTCCTCAAGATTACCTGGCATAGCGTGGGATGCTGCAGCTTTCGGGAAGCAGCAGTGCTTCTGTTGCACTGGGCCTGCGCTAGAATGGCACTGGCTTTGCCTGAGTGGCCCTTGGGCTTCTAGGCCCAGGCACTGTCACGGTCAGGAAAAGTGCAGCCGTGACGGCTGCAAAGTACGTCCCACCCGATTTTGCGCATCCTCTTTGGCCTACAGCCCCGTGAGGGTGGTCTGCTTACGAAAACACTGCGGGAGTTCTCCGCTCCAGGAGCCGTTCCCTTCACAGGTCAGGACAGCAGGCAGGGAGAGCTGATATCCTTCGAGGCAGGCATAGCTCACGCTTGAGCCCCAGCTGAAGTCTGAGCCCACAACTTTCCCATTGGGGATGGCTTGTGGAGGCTTACAGATGATGGCTAGGCAGAGGCAGAGGAGAGAGGAGATGGTTAGGGTACACGTGGCCCCCGCATCACAGAGGGCAGGCCTTGAATCAGGGATACGGAGACTTTGTTAAATTCATTCCATCCATGCTTTGCGAGTGGTCAGGTGTCTGTCTGTCTGTCTGTCTGTCTGTCTGTCTGTCTGTCCAATCTATCAGATTTCTATCCCACCTATTAGCCAAAATGGCTCTCTTGGGCCATCATCCACTCATTGATGGAGTCAGATAATAACATCATCCCCCCCTTTTTTTTTGGAATGGGTGAATGAGAATTTCTTTCTGATTTGCAAGTCCCTCCTAAAATTAAAAAAGCAACAATAGAAATAAAGTCCACAAGTGTATATGATCCATTGTCTTTGTTTTTTTGAAGACAGACACATGTCAAATCCATGTAGATATACTGAATCACAGGCAACATCTAGGAATTGTCAGCAAGTCTCTGGTCCAGTCCCAAAACATTTGGCAAAGAAGGGAAGGCTTCCAGAGTACAGTCTTGAATCCAAAATGATTTAGTTTTTATAAAGAAACATATTCTGCATTCTTTCTCCCACAAGCTGTTACTCAAAGTAGCTAACAAGTTAATCAAATAGGCAGGCACAACCCCCCAAATAATCCACCATCATTAAAAGATCCCCAGACTAAACTCGGCATCACGGGCAAAGAGTCAAAATCAATCATAAGTTTAAGAAAGTAACAGCAGAATCATAAGTTTGTCTGTCTGCAGCTGTGGGTGGAAGGTAAATGCAGAGGAAGGAGACCCTCTCCCTCTTGGTGTGGGGAGTGTCACACACATGGGAACTCTTCCGAGAGTCCCGCTAGCTGTCCCAGGAGGCAATGGGACACGCAAAAGCGCCACACGCGCTGGTCTTGAAGATGGTGGATTCACATGCAGCCCACTCCGGGCATGCGCTGAGTGGCATGGGAAGAGCATTGCGCATGCTCCGCCTTACCAAAGGGCAGGACTGTTGCCAAGCAAGAGTCCCCAGAGCCCAAGAAGAGAGCCTTGTGCAATCTCAGCAGGGCCAGCAGCCACATCTCCCTCGTCTCGGCCCACTGGACGTGTCTGGCCGCCAGAGCAGCAGACCTCAGGGAGCTCCTGCCACCCGTATTTCGCAAGAATGCCCCCCACATCACACTGGAAAGCAGCGTGTCCCAGGCTCCAAGCTCCAGAAATGGAGGGGATCAGAAGTAGAGCTATCCTTGCCAATATCACTGGAAGTCACACTGTAGTGTTTAAGAGTGCAGGGCTGGGGCTCAGGAGAGCCGGGTTCTAGACCCCACTCAGCCCTGGAGCCCTCTGGGGGACTTTGGGCCAATCACAGACCCTCAGCCCAACCTACCTCACAGGGTTGTTGTTAAGACTGAGCGAATGAGGAGAATTTTGTAACTCACCTTGAGTTTCTTGTTGAACTCAAGGAATGAATGAATAAATAAATGAACAAATAAAATTCTCTCCTATGACTTGTCTTGGTTTTGTTAATCACCTGGTCTTTCTCTGCCAAAACATTTTGACTTCAGAAGTGCTACCCTTTTCTTCCCACTTGAGAAAAAGCAGGGCCAAATACTGCATGGATAAAGGTTAAAGGTAAAGGTAAATGTTTCCCCCTGACATCAAAGTCCAGTCATGTCTGACTCTAGGGGACGGTGCTCATCTCCATTTCCGAGCCGAGGGAGCCAGTGTTTGTCCGCAGACAGTCTCCGTGGTCATGTGGCCGGCAGGACTAAACACCGAGGTGTACGGAATGCTGTTACCTGCCCACCGAAGTGGCACCTATCTACTTGAATTTGTATGCTTTCGAACTGCAAGGTTGGCAGGAGCTGGGACAGAGTACGGGAGCTCCCCCTGTTTGTGGATTTGAACGGTCGACCTTTCTCTCAACCAGCCCAGCAGCTCAGAGGTTTAAACCACTGTGACCCTGCATCCCTCATACTGCATGGATGCAGGGGGGGCATTTCTCTGGGGCATGTGTTACTGTAGCATTCGTGTAGCCAGTTGGCCATCTATAACAACTCGCAATGCGGAGACAGGAGTCACAGCGTGAATCTGCGCTCAAGGGGAAACCAGGAAGACGACGTGGAATAGACTGTCGGTAAAGCCCAGACCCCAAGGCAAGTACATGCGCTGCCATGCATGTTCTCTCTCTGGTGAATGGCTTATCTGCTTCCATCCACAGAGTTCCAAATGCCTGTGGAAAGTCTAAGATGCTATCTTTAGGCACGGGGTGCTTCTGAATGCGGATCATGAAGAAGCCCCACAGAAGAAGGTCTTACCTTTGCAGACGGGTTTTGTGCCATTCCAGATCCGATCCTTGGTGCAAGTCAAAGTGGAAGCTCTGTCTGACTCCATCATGTAGCCAGGAATGCACTGGAACATGATGCTCTTGTTGAAGGCAAAGTCGTTGCCCATCCGAATGCCATTGGCCGGGACACCAGGATCCCCACAATTTATCACTGATGAAGAGGCAGAAGAGATGGGTCAATTAACTTCCCGAAAAGCACACGCTGTTGATATTTGGTCTCCAAATAAAGAGAAAGGCCAAGCAAGCAGAATCACACCTCAGCCCTTAAAGCAGGCCAGTATTTTTCCTCTGTTGCAAGTTGCAGTCAGTGGAAACAGAGAATGGCTATTGACCTAATTTCTAAACACTGTATTAGGTCAAGCTCTCTTACCCAACAGGCACATGTACAATTTTGCAGCAGCACTTCCAGACTGCAAAGCTGAGGTGGAAAGGTCATTTCAGCTACTTTGGGGAGTGGGACTTTACAGAGTGGAATTTGCTGGCCTTCCCTTGCTGTCTTGTTCTGCTGATGCCTCTCTCCACAAAATGTCCCCTTTGGAGTCCACACAGGGCAGGGGGAAGTTGGCAGCCACAAACATTTGCAGATTAACCCCGGTCTCCCTCACCCCATCACATCCTTGGGAATGGGGCATGCTCTGTGGAAAACAGAGGGCCACCATGAACCGATCCAAACTGCAGAACATTCCCTTTGGAAAGGGGAGGCATCACTTCAAGCCCGCTCTGCTCCAAAGTTGCATGACCTTTTCCAACAGTTCCAAAATTCAGACCAGCCTTACTTTTGGGGCCTATTAGAAATCGGAGAAATAGCACTGGACAAACCATTCTGCACCTTGGCCTCCTCTGCACGAGCCCCTGCTGGGGCAGGGAAGTCTACTCTGCCTGTGCATCTGTTGCATTGGAACTGGACCGAGACGTGGCAGAACCTCCAGCCCACAGAGGAAGCATGTGAACATGTGAGCACACGGAGAGGCACATGGGTGCCCCTGGGGGGCAGGCAGCTCTCACTGCTTTGCACAAAACTGAGCCCCTCTCCCCACCCTGACATAGACAGGGTGTCACGGGGCTGCAGAGTTTTTGGAGACGCAGATCCAAGGGCAGCCAAGGACAGTTTCTTTAACCCCTTTGTGTCCCATCTTTCCTTAATAGGCCCAATGTAGCTAAGGAGTTGAAAACCCAGCATTATGACATCAGCTGGAATATTTCAACTGAAAGCAAAGGTAAATTCCTATAAGGGCCAAAAACAAAAGGTCTTAAACAAAAGAAACACAAAACATAAAAACAGAGTGAGTCAGAAGGGGTCTTCTGAGCCATCTAGTCTGACCCCTGGCTCTAGCCAGCTGCACTCATGCAATCCCTGACATGTGGTTGTCCAATCTTTCCTTGAACACCCTCACCAATGGGGCCTCCACCACCAGCCCTGGAAGCCCATTCTATATCCTGGAGGTCCTAACCATCAGGAAGTTCTTCCTGACATCCAACCTGAAGCCTGGCTCCCTGATATTTGCCCCAGTGGAACACATCCTGCCCTCCACTGCAGGGAAGAACAGGTCCCAGCCCTGCTCCACATGACATCCCCTCACATACCTATAAGGACACCGTTGGAGTCTCCTCTTCTCCAGGCTGAAGAGACTCAGTTCCCTCAATCTCTCCTCATATGTCCCAACCTGGCCACCATTCTTGTGAGCCTGTGCTGAACTGATTCTAACCTATCAATGTCTCTCCTATAATGTAGAGCACAAAACTGGATGCAGTACTCCACTTGTGAACACACCAGAGTCTTGTAGAGTGGTATCAACACCTTCCTAGATTTGGAAGCCACACTTCTGGCTATACATCTGAGGGTGGTGTTTGCTTTCTTAACTGCCGTGTCACACCACTGGCTCCTGTTCAGCTTGCTGTTGACAAGTACCCTGAGATCCCTTTCACAAGTGCTGCTCTCCAGCTGCTTGTCCCCCATCCTGTACCTGTGACACCTATTCCTTGCGCTTATCCACATTGACTGCCATCCTGTTGTCCCCTGCCCACTTCCACAGCCTGTCCAGATCCTTCTGGACCTGGATCACCTGTGCCCTTGTTGTGGCCACTGCCCCCTCTTTGGCATCATCTGCAAATTTAGTCCGCAGACTGGCTATCCTCTCTCCATGTCATTGATAAAAAGGTTGAACAGAATCGGTCCCAGAACTGAGCCTCGGGGGCTCTGCTCGTCACTGGCTGCTATCCTGATGACTCCCCACTGTAGTCAACAGTAAAGGAGCCACTAAGTGAAACAACAGTTGGACAGAGATTGCATCAAAATTGAACAACAGAATGAAGGATAAAAGCTGCAAGCCCTGAAACATCTTGTAACACTAAAGTCTTCCTATGAATTCAGAGAGGCTTTTGCCACTCAGTAAAAAGTCATTGCAGAGACAGTCGAGTTGGCTCCTCTTGAGAAAGAATGGCACCCACAAGTGTCTTCTCCTGTTCAGAGCCTCAGAAGTGTGTACAAAGACAAGGCAAAAGGCCAGCAAACACAACTCCATCCACCCCATAGGTTTACACAGAAAAATATGCAAGGAGAACTTCCGAGAAGTCTCAACTTTACTGGCTCAAAGTTCTCACCTCGCTCTGCCACATCTGCTCTCTCCAATTTGTGGCACGAATAGCCGATTTCCAGTGAAATCTTTTAAAAATTGCTTTCGTTTTGGTACAACCTTTCTCAGAATTGCATTTGAAGCAAACAAACCCCCAACTGTTGAGCATCAGAAGATGGCACCAGGAGTGCGCTTTGTTGTCAAGGTGACAAGTTCCACAGCAGGAGGCCCCTGCCAGGCCCAGAGTTTCTGTCCCAACAACTCCCCTTCCTCGCTGTGATCACAGTCTGTTCAGCTGCCCGGTGAGAGTGAGCAGTGGCAGGAGCAAGGGGAGTGACTTCAATTTCTATCACCCTTGAGCTCCAAGTACTGGTGTGAATTGTGGCCAAGAGAAAGCAAGCAAGGAAGCAGTAACAGTTTGGACTGATGCACCTTTTGGATCTCCACAAATATGCTTTTGATTGTCAGTATACATTTTATAGTGGAGTGGCATTGTCTCAAAACTCCCTGTCACAAACCTTACCTAATACCACAACTTAGTATGAATCTGTGCCTTCTAAATTGCTCCAGATTTATCCAAAGCAGAAAAAGGGACAGAGAAGAACAAATTGTGTTTCAGCCCTCAAAGAGAGTTAACACACTTGAACAGCATTCGATTGGGAGCTTGATCAGGAAACATCTGGATTTCCATGGGAATCCCCCTGACATTGTGAGAAGCTGAGCCAGGGTAAAGGCAGGAGGTATTGTGAGCGAGGGTTACTCCCTTCTCACACTCAAAGCCACAGGCCTTTCTCGCACAATGTTCTTTTTTGACCAAAGCATTTTCCAGAAGCACAAACACCCGGAAGGGATCTCTGGGCATGGTCAGAGCAGTTCATTGGATGCAGACTTCTAGGAACTCTCCTTATGAGCCTGTTTGGGCCTTGTTCTTTCATGGGGGGGGGGCTTTTGGAAGTGAGCAGGCCTCCTCTCTGCTCACTGATCCTCCAATTGGGCTGCCTTCCTTTGCTGATGCTGCTCCAGGGGGTTGAGAGCCACGCACACCTTGTCCGCCTCTCAGGAGCTCCCCTGTTCCAACCCCCCCCCACCCTGAGAGCTGCGCCTCTGGGCTATTCCCAGAGGCTGCCTGAGCACCAGGGGAGCCTGGCCTTGAGAGAAGCACCGGCGCTTTTCTCATCTCAAGGTCTGGCCTTTGCCCACAGTCCAAGCCCCAACTCTCACGCCTCTTCTTCCCCCACCTCTTCCTCCTGAGAAGGCCAGCCAGCAGCCCCAAAGGAGGCGCGCCCAGAGCAGCCCCCTTCTCCCTCACAGCAGGCAGAGTGAGCAGGCGGCTGCGCTGCCTCCGATCGACGCCCGAATCGCCTCGGTGCCCTGTGAGCTGCCCTGGCGCACGAGCTACTCACCCATGCACTCCGGGCTGCTCCCTGTCCAGGTTCCGTTGACAGTGCAGTGCCTGCTGAGGACGCCCGTGGAGTAATAGCCCTCCCGGCATTTGTATATGATTGAGCTGGAGAACACCAGGCCATCGTTGAAGACCACCCGGGCATTGCTGGGGGTCCCGGGGTTCCCACAGGATATAACTGCAGAGAATGAGCAAAGAAAAGGCCAAACAAAGAACTTCAGAATCATACAATCATAGAAATCATAAAATTGGATGGGGCCATGAGGACCATCAAGTCCAGCCCCCTGCTGTTGCAGGACACCGTCACACCATCCCACTCAGAGGGCTGCCCTGCTTCTTTTTGAATGAATGTCTCTAGTGTGGGAGAGCCCCCCCACCTCTCCGGGCAGCTGGCCCCACTGTTGTCTTGCTCTGACAGTGAGGAAGCTTCCCCTGATGTTCAGTCTGAATCTGGACAGAAGATACCCTCCGAGTCAGCCCAGTGCTGGGAATAACATGCAGAGCTGCTTGAAGTGCTGGCCTGGTAGAGCCTGCCCAGGATCCACGCCCCAGCGGAGGCTCAAAGCCAGCAGCTGCTTGGAGTTGGCTCTTCTCCTTCCCACTCCAACTCGCCTGCTCCCTGCCTCTCGCTCTGGCCCAGACCACAGCGGGGTGAGGCAGATGAGCAGCAGGTGCCACACGACCACCTGCTGGCTGGCTCTCGCCCTGTGAAGCAAGAGGGGTCTCGCGTGGCTGGGAAAGGTACCATGGAGCTGGAGCCTTAGCCAGACGCTCTCCAAAAGCCCAGACCCAGCAACAGCCATGGCATCACTTTGCCCCTCTGGTGCGGTCTGTCACAACTGAAAGCAATTCTCTGAGTCAGAACAAGAAAGGCTTTGGCCAGCCTGGGGATCCTTCAGCCAATGGTGCCAGGGTTCAAAGCCAGGGCTACCTGCAAGCAACACAGCTCCACGACCTCTGAGCGGAAGCCCTTCCTCCTTCACCGCAGGTCTATCTAGCACTGTTTAGTCACAAAGGCAGTAACTGCTCTCCAGGATATTCAGCAGGCTTTTCCAGGCGTGCAACTCAAAAACCCTTTTAAATTAGACCATTGCAGGATATGTGGAGCTGAAGCAAGACAGAGGCTCAACCAGAAGCGCAAATAAACAAAACAGGGGGAGGGGGAAGCAAATGGGTTTATAGGAACAGTCAGGATTCTTCATTTCCTGGAGGGTCCTGGGGTCTCCCCTTGTCTCAGCCCTGCATAGCTATTTGGATAGTTTGCATTTTTCATGCAAAGTTCTCTTCCACGCTGGCCCTTAGCATTGCATTTGCAGGGGGTGGGGGTGCCAGTTCTAGGCCTCAGTGGGTCCTGCAGCAACCTGACTTTACTTCTCAGCAGACACAGACCAGATCGCACTGCCTGAAGAACAGATATTTCTGCAAGAGGCTGAAGAGGATCTGCCTTTGTCTCTTCAATTAAATGCATGTATTCAAGAGGCTTATTCATTCTGATCCCTTTTCTGAATTAATGACCCCCAGATCTCCTTTATGCTTTGCTGATGGCTGAATAAAAAGCCCGAAATCTCTCCCTAGCAAGACGCTGCAAGGTGTTTGGGTGAAATGCGGCTTTGGGATAGGATGCAGTGAGACTCGCTGGGCTTCCCCTGAAATCCCTGCTTCTGAACTGGCCCATTCACATGCTATTTAATGTAAAAAGTAACTTATGTTTGGGGTGGGGAGGGGCAAGAACAACACGGAGCGCTGCAAATGACCCTTCATCAGTTATATCCCAGCAAGTTAGCCAGCCTGCCCAGAGCTCAGCGGGGTCCGTTTCACATAGGGAAAACGGCTGTCTGTGCTCAGCATCGCCCTCCCTTTTGCCACGCTGAATGGGCTCAATTTCAATAAGAGCCCCACTTGGAAATCCAGGCATCGGTGTGGGGCGGCAATGCCAAATTAGCAATGGAAAGGGCAATGGTGAAAATCGCAAACTGCTCACATGGGAAAATCCCATGAGGCCTGTCTGCCCGCCGTCCCTGCACTGTTGCCCCATTTGGGCCTGCTGCTGTGGCAAAAAGAACAGGGAAAGCTTTTGCCTTGGTTTTGTTGCACTGCGTTCTTGCTTTAGTGCCTGTTTCCATTTTTAAAAACACTGGACATTAAAGCCAAGGGAGCCCATTTCCTCTGTGTGAAGAACAGGTGCTGGCTATGAGGCAGCCTGTATTTCATAAACCAGAGATGCAGCAAATTTCTAACACAGAGAGATTAATTAACTTGTTTCATTTCAAACCATTTGCAGCCTTTGAAATACTGAATGGATTAAAAAAACCCCGAAAAACCTCTTTTCCCCACTGAATTTTTCTGATTATAGGAAAAAAGAGACTTTTCAAATTAATAATCCCACAAGGGAACAGGCACTGTTGCCTTCCCTGACAGATAGCATTTCCCTGCTGAATCCCAGGCATCTGAGAGAATTCTAAGAGGTCTGCACAGAGAGAGAGCAGCAGGTGTTGCTCTTGGAGAAAACGCGCCCCCTCGAGCCGGCCAAGGGTCCAGTGCTAGCAGGAGCAATTCACAAGTAACTGCAGGTTGCCCTGGGATTGAGGCTTCATTAGGGGTTGATGAAGAACAGGTGTCTGTTGGTTTTTGGCCAGGATATAACCAGTTCATACCTTCCAGAACAAACATGGACTCAAATGAACACTTGATTGAAATCCATGCACTTCTGAGCTGCAATGTGATTTGCAGATTTAAAAAAAATCATTCAAAAGCATGTGTTGAGTGGAAAAAATGTACATGAAAAATGCAAACTTTTAATATGTTCTCAGCATACTGGGAGAACCAATGGGAGAAGGGTGCTATTTTTCAAAGATGCACGCAATTGATGCATATATTTGGAAATGCATACATGAAGATGTCACATAAATTTTCCAATGAGAAGGGGAAAATAGTGCAATCATCTAACTATTGATTGTACTATAGCAGGAGTTGGAAAGAGCTTTGGAATGGAATTTGGAAAATAACATCTCACATACATTTCACTTGTTCTCACATCTCTAGATGTCATGCATGATTTTGCCCAGAGATTGGGGGTCTAGATTGATAGAAGAAGAAACTTCATTGGCCACCCCAACTGCTACCAAAGACCAGCAATTCCCCCTGAGCACTCAGACAGAAATGCAAGTGATGGTTAACCAGACAGCTTCAAGTGGTCCATTTCTGGGCAACAAGATGCAGAAAAATTAGAAAGGGTCCAGTGGGGTGGGGTGGGGGACAAAAATGTTCCAGGGTTTGGAAACACTGCCCTGTGAGGAGAGACTGAGGGAACTGAGCATGTTCAGCCCTGAGAAGAGAAGAGTGAGGGGGACATGATATCTGTCTATAAGGACTTCAAAGGCTGTCACAAAGAGGAAGGTCAAGATCTCTTCTTGCTGTGGGACATGGAATAATCAATTCAAGCTGCAACAACATCAGGAAAAACTTCCTCACTGCTGGAGCAATACAACAGTGAAACCAGCTGCCTAGAGAGGTGGTGGCCTCTCCCACACTGGAGTCATTCAAAAAGGGAGTAAACAGCCATCTGAATGGGATGCTGTGACTTGGTGTCCTGTACCAGCGGAGGGGTGACCCCTATGGCCTTCTTGGCACCTTCCAACTCCACTCTTCTATGATTCTAAGTTAAAACTCTGCACCTTTGAATTCCTGCCACCTCTGTACCTAAGAGTGACAGCAAACACATTTTCCCTATTGTGGGGTGGTAATCAGGAGATCTGGGTTCTAGTCCCTGCTCAACTGTGAAGCTCCATGATTTTGGACTAGTCACTCACTCTCAGCCTAACCTACCTCACAGGGTTGTTGTGAGGATAAAATGGATAGGAGGAGAAACTCGTAAGCCACCTTGGGTTCCTTGCGAGTGGAAAAACAGTGGGGTATAAATGTTCTGTGATGGTGATGATAACAATAGAACCAGTAATCATAACAATAGCGTTGCGTGTTTCCTGGGCTTTCTCTATCCTGCCTTCTAATCTACTTGCCTCCTGGTGTAACCTGGACAATTTCTAAAACAGATATTGGAACTGCCACATCTTGTTTTCCGAATGCTTCTCCCCATAAAAGGTCTCTGCAAGCAGACAACTAGCACTTCATGAAGAAATCTGCTTAGCACACTCCCTCTGCCCATTCTGCTAGTTTTCTGCATGCAGTGCATGTTGTTCTCTGCATGTGGCAGGGGGTGGGGAGAGGCCAGTTTGGGGCCCTGCTACTCCAGCCCGGAATCTGTTGCCCCATCTCACCGCTCCTCTCCTGATTCTGCTGCCCTGAGAGACCCAGCCCTGGTCAGCGAAATAAACCTGAAAGTGTCCTGAGGCATCCTCAGGATGTCCTTTTGTTGTGTGACTTGCTCAGTCGAAGAACATTTTATGTGCTTTGTACAGCCCTTCTCCTTCAGTGCCTGACAGATACGTTTTAAGTGTTTGTTTTTCATTGCATGGCTGAGTGTGTGTGTGTGTCTCTGTGTGGAGGAAGTTGCGGTGGGGTGGGCTGCTCTTGCATTTTCTACCCTAGTGCCAAGAATACTCTGGGTTCTCTGCAGCTTGGGGCTACCTGCTCATTTTCTGGCATACAGTAAGTAACTCCAGCCCGCTCCTCGGCTGTGACCCATAAAGAAGAGGGTCCTGAAGAGACCTCAGCATGGGACATCTGAGCCCTGGATTCCCCGAAGCGGGTCACACGCAGGCAGCCCCCGGCAGAGTGCTGGATGCACCATTCCTTCCCAGCAGTGCCATTCTGAGATGTCTGACTACTGGTTCTCCAAGGAGCGTAGCCTTCCCTTCTCCTTGTCTTGAATACAAATCAAAGGCGGCCATAAACTACACATTATCATGAATTACTCTCTGTCCCCAGTTGGTGAGAGCCTAACATTAAGGGATCTATATGAGGCACATAATATTCCAATTATTCATAAAGTTGTGATTTAAAAGCACTGCCTGTGATCTGTATTCCTCATTGCTTTTGAACTTGATGAGTTATTTATCCAGGGATTAATATACAGAACTCCTCCCCAGCTCTATCAAAATAATAAGAATAATAAAATAAAAAATGAAGATTTTGATGGAGGGGGGAATCGACCTGTCCAGACTTCAGCATATTAACAAATGGGGCATAGAGTCTTTTCTGTCATGAACTGCATCAATGCAAAATAAATTTCCAACTCATTTGCAAACTTGGCTTGCAGTTCCACAAGAGAGACAGATGAGTTTGCCTGGGTCTCTTTGCTTACCCCTTTCCTGTCCTTCTCTAGCTTTTGTGGGCTCTGCTGATTGATAGTTAAAGGCTTCTGTAACAGCAATCATCAGAAAAGTTTGTCTGCAGTTTCTCACACTGGATTACCTGATTGTTCTTCTCCTCTCTTCCCCAAATAACAACTAAAATATATCATACACACAAGAACGCACACACTGCAATGTAAAGTAAATGCATATGAATTTTTATGAGGGCTCTAATAGGACATTTACCATATTTCCTCTTGCCTGCTTAAAGCAACAGCACGATTCCCAGATGGGAATGGTTCAGGATTTGAAAAATTTCTGGGGCAATTCCAAATATCTACTGTTGGTATAAATCAATTAATCAATCATTTTTTCAAAAAGTCACCCCACTGGCAGGCCAATCCCATGCTCATCATCCTCGGCAGGATGGCAATTAGACATGCGCATGGTGGGCATGTCGTGAGTGGAGCTGGCTGGAGTCGGGGGTCAGACTAGATGACCTGGGAGACCCCTTCTGACTCTTTCTGTTTCTGTGTTTCTATGTTTCTAATTCTGGCACTGGACTCTCACTACCACCAACTGAGCCATTATGGATACCAAACCAATTAGCTGGAGAGATGGCAGGGGTCCATTTGTGGCCAGCGGGGTTAAAGTGCCCTGGCCAGAGGTGGCACAGGCAGTGGCGGGTCTCTGTGCATCCCTCAGCCGCTCTCGGCAGGCCCCTGGGTCTGCTTTCACTGCTGCTCAGCTGAAGAAATGGGCTGCGGCAGGGCTTTCGGGAGTGCTGCTTTCTCCTCCATCCCACACACCAGGCAGGAGGGAGAGGTTGAAGCTTCCCGTCTCTGCAGGCTGAAACGTGCGTGCATGGGAGCAAGGCACGTGCAGGCTAGACAATGTATGTGCCCCCTGGGCCCAAAAACGACCATTCCCCCTTGGCCTGAAAGGAGTGCCTAAAGCAGTAAGCGTGGATCTGGAGCCCTCCCTGGAGCGCCCCCAAGCAGCCTTCTCCAGTCTGATGCCCTCCAGATGCTTGGAATGGTACCTCCCTGCACGCCTGACCATGGCCTGTGCCAGCTACGGTTGCTCGAAGACAAATTCCAAAACATCTGGAGGGCATTAGGTGGGAGAAGGCTGCTTGCGGGGCTTCGGCAAAGGCTCAGGTGGGAAAAGAATGCTTTAGACCCTGGTGAGCCCTCAGTCAGTGTTCTGAGACTCAGGTGCTTCTGAGTTTCTCACCTGTGGCCCCTGCGCCTCCTCCAGGAAGGAGAGGATGGAGCTACCCCACAGCTTCTTCATGCACTGCAGAAACAGCAGGGGTGGCAGGAGGCAAGCAGAAGAAAACCTGGAAACATTGGCCTCCCCAGACCAATCTCCCTGCACACGTCCTTGCCACCCTGCTAAGGAGGGCATAGGGCATTCTCGGTGACCCGCGGATGGCACTCACCTTCACACTCCGGCTGAGTGCCGCTCCAGGATCCATTGGCCAGGCACAGCCTCTGCAGCGAGCCTCGAAGTGTGTAGCCTGGCTCGCAGCTGAACCAGACAGTGCTATCCACGCCCAACTCATTCCCGCCGTGCCGGATGCCATGCGAAGGGATGCCCGGGTCACCGCACAACCCCTGGAGGTGTCCTGGGAAGGGGCGAGCAGAAGGACTGTCAGCTGGTGTCCTCGTCTCCCTTCCCACACCATGATGGGCCACTGGCACCAGATGGTGCAACACACAAAAAGTGGAAAGCTGGTGGGCTGCCAGCGCAGATCTTGAGCACACAACATTTGCTTAAGCCAGCCTGCGCTTGCCAGGTACTGGGAGGTCTAAACTGGTGGTTTACAGGCAAGGATCTTGTCCCAGGTGCCCCCCCCCACCATTTTCAATTAAGGCATGCTTAAAGCAGGTGGCTACGCTTTCATTCATAAGGGGATGGAGGGGGTGGAACTCATGGGCTGTTTAAAACATTAAGGGGCATCGGTTACATTTCTCATCTGTACATAATGTGTGTGCAGTGCAGCTCTCTCTCTCTCTAGCTCTCTCTCTCTCTCATTTATATGGAAGGTGCACCAGGGCATAACTGGGAATCCCTTACTACTAACCATCACCCGTTTGCGTGGGCCATCTGGTCCAGGGCTGGGCTAAGTGCTCTCTGTGGGCACTTCACTATTTTGATTCACCAAAATGTCATCTAGGAGACCCCAAGCAGCTGAACATGCTTCCATCGTATGCACACGGTGCCTCTGCCGGCTTGAGGAAAATTAAGAAAGGGACCACCAGACCAGTATCATCAGCAGCAGCCCTACAGGGGGCCCAAGCATGTGTCCAAGCAACTGGGTCAATGCTGTGCACCGTGGAACGGCAGCAGCCCTGTTCTGGGCCCAGACTTCTCTCTGTAGGATAACAAGGAAGCACTGAAGAACACAGATGCTGGCCGTGACTGGACCTTGAAGTTCAAGGTCCTCATTTGGGAGTTGCTGTCTGAGCTCTTCGCTTCTCAGGTGACTGAATCCCCTTTGCTGCAGGCTGTGAAGCCCAGCTCCACCTGGCAGCTTCTAGACAGGAAAGGGACTAAGTTTAGCCTGGACACTTCGGCGGGTATTGCTCACAGCATTGCAAGCCTACCTTCGCAACTGTAAGGCACAGAGAGTGGCTTTTAAAGAACCAAAACACAGAAGCTGCTCTGCTGGGGGTAGCTGGATTCAACACTCAGTGCTTCCTTGCACAAAATGCCTTCTGCACTTGTGCAGAGTGCACACACAGATGTGGACATGACATAGCCGTGGCTTGAGCATCAAGGGTAAAAACGCTCCGGGGAGCTCTGGGTACTCTCCTGGCCAGATGTGCACAGCCACCGTGTGGGTACTTTTTCTTTGGTTTGGTTTGCCAGCTCTGCTCTCCTTCAAACTGAAAATGACAGGATGCTTCAAAGCCACCCGCTGTCCTTGCAGGGATGGAGCTGTGCCTTTGTTGGGAATCCAGACCCTCTGATGAGCTAGTGAATCATTTGCTCACAGAGTTAAGAGGCATCCGAAGAAGCCGAAGACGCCACCTGGTGAAGGCGCTTGACAGCTACAGTCGTGCTGGTGCTGGCTCCCATCTGGTGGCCCATCTGCTCCTGGGTTTTCCCACCACCGGTTTTGCAAACACAGAAAGTCCCCAAACCAGCAATGGCCCTCATCCTTGTTCCTTTTAATTGGACACATGGGGTTCTGGCCTGGGCCCCTCTGAGCAAACTATGGGGGTGCAGCCCCTCCAAGACAGCCTCATAAAACAGCCTCACCTGCTGCAAACGTTGAGAGCACACTTGTAACTCCTTGATGAAAAGATTTGCTCACCCGTGCAGAAGAAAAGCACCCCCATAGCATGACTGACAGGCTCGGAAAGCTATCCCAAGCCCCCCCCCCCACCACTGCCAGGCCCCCTGCCATGTGGCAGGGCCACTTCATTCACTCATCCTTGCCCTAGCCCAGACCACAGCCGGGCCTTGCAAGTGCAGGGAGTTATTTACTCATGTTGCATGAAAGTGCATTCAAGCCTTAAATTCTCCATCTGCTGCCTGAAGTAGTGCAAGCGGCAAGCACATCAGGCACGTTTGCTGACTGGATGTCCCCAGCTCTGGCTGCAGTATTGTCTAACCACCCGAGGTGTGAGAGGCGGCTAAGCAGATGGTGGGAAAGATCCATCTGGTAGGCCGTTCCTGAGAACAGCAAAGGCCTCTGCAAACACCGCTCCAGCTCGTAAGCAGTTCTGTCCTCATGCATATCTTCCTAGCTATGGTGGGGTGGGCAACTTGTGGCTATCCAGATTGCTTGAGCTAGGCAACATCCCCCAGTGGTGAGGGATGCTGGGAACTGTAGGCCAACTGGAGTGCTGCGCATTGCCCATCCCTGATTTATGGGAGCTGCAGTCCAGCTGGCCCAGTGGCCACTCTCTCAGATGTCTATCCATGGCTCCTGTCCCCAGGAGATGGCTTCTTCAGGATGCATCGTGTGACGCACACGGGAGCACTAGGAAAAGCTTCCTGGGCTTAGAGATGAGTCAGAAGTCTGCTCTGGGGGTAGGAATCCATTGGACTCCCTGGCCTGTGCTGCCCAGACTCCAGCCTGCTCTCTCGTGGCCAGAAGCCCAACTTTGTGGTAAGTGTGCCCAGCATTCACAGAGCACCAGCCAGGAATTGCACCTCACATGGCAGCCGCACAAATGGCACCCCTCCTTCATGCCTGCGACCGACAGTCCTTGCATGTGCCGTGGAAGACGGCTGCCAGTCACACAGCCTTCGTTCCACAAGCGTTCGTGGACTTTCTCTTGGCTCAGTGGCTTTCTACAAAGGCTGGTGGAATGAAGGTTGTGTGAGGAGGCAGGAGACAATGTCCACAAACTGAAGAAGGATGGATTCTGGGAAGCTTGGTCGCAACACTGCTTGGACTACAACAACGGCCTGCCTAGCCCTGCATTTCTGAGTTCTGTAGCAGTCAGCCCAGTATCTCCAAAGCTCAGAGAAGCAGGTCACGGAAGCCCTACCTGTCCCCAACCTTTTGTCTACACCAGGTGGTACTCAGAGGGGCATTGCTTCCAAGCATGGGAAAGAGCTGCCTCTTCTGGGCAGTCTTCCGACTGGGACTGTCTCTTTAAAACCCCCAAGTGGAGTATGCAGGCCTATTGCCTCCACCCAGCATCTGGTCGGCCAAGCTTTGGGGCATTTGTGAGGTGGCACATAGAGAAGGGGCGGTGGTCCTTTAAAGCTGCGCATTGCTGCCACATGAACTGTGGATTGGCCCCAAAGGGTGAAGTCTTCTGCCAGAGCACCTTCAGTAGCCGTCCACTTGTCTCCCTGCCTACAGCCTTGCTGGTTCTTTAGAAAGGCATCTCTGGATGAGCAGACAGAAATGCACTGCTGTGGCCAGGGACCTTGTGGCTCCTTCTCAGAAGCAGCAGCTCCATCCACAGAGCCCTGGTGAGCGCCAGCCCCAACCGGCTTCCGAGCCCTCCCACCTGAGCAGTGCGGCAGAGAGCCGCTCCAGCGTCCATCCAGCTGGCACAGGCGGGTGGAATTGCCCATCAAGCTTCTCCCCTCCAGGCAGCTGTAGCGCACCACTGACCCAGCCGTGTGGACGTCGCCCAAGATCTGGGCATAAGGCGGTGACCCAGGGTGGCCGCAGGAGACCACTGAAAGGAAGGGACAACAAGGCTTTCAGGAGAAACAGTGCAACCATTTCAGCACAAACTTTCAAGGGAAGAACAGGAATGCTTCTGATAGCAGGGGCAATTTTGGGTCTGATCAAAATATAGTTTTTCAGGCAATTCAGCTGCACTGAGACCAACATAAGATTTTTTTTCCAGTGGATTTTAGCTTCCTCGAGAACACTGAGTCCTGGTTAGGCCTCTTCAGATGGACTGAGATCATGATGAAGAAAATCAGGGACCACTTGTTAGTTTGGGCTGAGTTCACCCTCATAAAACCAAGGCAAGAAATGCCAGTAATAGAGCTGCATGAGAAATTGGTTGGTTTGCATTTAAAGTAAGGTAGGCAAATTTCCCTCGCATGAACCCAGTCAGGAATGGGAATGCATGAGATCCAAATTTTGCTGAACTTCATCAAAAATGCACGCATTTGAAAGACTATGCACCAAAATTCCTTACTCAAAGGGGAAAAAAAACACTTAAAATGTGTGCATTGGAAAAAGTGTGCCAAGTTATATACATTTGAAAAATACGTAAAATGTATGCATTATGGAAAATGCATAAGACAATATGTGCACATATTCATGCAGACCAAAAAGCGAAGCCAGGCCAAGCCCGGCAATTGGCTTGGTACCAGGACAGCTGCAAGAATCCCTCCCGACATCCTTTTGCCTGGGCGCGATGGTCCTGCTCCAAGGCCTATCTCCAGCTGCCACCTCCAGGGGAGGCTTGGTTGGTATCCATGAGGAGGAGAGCCTTTCCAGCCCTGGCCTCCCAGGTATGGAATGTTCGCCCCACCTGTGTACCCTTTTGGTGCCAGGTAGAGACCGCCCTCCGTTGTAGGGCATTCAAGCAGCTTCTCAGATTTGCTGGCTGTCATACAGGTCTGAATATTTTCTTCCAAAAAAGAATGTGTGTGTGAGCCTGTTTAAAATGTGGTTTTAAATTTTGTATTGTAAGCTTTTAATGATGTTTAAATATGCTTTGTGAACCACCTAGAGAGCTTTGGCTGTTGGGTGGGAAAGAAATTATTTATTTATTTATTTATTTATTTTGTAATGTGCCAATAGGACGGAATGAACTTTGGAAAAAAGAGAATACAGGTAGGGGAGATGCTCGGCCAACTTTCTCATCTCTAGGTGGAAGGGAAAGGAAGTGGGGGTGGGGAGGGACATGGCAGTCAGGAAATGATTCTTTTTGGTGGAGCTGTGCAAGAGGTAAGAGGGGATTCAAATGCTTCTTATATTCCTTGAATGTACAAAACCAGCTTGTTCGGCAGAAGGTCCTCCTAGAAATTCCTCTTTGATATGCCATTTCAGCATCTGCCGAGATTATAGTAGGAGAAGTAGCATCCAGACCACCGTCCTGTCCCGAGCTACTGTTCAAAACTGTCCAACCAGCTGGGAGGGATGGCAGCCCTCCCCAGCGCAGTCGCTCCCCACTGTCCCTGGAACTCCCAGCACGGTGGGCAGGCAGCGCAGCTGGGGAGGCCGGAACAGGACTTGCTGTGCAGCTGTTCTTGCACTTTTGCTCCTAGGGCCACTTATGCTCACACTGAGGGCAAACCGATCCACAACTGTGTGAAACCGGTCCTCATGGCAAAGGGCAGTGTCTGCCTCTTGGTCCACCTCTAAGGCCAGGGTGCTCCAGTGGCAGCATCAGAGGGGAAATACCGGGGGGGAACTAAGATGGGGCGAATTTGTCCCCCATTCAGTCTTTCTCTCTACATTTATATCCCAACTGTTTTCCTCTGGCAGGGAACCCAAGGCTGCTTACACAGTCCTCCTCCTCCTCCTCTCCATTCTATCAGCACAACAAGCCAGGTTAGGCTGAGAGTCAGGGACTGGCTCGGCGTCATGCACTGATCCTCTCAGTGCCAGACAGCACTCTGTCCCAGCCTTTCCCAAGCAGGTGCCTTCCACATGTCTCAAACTACAACTCCCAGCATGCCTCAGTCAGCCATGTGGATGGGACCCATTTGGAGAAGGTTGCACTAGCCATTATTGCACTCCACTGGCTCACAAAGGAAAATAACAATAGACTTCATAGTAACGCTAATATTCCAAACCTTCATTTAGTCATTCTTCAGTTGCAGCCTTGTTTTAATGCAGTTCATTAAAGTTTCAGTTCTAGTTTGCATTTGAAATCTGCCTGTGTATGAATTAAATATTAAACCTAGTAACACCATTTTAGCACTGAAATGATTAAAATCTAAATCGTGTGTTAGATTATAGCACCTTTTACTTAGTCATACAACAAATCTGCTTCCAATGGTTTCTGTTGTAATTATTGAAAACAGCTGGATTGTTCAGCAGATTCAGCAACTTTTCTAACAGATTCTCCCTCTTCATTCAGTGAGTCATGGTGCCATGGACTGGGCTTGATCTGGACTTAGGCAGGCTTAAACTGCACCATTGCATTCAATGGGAGAAGTTAGTCCTGAGCCTGCCACCCAAAGGATCTCCCAGAGAGTGGCAGGTGAGCAGGGCAGCCGAAGCAAGCTCTGTTTTAATCTTATCATTTCGACAGTGCTACGATTTGAGTGTGTTTAAAGTGCAAAACTGCACACTCTAAAAGCGTGTTAAAAACCCAGACTGGTTCTGTTGCTGCTGCTCTAAGATACGAGGAATGTAGAAGCAGTGGGCAGGTTTGGAAGGGCAGTGGGAGAGGCATAGCAGGAGAAACATTAGCTATGTGCCCTAAAATGGGAAAAATACGCCTGGCCTTCTATCAGTCCCGTAAGACCAGGTTCTAAAATTACCCCGCTGCACCACTGTCCATATTCTATGTGCTAGCCCTTCACATGAGAGGAATGGTCATGACCTTTGAAGATCTACCAGCAAATATGGATTGTTTGGTTGAAACATCTCAGGCAGTGATCTTAATAATGGGAAGCAACCCAGATGGTGAATGGTCTCCCACAGGGATGGGCAGAAAGTAGATTTCCAAATGTTTAGGACTTCAGCTCCCAGCATTCCTGTTCATGGGCCATGCTGGTAAAGGTTTCTGGCAGCTGAAGTCCAAAGATCTGCCTTCCTCCATCCTGGCTTAGAAGGTGTTTGCTGTCACTTACTCTGTATGAAATCATGTCCTCCCTTGACATGCAGTTAGAGGAAAGCAGCCAGGATCCAAAGCTCACTGAGAGCTCTTAACCCAGTTAAGGTCTGAAAGAAGACTGGGGCCTTCTGCATTGGCTGGTCCCAATTCAGAGGTTGCAACTGGGATGTCCTCCTCTTCAGTAGACTTGCTGCCAAGAAGACCCCACATGAAAGAGTCTGCTGGCAGCCCTTGCTAAGCTGTGGGAGAAGAGCGGAGAGATGGCAATCCTAGCAGGGCTTGAAAGGGCGTCAAAGTCCATTACACATGGTCACCCAGTGCCATCTATGGCTGCAGATTCTGCTGGAGAATCCAAAGAGGTCACCTCTGGGCTTGGGTTGACCATGCATCCCTCACCTATTGTTCTCAGAAGACTCTTCTAGAGGTAATTAGCCAGGGCAGGCCACATCAGCTGCTTGTGCAAATGGTGCTTTTGTGTGTGAGTGCATGTAGCTGAAGGGACACACAAACCATTCTGACTGGAAGGTTCTTTACATGAGAATAAAATTACCCACAGAGCCCCGTTCTTCCCTGCCTCTCCATGATTGTTTTGTCACTAAAACCATGATATCTGGCTAGGATAGGTGAAGCACTTTCTTTAATGATGGAGAAGAAATTGAGTGAATATGTTTGCATACGTGGATGGTTTGGGTTTGATTTGTAAGCTCCTGGCTCTCAGCTGCAAGACCGTGCTAAGATTTCCAGAGATGCTCTGTGAGCAAGCTCTTAAGAACACATGCTGTTGAAAATAATTTAATAACTGATCCTCCAGGAATTACACCTAAGCAAAAAACCTGCAGCATTGACAGCACTTTTAAGGATTAACAACTTCCAGTGCACCAGCTTTCACTAAAGTATAATTCACCAATCTTAGTAGGGTATTTTTAAATGAAATTGCTGGAAACCTTGGCAGTCCTCTTCACAAAGATTAGATATATTTCCACCCTGTGGAATGCCTTTTATCAATGCCACTTCCCTCCATTAACCGCTTTTGCCAAAGCCAACACAGTATAAATGGGGATTTTGCAGTACCTGTAAATTTCCTGCTCTTCCTGGTGGCTGTGGGCTAAATCATTGCAAAGGACTCTCCTGCTGTTCATGGGCGGGGTCCTCCTAGAATTAACCTTCATGTTGGGTGTGGGGGGAGGATGCTCATATACCCAGGCCATGCCTAAGCAATCAAATCACATATTCTCCGACCAAATGGAGCGACTCAGAAGGAAATGAATTGGATATGTAACTAAGCCTGGGGAATGAGAAGGCAGTGACAACCCCCATTTTCTCTAGAGCAGATGACAGTGAGACATACTACTGAATGATGTGTCCGATTGCCCTATGTCCACTAGGACTGTTACAGGCAGGGTGATGTACCACCCACCTTCTCACGCTAGTGGGCCAAGGCTCCTAGTGGCACAAGGACTGTTTCATGGCATGGAAAGCAGAAATAAACATCTGCTGGGTGTCTAGCTTCCCAACCCTTTTCTCTTTAAAGCACTTCTGCTTTTAAAGTAACGTCCTGCGCTGAGAGGTGAGGCTAGGAGAGCTTTAAGTGTACTGCAGTGCTTCCTTGACCTCACCTGGGCCAGCCTCTCAGAGCTATCAGTTCCAAAATACACATAGGTGGAGGCTCTGCCATAAACCATGGACAGGTCCTCCTACAAGCAAGGCAAGGGCTGGAGAACTCCACTGCCAGACCCAGAGTGGAACTGAGACTTCCCCAGCCCTGTGTTTCAGCACTTGAAGGATCAAGCATGGTCCCAGGAAGCAAGCATGGCTCCCTTTTTGGAGGGGGGTGTAGAAACGCTGACCTACCTGGAGCTTCTTTGAACCTACAGTTGGCTCCAGGCATTTGCTGGTGTGACATCCGAGGGCACTTTCTTTTGGTTACAGGAGGGGGGATTTTGTCTCCTCACACATGAATGCACATATACCCACTTCAGTGTTTTGGAACCTCTACATCAACTGAAACTCAATTTTATGAAAGGTGAACTTAAATTTTGCCCTGGAGTTTTCCAATTTAACACACACATGAGTGCACATGCATGTTCATGTGCATGCACATGTGCACACACATGCATATTCTGGAAAATGAGTGTAAAAAAATGCATTATATTAGGAAGGTTGCCTGGACATTTTCTCCACTCTCCTGGTTGTTCCCCCAACCTGGTGGCCTTCAGAGGCATTTCGACTGCAGCTCCCAGAATTACCATCCAGCAGGGCCATTGACTGGGAATTCTGGGTGTTGCAGTCCAAACAGCACAAGGCTGGGGAAGGCTGCTGTAATGGAGTTTGGTTTGAATAGGACAAACTCTCGCAATCCAGAAATGTTAAACAATGTCTGTAGTCTTATTGGTGTTTAAAACCACATGCATGGGTTTTCTCAACTTTCCTTATGTTGAGAAAACATGGTGAGCTTCCAAATTCACCTCAAAACCTCACATTAGGCACAAATGGATACAGACATTAGTTTTGAGTCTTCTGAGCTTTGGGCACTGTGTGGAGATGCTGTTCACCCACTCCAGATGCCTAGGAGGAAATGCCTTCTGGGCAACGGCAGAGGAAATGTCCACAATGCAGGGAGGAAAGCAACACCGTTTACTATTTCCTGTGGGCCTCAAGTTGTGAAATGTTAAATCCTTGCAAAAGCTTTCTTTCTTTTTTCTTTTTTCATCAAACTCTTTCCCCTTTCCCCAAAATTCCACTGTTGTTTTTTGTTCAAGTAGGAACCTCCCAAAAACAGCAAAGCTGACATTAGCTTTACTTTTTAAAATAGCAGCTCCTTAATGTTATTTGTCCAAAATTTACCTACATCTAACACAGCAGAATGAGATTCACTTATCAGTTTCCCATAATGGCAAGGCAGCATGCTGATAATACGGGAGTAAATGAAAGGTGCTAAAACAGGCAATTGCTTCTCTGAGTGATTTAGGTGAGGGAAAGGGGGGGGGGGGGGGGCAAAACGTGAGCTAAAAGGAAAATAAAAATAAAGAATGCATTTAAAGGGGGTGAAATCTTGAACCTCCTCAGTTTAATAAAATCAAAACCGTTGGATCCCTTTGGGCAGTACCTTGTCCCTGAAAATCATTTTCCATCCAGGATTGGCAAGTTGTTTGTGCAACCAGTGCCTGTCCTAGGAGCCTGCTCCCTGTATGATGCTGCAGTCCCAGTTGCCCTGGGCTACTTCTAGAGATTGCTGAGGAGCACCCCCTTTGCCAAAGTTCCCATGGAATGACCTGATCTAAGTGGTGGAGGTGACTGGCTCCGAGGTCAGCTGGTTTCCCGAGCCTCGTCTGGCCAGCAGAGGCGCTGTCCGTGGTGCTGCACTCTCTCCTCCAGATCGATCTGGCACCATGGCTGCTCCTCAAAGGCTTGGAGTAAAATCCAGAGTGGGTACCAATCCCTGCTGACCATGGAGTCATTCATCCCTGCTGGTCCTAAGACTCTTGCAATAAAGTGCAAATTGAAACTGAGCTATAACTAGGTTTAAAAATGCAGATTAAAAAGTGGAGATGCAATGGAGCAGAATGATGGTTAAAAACACAGGTCAGTGGTGCAGACTGGAAATAGGCAGGTGCACTTGTTCCTAAATCTTAGCCACTGGCCTGCATTTTCCAGGTCTCATTAGCATACACTGTCCTTTCCCATATAATTTTGCAGGAGAAGAGAGCACCTGTTTCGCCTCTTTCTTGCCATGCAGACTACAGCTGATTCTTGGGCTGGTCCTAGCAAACAAAGAAGGGGTTGAGAATTGTCAGCCACCCACTTCTTCAGTCCAAATCCTGGCTTCATATTGTGTTCACTAGGTGGACCCTTGGTCTGGTCCAGTATGGGCTTTCTCGTGTCCTCATGTTCCCCCTAAGCCCGGAAGAGATGCCTGGAGGGGAGGAAAAGCAGCCGTTCTTCAACTCATCCGTCACTTGCTGCCTCAGCTTATTACCTCCAGTGGCTACTTGTCCCAGCTCCTCTCCTTTCCATCCAGTACAGAATATGAGATGAGATGCGAATTCTCCTTCCCAGGAGCACACAGGAAGACTGGCTGAGGCCTGCGCATTGTGAATGACTCATAACCCCACAGTTCACTTAAAACTGTTACAAAATTTACCGTTCCTGTTCGTGCTTCCTTCCTTCTTCTCTAGCCCACTAAAACTATGGTAGGGATGCTACATTTTCCATTACCTGAACTGACCAGGATAGTTGAGATTACAGAGAAAGCTACCCTGTCATATTAGTGATGAAGGGGTGCTTTTCCACAGGAATGAGCTGTGTGGCAGTTTGTCTTCTGAGATTTGATCCATATAATCCAGGGTCCTGCACAGAATTTGGATTCTTAAGGATCTTAAGTATCATATTTACTTTTCAAAATCAACTTTTTAGGCCTTGTGGAGAACAGTTTCAGTATCCAGGACTGTTACCTACAAAGAGCGCAGTGTTCGTTCGGCTGTATTGTTCTAATACTGATCCCTTCCTCCCACCACGTCAGCTCTTACTATCCTTGATGCTCAGTTTGATGAAGACTCAACTACTATTTACATCAAAAAAGGACTTAAAAGCTGTCCAACTTCCTTTGGAGAATCCCTCCATGCCTAAGAACAAAATCTGAGTGTCCTGAGCAAGATTTAGGTGAGTTGGCACAGGATGTGAACTTTTTGGGGGTCTTTTTGTTTTGTTTTGTGTTAATTGGCTTTGCTTTGAGGTGTCATTTTTTCAGGGAAACTTTTGCAAAACTGGTACCATTAGACAAGACAGCTCTGAAGCAGGGGTGCAGAACCTGAATCTCAGGACCCAGATCTGGCCTGCTTGAGGTCCCAAAATGACCCTTTGGGGGTCCCTGGATGGTCATGCCCCTATCCTGGGCCCCACCCTTCCCCCACCATTTGGGGGTCTCCTGGCTTTGGTGCAACTTTCTTTCCCTGCTCTAAAAGGTTGAAATGCTTCTCCTAAGGCTGCACAGTTGGCAGTAAGAGCCTCCAATGGGAACACACTGGCACTGTTTTGCATTTCTGGCCCTGTCCCCTCTGCACCATTGGAACATGGCCCCCAGCCATTTCTCCAAATGGAATTTGGCCCTTCGGCAGAAAAGATTCAACACTCCTGCCATCATGAAAAGCAAAGCACTTACAATGACACACTGGGAGGAGCCGATCCCAAGTGCCATCCCCCTGACAGGTAAGGACATGGGTCCCCAGCAAGTAATATCCATGGTTGCACTGATAAGAGACTGTGGTTCCAAAGCTGAATCTGTGAGGCCCGCTCGGTTGCACTTGCCGGACGCTGTTTTCCAGGTGCCCAGGGTCAGTACAGTTTACGACTGCAAGCAAATCACAGAAAAATAAAAATAAAAAATAAAAACAGAGGGTGTAACAAAGGAAGAAAGGTTTGCTTTTCTTTTTAAACTGAAGAAAGATAAAGGAGGGTCAGCTCTGTATGGGATCCTTTTTCAAAATTTGATTTCTTTTCCATAAAGCCTTGATTTCTTTTAAATGCCTGTAAACAATGTACAGTTCTTAGATAGACTAGGGGAGAAGGCCCCAATCCTGAACAGAAGTGAAGGGTAGAAAGAACATACATTGCTGGTGGAATTGTTCCAGGATTGGGGTCCCACCTCATCTCCAAGAGAGGGGGATAGATGGAGAGGGAGAGGAGGAGGAGGAGGAGGAGGAGGAGGAGGAGGAGTGTTCAGAGGTGGGTTCGTGTGCATTTGTCAGGGGCACAGAAGGCAGGCGACACAGCAGGTGAGCTGGGAGGTGTGCCGGAAGTGTGGGAGGGCAGGATGGTGGGAATTCGAGAAGTGAACTGAATGAGATGCTAAAGCAGAGAAAACACCCCTGGGAGGCTGAAGAACAGAAGCACGGTTGGAGCTTTGGGACCTGGGCCAGGCTGGCATTCCCTTTCACACCCTAACTTGGTTCACATTACCCTCTTTCATTTTTATTCATTTCTTGCCTGTTATTTTTACCCTTCATTTGGCCAATACCCTTTAAGACATCATATAAAAAGAGCTACAACAACTAATTGAATCTCAACAGAATAATACAATCTACCAATGAATCTACATTGACACACAAAAAAGCATTTAGAATACATCCCCATCTTCTAAGCATCTGCAAACTCTTGGCATAAAGCAAAGCAAAGAGCCCTTGACCCAGTTTCTGCAGGTTATCTGGCTGGTGGGCTGCAAACATTCAGAGGATATTACTGCCAGAGGAAGGGAGGAGGAGGAAGTGAATGCAAAAGAAGTATCTGATTTTAATTGGTCTTATAGATAAAGTAATATTTCAGAAACAATGCTTTGCATATAATTAATGGTATGCAAGGTTGAGAAACCTGGAAGGATGAACACTCATTTGTAATGTAAAGTATAGCTATGCATTGCATCATGTATGCTTTCTAACCATACTAAATACTTAGGATTTGTTTTGCACTTTCAATTTATCTGAATATTATTTTTAATCACATGTCATTTAATTTAATGGCCATGTGGAAGACTTGTAGTTGAAATACATTGGGAATCCTTCTCAAAGCATTTTGCTGCATTCTAGAGCAGTTCAAAGCCCATTTCTTCCTTTTCTCTTCCATTTTCTGGCATTCCCATCGTCCCTTGCCTCCTTTGCCCAGAGGAAGGGGGCCATGGTTGATAAGGCCCTGCTTCTTTTAATATGTTGGGAAGTGGATGAGTGTGTATTGACTGATGAGGTCACATGGCCAGTTACCTGAGACCCCAAATCACTGCTCAGTGCAGGTGATGCGAAATTGCACGGCATAAATAAATATGTAGCCTTAACTCAAGACAAGATTCCCACCCGCAGAAGGAAGAGACCCTGCTTCCTTCCACTAACCTGCTGTGCCTCTACCAGTGCTTTAAAATTATTATTTTTGATGACGATATAAGTGCTCACTCATGGAGTGCATTTCTGTCTGTTTTCTGTTCTCTGATTGTCGCTTCTTTTTCTCATCACCAACAAATGTATGTGTCAAAGTAAAGTTGGGATGCATTTCCTCCATATCTCCTGCATGATGATCACCCTGCAGTATCATTACATTTTCCATTTAACCCAGCTAAAAGCTCCTTCTGTCTTTCCAAAACCTGCACGGTTCTGAAAAGAACAAGCTGGTTGTGACGGCAGTAACAGCGGTTCCATCCCTTTCCAAGGAGCAGGGGAACAAGAGAGGATGCTGCTTCCAGCTGCAGGACTGACCCAGCCCCCCCCCCCCCCCCGCATACATTCAGGCTTCTGATGCAAGAGCAGCAAAGCGGGAGGTGGGAAAGGAAGAGACTTACTGCGGCAGATGGGCAAGGCGGTACTCCACTGGCCGTTCGCCAGGCACTGGGACCGGGCGGCCCCCTCCAGGCGGTACCCGGTGTTGCACACAAACTTAGCCACATCGTTCAGGTTGAACTGGTTGCCTTGCGTCAGGCCATTGGCTGGGTTGCCTGGGTGACCGCAGGTTATGGCTGCATTGAGAAAGCCGAGAAATTACCCACCCCTCTCCTGCAGCCTGACTGCTCCCTGCCTGGCGGAAGGTAGCAAGAAGCTTGGGTGACCTTCCTCTAGCATGCACCGAAACGGGACAGATTCCCCTTCAACCCACCCTTGCCCAAGTCCTCCCCACTTCATTTCCCTACTTTCCCTGCTCGCTTGTATGAATAACCACCACAAAACAGGACTGAGCAGAAATAGCCCCCCCCCCCATTGTAGCTATTTTTCTGAGAAGGCACAATATTATGGAAAGGTTTGTGGAGCCATGAGACCTACCAGAGTCACAGAAGTAATAAGCCTTTTAAAAATATAACCTCTACCCTACTTTCTTTTTGTGAGGGGTGGGAGAACCAGCAATGTATTCATCTATGTATTAGATATATATCCCACTTTTTTCTTTTTCTTTTTAAAAAATAAGTCAAAGCAGCTTACATCTTTCTCCTCCTGCTGCTCTCAATTTTAGCTTCACAACAACCACCCTGCGAGGTAGGATGGACTGAGAGTCTGTGACTGGCCCAAAGCCACCCTGGTGGGTAAATTACACCACATAATTCATCTCCTGAGAGGACTCGTGCCACTTTGTCATTTCAAGAGGGAAGCAAAGACACAATGTAGGCTCAAAGCCAGTTTTTATGAGCAGGCTTCAGTTGAAGGGTGAAATGGCTGCCTTAGGAGCAAAATGGTCTTCACACATTTGTGGCACAGTTCAATAAACTGTTATGCCTTGGCTATCAGTTTGATTACCACCCTCTAGTTCTAAACTTATCCAAAGCAGTCAGTCGGTCAAGTCTTCCTTCTGCGGTCAACAAACAGCCTCGCTCAGCCTACCTAGCCATTGCATGTGCTGCATTGCATTGGCTTGTGCCCAGTTTATCCCTATAATTGCTAGGCTGGATTTTATCTAATGACCCAGTGGGTTCCATGACTGAGGTCTAATCCTGCACTCCTAACCAATCCACACATCAGTTCTCTCTATTGACAACATAAGGAAGTGCCACAAAACCAAAGGGTCAGGTTTCTGGCTCTCTAAAATCTGCAGGTTGGGATGTGGGTTGATCCCCAAACCGTGCTAGAAATGGGGAGCTGCTGAAACCAGCACACTCGAACTCTGATAGCACCCCACAATGGTGCAGGCTGGAAAGCAGTAACTTCGATGAATTTAGCAAGCAAGCATTTAGTTCTCTGGACAAGTGTGTAAAGAGGAAAGGGTGGAAAGCAGGTGAAAAATGGATTGCTTAGCAGTTCATAGCATTCTTCCAGTGGTGTCTTGTGCAGTCACATTCCCCCTGGGCCCTTTGCCTGCTCAGAGCAACAGTTTGCAAACTTTAAGAGCCTTCAAAGTCTCATTGGACTGGGAAAGCCCTGTGACCTTGCTGGCCTTGAGGGCAGAACCGAGCAGCTTTATCTTCCTTGTATGCCACAGCTCGAATGGTTGGTTGCCCTATTTACAGAACAGCCCTCTATTTAATGATCAAGAACTATATTAAGAAGGTCAGGCATGGGCCTTTATGCTGGTCATCGATTTAAATAACAGACTGGACAGGCACCCAACTCACAGCCCTTCCCACTGTGGCGAGAGAAATCACAGGTATTTCTAAAATTGCAGGCCACCATTAGCATTCTTCAAGACAGAGATGTGTGAGCAACATGCAGCTGTGCTTGCACAAATGCCTCTGCCTTTTAAAAAATGGGCAAGGAAGCCGCAAACGCCTCACCCCCAACTCAGCCTCCTTTCACTGAGGTGCCCTGAAGGCACCAAGCACAAGCCCACCGAGTTCCTTAGTGCTGACCACCCCCAATTTAAGCTCCTTGCTTGGTCTCTTTGGTTTTTGTGCAGCCACACATGGGCAAAGAGCAAGTGAACTGACTTGCAAGCAGCTCTGGTCAACTATAGGAGTGCTTGTGTTGGTACTTCATTTTACCCTCCCTTCTAAAATCTATGCCATTATTTTAGTGTTCCTGAGACAGACCTGTGATCAGAAGCACCAGCTGGGCATTTCTTTTGCAAACTAAATGACTCCTTTGGAAAGTGTCTTCATTTTAAAAAAATTAAAAAATGTATGCACTGACCAATAACTCAAAATTATTCCAGAGCAGTGAGCAGTAAAAAAGCAGAAAAATACAAATACAAAAGAAAAAATATTTCAAATCAGTTTATACCAATAAAACTATAGCCTCTGAAAAATCTTGCTTAAAGAAAAATGTGTTTGGTGGATTCCAGAAGGAAAGAACATTGACTTTGCTGGTGTTGGACCAATGGGGAGTGCAAGAAGTGACAGAGAGCTGGCTAGATCACACCAGAGAATGATCTGCTCCAATATCATGTTACTCAGTGAACGGCTGAGTACCTTTTGCAAATTCCCCAGCATGATCTGAGTCCAGAAGTCCTCTTAGAGGAGCTCTGCCTGTGACCTTGGAGGCAGCAAAAAGCCCTCATAGCTAGTACCCTCTGATGGACTTGTCCCCCATGAAATTGTCCTCCCTTTGCAAAAGCCACCCATTGGCCATCGCCACACTGTTGCTGTGGAGAAGAAAGCCTACAGAGACATGCAAGCCGGCTAGGGCTCTGATCATGCACATTTTATTTTATTTTATTTTTTACATGCATACATCGCTCCCTTAACCCTTTAGGGCACTCTGGACAGTGTAGACTAGTGCTGAGGTCAGTTTTGGCAGAAGGAGATAGCAGGTGTGGCACCCTTTTTCAGCGTGGTCCCATGGCTCTGTTGCAGCATGCTTGTTTTCTGAGCAACTGGGGCAGAACAGACGAGGGATTGGGCTGTGAGTCTCTGCAAAGGACCAAAGTGTAGACCGGGCCTGAACCAGAGGTGGGCCTTTCCCCAGCTTTCCCCAGTGCCTCTTACGAGGTGGACAAAACACAGACGGCTGCTGCTTTCTCCCACTTTGTCTTGTCAAGTAATGCGAGGTGATAATGAAGGGAAATGCAAAGTGGCAAAAAGTAAATGGATGTCTTGGGAGGAAACCATCCTGGAGAAGAGAGGATTGTCTGTCATGCCATTCCTTCTAAAAGGAATTCAGCCCCGCCTTTTCATTTTTTATTTTGCTTTGGACAAAGATGGTAAAGAAAAGAGAGAAAAACAAAAGAAGGTGTAAAGCACCTTTCAAAGAGTAGCTTACAAGGGGATGGTTTGCAAAGGCCCTTAAGAAGTGGCAGCCGGAATGGGTCGGCAAAGGAGCTTTGCCTCTCCCACAGGGCACGGAGCAGCTGGGCGGAACGGCTCGCTGAGGTCTAGCAGCCTGCAAAACGCTGCTCCGCACATGGGCACACTCCAGGTGTGAGCTGCACAGAGACCACGAAGGAGAGCAGGTCCCTTTGTCCGCATCACACATCTCGCAGATGTCTCCCACACCTTCCTGCTTCCTGATTTCCTGCACCCCACAGATGCTGCTTGGCTGGTGCATGGCTTGGCTTCTGTCTGGATCGGTACAGCAAAGGGCCTCTCCCTGCACTTTCAATGGGTTATTTTTCATCCCTCTGCTGAGCTCACAACCTATTTCTCCTCTGAACATCTACAGAACCTGCAACCTAGACGTTCACTAGCTCAGTTACGCTCTGCGGGCTGCACTAGACTCTAGAATAAGGGTAGCAACATACTTACGCACACAGACAGGAGTCCTTCCAGACCAACGGTGATCTTGCTGGCAGATCCGGACAGACATCCCAATGAGTCGGAAGCCAGGGTTGCACTGGTACACCACGCTGCCTCGGTAGTTGAAGTTGTCACCGTTGATCTGGCCATTGACGATTGGGCCTGGTTCACCACAATGGCCCGCTGGGCAGAGTCCAGACCAGGATCAGAAGACATCAGACAGAGCAGTTGGTTACTCCAAAGGAGAATATGGTCCCCTGAGCCTGAACCTAAGGACGCCTGCTTTATAGACTGGGCAACGCACTCAGGCATCACTTGAAGTTCTCTGCCAAGTTGCTCACCTGTGACAATGGTTCTTTGAGGCCTCAGCTGTGCGTTTACACATATGACCTCTGCAAACTGCTTTAGGAAGCCTCTACAGCTGAGGACGTTTGGGTGGGGAATGTCTCCCACTATCCCAGGGTGCAAGACCTTGGCTGAATCCAAGCCCACAAAGGATGTCCTTAACCCACAGATTAAGGAAAGGCCGGACATGCACATGGTAGACATGTCACAAGTGGAACTGGCTGGAGCCGGGGGTCAGACTAGATGTCCCGGGAGGACCCTTCTGACTTACTCTGTTTCTGTGTTTCTATGTTCTCTTCCACCTGAGTCAAAATGGCCCACACCAGCTCAATCAACCGAGATTTTAGTTGATTAATCAATTCCTTTGACTTAAACTCAGAATTCTAAGTCTCACAAATACAAACGGCAGGAGTGCCATCTAAGTGGCATTATGAGCAGAACTGTCCATCAGCTAGAAAGCTTCCAGTGAAACATAATTTCAACACTCACCTAGACATGTCACTTCTAGTCCGCTCCAGAGGCCGTTTGCCATGCACTCTCGCACACGCGAGCCCACCAGTGTGTACCCCGTATTGCAGGAGAAAATGGCTGTCGCGCCATAGGTGGTTAAGGTCCCGATCCTATTCCCATTGGATGGCACCGGCAGGTCTCCACAGGAGATGACTGGAGAGGAAGGACACATGCTGCAATGTCTCATGAAGACCAAAACAACTTGGAAGGGAAGGATAGACAACAGCAAGAACTCTGCGGAGGATGCCGGGCAGCCTCCAGAGCCTGCTGCCTGCAAATTTCCACAGGACATCTTTACCATATTGGTAGACGCGGGTGAGGAAAACATCCTGCTGGCGAGCTGTGACCACCCAAGGGTGCCTTGCATCAGTTAACTGAATGCCATTCTTTATTAAAACATGTAATTTGCATTTCTTCCTTCTGCATGAGAGCCCCAAGGCAGTTTGTGATCTTTACAAAACAGCAACAATTGATTTTGAAAACAGAAATGTCTAAAAAGTAGCCAGGTTAAGGGACAAAAGACTAGCAAGCAATGACAATAAGCAAGCAGGGATTTTGCTATTCAGGGAGATCTCCTGGAAAGCAAGTCTGAACAGAAGCACGTTTCGTGTGTGGTGGGTGGCACGGGGAGAGGAAATCCCGCACCCACAAGCTGCTGCCGAGAAGGGCGCCTCCTTCATGCCCGCCAGCCTCACCACTGATGCTGGTAGGCCAAGCAGCAGGAGCCCTTCGGATGAGTGAAGGGTTCAGGCGGGTTCATAGGCACTCCTTCAAGTTGTGGTGCACCAAGCTGAGTGCAGCTCCTCATCCACACACGGCCAGAAGATGCACGGATTGTAACATGCAGCCATTCCTCTGGCTTCCAGGGATTAATTTGTCAGGGCATTGCCCACCCACTGGAAGCCAAATGCTTGCAGCCCATGTGTCTAGCAACTCACACTCTTGAAAACGAAAACTTACAAGAGATTTACAAGAAAGTAAATTTCCACATTCCTACCACAACTCTGTGGTTTGCCTGTCCTCCCACAGAGCTGCAGCACAGAATCCTATCCACCTGTTCTTGTGGATCCAAGAAAAATGCATGGGAGAAGCTCCTGGAAGATCAGATGCACATAAACAGCAGTAGCTGCTGGGGAAAAGGCTCGAGAGCATCAGAGCAACTTGAGTCCTACATATCTACCTAGTCCTATGGGGCTATTGGTTGCAGAATATAAGTTTAATAATAAATAAGCAAGGAAGCAAATTTTTTTAGCAACATCACCCAGGCTTCCAGTGGTTACCGAATGCTCAATAAGGATTTGCCAGCCTTGTTATTTCTCTCCAAAGTTTTTCTATGGCTTGGAACACAAGGTGGGACTTTGTACATGCCCAGAGAGTGCTTGTTCACTTATAGTTGTGTTTTTTTCCATGTGCTAGGCAGAAACTAGTGCTTGCACAAAGCTAAGTAAACACTGAAACTCTTCCAAGTGGAGGTTATTTTGAAGACTCCCAGATGGGTGGGAAAGCCCAGTGACACTTTCCAGTCATGGAGCTTCTCTGACCAGGAGGTTTCCTTGCCTGAATAATGAGGATGTAGGCCAGGAAGGGGAGGGGAGGAAATTCTAGCCCTGCTTGGAGGTGCTGGGGACTGAACATGAGAATTTGTGCATGGCAAGCAGCGCCTCTGCTGCTGAACTAAAGCCCATTCTCAGAGCATATCCGATAGTGATCGTGAGCATTTTCCTGATGGTATGGATTGGATTGGTGTGGATTTTCTACTGGCTTCATCTTCTGGTTCCAAGATCATCTTCAAGCCATGAGATCAACAGATATTCCACATGATCTCACTGTTGAAGGTGACCTATGAACCAGAAGCTAAATAAGCAGCATGTGAAGATTTGAGAAAATGTTCTTGACACAACTTTCCTCTGAAAAAAATGTGAGGTGTGGAAAAGGGGAAGAAAGGAAAAAAGAAATATGGAAGGAAAAGTATTACGAAAGATGCTAAGGAATGAGCTGTTTGGTCAACAGTTTTAAGCCTTTGGCCACTACCAGAAACGGAGATGACACTGTTGGTCATGGTGAAGAGGACACCACATCCTCCCAGAATACCTCCCTGGGAACGGTACTAGCCAAGGACATAGCAGCTTTGCAGAGGCATTACTGGGGGAAGAGTGGGTCCTCCCCCCACCACAGCCAGCATTGCTCCTAGCATGGCATACAGGGAAATAAGCAGCCAGGGATGCAGCTGTAGCCCAAGTCAAAGGTCCTTCACCCAGACAGCCTTCACTTTTAAATAAACATGAAAAGAGGGCTGCGGAGGGCAGTGACAAGCAAGACCAGCTTCTGAACCGGAACACGGTAGGCATGCCCAGGGCTGATGCAGGTGATCACAACATGAGGATGCTTATGTGAAACCTGCAACAACTCAAATGCGTTTGAATGTCTAAAAATCTGACTTGCAGATTTCACAGTGGACTGCTTTTCCCAAATTGCATAGATTTGTGGATCTGTGAACTCCTCTTTAACTGTCTGTTGCTTTATGCCAATCTAGTCAGAGATAATTAGGAATAATTAAAAACATTAACATTTCCCCCATAGGCAAAAGCGTGAAAATGCTCATTTTGAGGTGGCTTGCATATTTTGGGGAATTTGTGCAAATACTCATTAGCACAAATGGGCATGAATGTATTTGCACAAAATCTGATTCTGTCAATGTGCAGATGCTGAGATGCAAGGTGACTCACACAAGGTATAAATGAAACAAACTTGTAATGTCCAAATATTACAAACAACTCCCTCCCTCCCTCCCTCCCTCCCTCCTCCTCACCAGATATTCATTGCATCATTTTCACATTAAGTTATTTTATCTTTTTCTGCAAAGGATGCATTTAGCAACATATACAAACTCCATTTTATTCCTGCAGTCATGATGATGACATAATATAAATGAGTTTACCATGCTCAGCATATTCCTTTCTTCTTCCACTTTCTTAAACCATAGAGTCATAGAATCATACAATAGTAGAGCTGGAAGGGGCCAAGAAGGCCATCGAGTCCAACCCCTGCTGTTGCAGGACACCGGTTTACACCATCCCACTCAGATGACCATCTGGTTTCACTTTGAATGTCTCTAGTGTGGGAGAGCCCACCACCATTCTGGGCAGCTGGTTCAACTGCCATATAGCTCTGACAGTGAGGAAGCTTTTCCTGATGTCCACCCTGAATCTGGGTTGTCGCAGCTTGACTTGATTATTCTGTGCCCTACAGTTAAGATATCTTTGTTTATTTTGTGCTAATGCATCAAGAATGCACAAACACTTGCAAAGCATGGAATGGATGTGTGGGAAGAGAAGAGTCCTATTAGCTGCATGTTGTAAAGGGTTGCCACTGAACAATGATCCATCAGCTGCGCCCCTACCTGGAGCACGACTGCCTGGCGACAGTGACACATGCGCTGGTGACTTCCCGACTTGACTTCTGTAACGCACTCTACGTGGGGCTACCCTTGAAGACGGTCCGGATACTTCAGTTGGTTCAAAATAGACCTGCCAGGCTGCTGACGGGGACTGGACGTTATGTTCACATGACTCCAGTCCTCCGACAGCTTCACTGGCTTCCCACTGAAGTCCGGGCCCAATTCAAGGTGTTGGTGATGACCTATAAAGCCCTAAACGGCTTGGGTCCTGGTTACCTGAAGGAGCGCTTGCATCCATATATGCCCAGCCGCCCCCTGAGATCAGCGGGGGAGGCCCTTCTCCGGGAGCCCTCCGTGAAAGAAGTTAGGAGGGTGGTTACTCGGAGGAGGGCTCTCTCAGCGGTGGTGCCTAAGTTATCGAATGCGCTCCCCAGAGACGTCCGCCTGGCGCCATTGTTATTTGTTTTTCGGCGCCAGGTGAAGACCTTTTTATTTAAGCAACATTTTAAATAATGATAATATTGAATTTTATCCGGCCAGGGTGGCTTATTTTATATTGTATAATTGTATTTTATTTTAATGCATATATTTTAAAATGTTATTTATGATGTTTTAATTTATTGTTGTAAGCCGCCCCAAGGCTTCGGCGAATGGGGTGGCATAAAAATGTTTTAATAAATAAAAAATAAATAAAAATAAATGAATGTGGGCTTTGGAGTGCTGCTTTGTGCCAATTGTATATATTTGCATAAATAGGGTGTTTTTGCAAAAATCCTTAGCATTCGAAAACAAAATGTGCAGACTGTGGGCTATCTTAGATGGCAGTTCACAGGAAAAAGTATGGCTTGGTCCATGTCTGATCCTCAGGTAGGAAGATGCATGGGTTGGAACTGGGTGGGAAGTCTGCTCAGCAAAAATGAGTCAGATTTCCCAGCATTTTCTCTTCCCTTCCCCTGGGAAAAAGGTTCTGCTGCTAGCAAGAACCTGTCTTGCATATGTGGCATTGATTAAAAATTGCATCTTTCGGTCCAGAATTTGAACTAATGTTCATATGAACTTGTGACCATGATTTCGCTTTTAGAGAGCACAATGGAACACAACCGCCTTCCATTTTTTATACATACTTTGGGGTTTGGATATTAGGGGGTTAAAGCCTTCCTGAGCGTGTGTGTGTGTGTGTCAGTTTGAGCCAAGAGGTCAAAAGCTTAGTTAGATATTAGGCGGGATTAGAGACAGACTGTTGGTTTAGGAAGCCAAAAGTTTGCAGCAGACTCAACAGAAGAAGGGATTATGTGTTTGGCAGGAAGTCTCACAGAAGGTTGGGGAAGAAAGAAGGGGAAGGAAGCTGTAATTGGATTAGATGAACCCAAGTGTCTGCTTGGAACCAGCTGAGCAGAGTGTCTGCTTGGAAAGCAAAAGGTTTAGCAGAAGGCTCAAGTGAAAAGTTTGGTTAGATATATGAGCAGAATCTTTGCAGAAGGAGGAGGAATAAAGCAAACAACTCAAGATCAAGGTAAGACCTTAGGAAAAAGAATACAGGGCAAATACACAAGAAACTACCTTCCTCATTCATTGGATTTTGAGAGTGAGTACCTTTAATTGTATGATTTTTTTAAAGGTAGAGAATAGAAAATCAGAGATTCAAATAAAGAAGGAAAGAAACCCAGAGTCCTAGAAGAAAGAATCAGGGCTGCAGGAACGGGAGCACTGTTCAAGAGAGTGCCAGATCTCTGACGCAAGAGATCTGATGTTCTGATGTTTTTTTGGATAAGAGTCCTGGATAAAGTAGGGACACAATCTAGATAGGCAGGTGAGATGTGTTGATCCCTGGCTATTGTATTACCCTTTGCTCATATGTTGTGCTTGTGTTGCATTTCTATGAGTATTTATGTATCCACTCTGATTTTAAAACATAACATTTTTCTTCCATAAGTGTTTCCACTTTGTGTTTGGAAACATATGTTCAGTTTACTTTATAAGGCTAGTCATCCCGCATTAAATAACCAAATCCCATACCACCTAAGGTCCATATCAAAGCTCTGGAGAGTTTGAGGCTGGTTTGGCAGATGTAGCCAGAAGAAAGGAAGATGCCCATCTAGAAACAGCAGAATGGGTGCAGGGCAGACGAGCCTCAAGAGCGGGACGTACCCTTCTGCCTTTTTTCGCTTTAACCCAGCTCCCTAAATAGGGACTTCTGTTATTTCAGGGAGAATGCGCCGAGGGGGTACTTCAGAGAGTGGTACACCCCTTAGGCAAGACTCAATGGAGAAGGCGAGCATGCTAGGGAAAGTCAAAGTGACGTGGGGGTGCGGGGAGAGAGCCCAACTATGCGATGGATTGGCTCCATGACGGAAGCTACAGCCTTGAGTTTACAAGAGCTGAGCAGGGCTGTCAAGGGCAGAATATTTGGGGGCGGCGGCGGGGGGCTTTCATTCATGGGATCACCATAAGTCAGAAACATGGCAGCATGAACCAGCACTTCCCCCTTCCCCCTGTGGAAACAGCCGCTAATCTCCGGAAGGGTTAGCAGCTGTTGATGTATCTCCACTGCCATTTCCTCCTGAGATGTCCCCTCCCACCAGACCATATTTTGCTATCTGTTAATGGCATTGGGACAGGGCTGTCCTTGGTCTCCACAGTGCATATGCTTTGCAGCAGCAATCACCACCACCACCACCACCACCTTGATTCATCTATTTTCCCTGGCGTGCACACACACAAATGTTGGCCATATTTGACCTTCCAGCAGCACCACTTGGCAGTCAGCTTACTTCTGCAGGTCGGCACAGGCTCTCCTATGCTCCACTTCCCACTGGCCTGGCAACGGATGACCCGGTGTCCTATGTAGTAGTAGCCAGGGTCACAGATTAACATAAGCTGGGCGTTGTACTGATACTGGGTCTCATAGATCAGCCTCCATCTCCCATGCTCCACGGCAATGCCACTGATGTCAGGGCAGCTGACCGCTGAACACCAGCCATATGAAGAGAAGAAAATAAGAACAGCATGTTATCTGTAAGAACATCAGCACAGCTCCTCTGGTGAAAGAGAAAGGTCACCCGCCCCAGCAGTTCGTCTGGATGGCTAGGCAAAGAACACAGTGAAGCTCAGAAGGAAGCAATATGGTTGCACTGGTCACTGTCCTTCAGCCCTGCCGTTGATCCACCTGGGCACCCCGGGCTGCTGCAAAGTGACCTTCTGCTTTGGCCACAGAACAGCATCCTTGCAGGTAACCCCAGGCAGGACTTTGTAATTGGAACGCTATGCCCTCAACCAAACGACGTGATGCAGTCTAAGCTAAGAATGTGGAGGAATCTGTTTTGGTGATGGGAATCCATCCAATCCTCTGGCCTTAGCCCCCTGGACCCTGGTCTGCGTTGTCCTGGTCATCAGCCTGGTGAGTGAGCCCAGTGGCCCGGCGATGCTTGCCAGGAATCGCGCCTATACCACCAATATGCAAGCCACGTCCCTCTGCCATGTCACATACAGCAGCCTTTGTGCTGCTGCAAGTGATGAGGAAGAAGTTCAGTAGTTGTACAAGCAGAGGAGCCATCAGCTCGGCTCACTTTCCAGGACTTGGCTGAGCACAAGAGGAAGTCTCCACATCCTAGAGTGATGGATCCCATGGCATTTAATCTCAACTCATTCAAGCAACCTGGAAAATGCAGGTGTGATAGCTAAAGGGAATTTCCATATCCAGTGGAAATGGACCTCTAGAACAGTGGTGCAGAGTTTCAGACATCGGGGTAAAATCCTGCTTTCTGAGGATTTTATCTTCCCCCTTTCAGTATATCACCAATGTCTGGTGATCTCCTAGCCTCTGAAGAGCCTCCCTCCCTGCTCTTCTCTCGAGGCTAAAATACTAGTAGTTATAGATGTTGGCTTTATGGCATTTTGCCCCATCCCGTTCTCCTTCATCATTGACCACCAGCGGAAGGCAGACCCTGAACACAGCTCTGAAATGGAAGTTGGCTCTCCAGTTGACAAAGAGGCGCATCCCTCATCCAGGGACAATCAGTGGGCAAGCCAGGGCTATCGGTGGAGATGGCCCATGAACACAGCCACCAATGGGATCTCCACATTCTGGGGTGGTGTACACCAGAATGCCAGATGATGGGGATACATTTTTAGGGAAAGGGCTCTGCCTCCTAGGCTTGCTTCCAATCTTCCTGGAGGATTCAGTCTGGCCAGGAACCAAACTAGATGGACTTCCAGTCCAGTTGACTCATGTTCTGATTCTGGTCACTTATTAAAACAGATGGGATAGAAGTGACCAGAGCTGGTCTAGACTTACCCACACATGGAAGAGGGCTGTTGTTGTTGCTCCACTGCCCGTTAGGCAGGCATTCTGAACTGGAGTCATCCTGGCTTTGGAGGTGGAAGCCTTCCTTGCATTGATAGACTGCTTTGGTTCCCACCGTATACTCTTTGCCAAAAACAAAGCCGTTCTTGGGAGCTCTGGGAACTCCACAGGAAATAGCTGGTAAGGAAATCACGAGATGCATTATTGTTTCCACCTTATATTGAGTCCTCGCTTCTCTGCTTGGTTTGATCCATGGTGGACTGGAATCTCCCTGTCCCCAGTTCACCACCACCTCATGTATAGCTGTGCTGTAACTCCCTTCCTTGTTTCTTTTAATGTTACGTTTTTTTTAAAAAAATACTTTTTAGCTTGTATGAAGGCTCTTGGCCACCAAGGTGAAAGTAGCTGCTCTGCTGGGAGACCAGGAAAGTTCTTTCACTGATGTCCTCTGAAGCACCCCCCCCCCCACATTTCTCTGTCTCTCTCACGCACACGCACACAGTCATAATGGTAACAAAGCCCTCTCTCTTGCTAAGCATAATTGGCTTGGGAGGTGATGAAACATTGGAACCACTGAAGTAGTGGTTGGGATAAAAATGTTCCTGTGCAAACAGGTCCAGCTGGCTGGCTCGAGGGTCATCAGTCGCATCCTGGCTTTGCGATGATAATTGCGTGTCATCCGAGCCACTAAGGAGTTCGGCAAATCCTCTAGCAAGGCTGGGCGTCTAGACAGCTAGTTGCAATGCATACCAATGCCACACAGCGTTCGCAAGAGAACAGCAGGTGCTTGAAAATCCTCACCCCTTCTGGCTCCAGTTCTATAATCTCTTTAACCTTCAGGTGTTATCTCATTAAAACAATCTGGAGGCCCTGATATGCAGCTCACCCAGTGCCCCAAACTGTTTGCCATCTTTTAAAATCTCCTCTCTCCAAGCCCCTGGGCCTTTATGTGTGAGCCTGAGCGGGCTCATGTGCTGCACTGCATCTGGGCAAGCTACCCAGCAGCGACAACCGTGCAGCCTGTGATGCTCCTGGGGAACCATGCCTGGTCCAAACAGATCAAGGAGCGAGCCCGGGGCATGGCAGGGCTTGGCTGGCAGTGGGCTGCATTTCAGTCCACTGCAGCAGGCTTGGCTTTGCAATTCAGCATCCCAAAGACCAAGTCCATTGCAAGAGGTCAGTGCTTGAACCCGAAATGCAAGAGGCGATGGGGGAGGCTCTCTTGGCCTGGAGATAAGTGCATAAGCTCTGCTCTACACAGGGTTGCACTAGCCTGTAAGGGACACATCTTCCACTTAGGAGAACTTTTGGTTCTAGTTCTGAACCTGAATCCACAGGTTGCATCTGTGGCCAAGATTGGTGGTGGTGGTGGCAGCGGCGGTGGAGAATCAATGCAGACAAGCTCATCTGCTAGGTCCATTCATGAGTCAATGATGGGAGATCACAAAATAGAACCCTGGAAGCAGACCTGAATGTGGCTTGGAAAAGAATGATGACAATTTGCTCAAGTGTGTGTGTGTGTGTGTGGGGGGGGGTCCTTGTGCCCCCCCACCCCGCCACCAAGCTTCTCTAGGTGTAATGCTCTTACTTTCTTTCTGACTTCTGCAGATATCTGTGTAAAGTAAAATCTACTCCTAGCCTAGTTTGAGTCTACTTGTTTTCAACATTTTATCATTACAATACAAAATGAAATGAGCTAACTGAAAGTTTTCAGTAGATTATAATAAGGTTTCCTCCTCCCCTGTAAGTGTGACATTAGCCCAAACGTTATTTCAACTGTTGCCATGGTGTTCTGAAAACCCGATTGCTTAACTTGTTCTTTTCCCCACCAAATGAGCACAGTGAAGTCACCAGCAGGACTGAATGCAACTGCAAAAGCGCTGGTTGTTCCCGGCATAATATAATTGGTTATCTGCTCCATGACTACGATAGCCCACAATTTAATTAACCACCCTTTAACACCTGGCATCTTGCTTCTGTCAGCCCATAACATCCTCCAGTTGGAGAGTTTCTATTAATCCTATGTTAATACAGAGTCCAGCTAGTCCTAATGCAGGTCTGGCCTGAGCAGCTGCAGTTCACCAAAGAGCTCGTTAAGCCACTGACAAAGGCCCTTGACTTCCATCCATCTCCCTCTTTGCACAATTGGCCAGACAGAAATGGTGTCCGTTGCAAGTTCTTGGATTCAGCAAATGGTCCATCAAACAAGATGGAGGTGGCACTTGTGCTCTTCTGCATCAAAATGACATTGTGGTTGAAAAATTTGGCATCCTTAGCAGTTGATGCTATTGTATGATGGGCACTTTTATTTACAGGCATTCCATGGAACAGAAAAATCTGGGCATTTTCCAGTGTGGCAGCAAAATCACCAGCTGCTCCATGGTACCCAACTGAGAGCATTGCTCTGCAGGAGTGACGGAGAGGACAAAAAGCACATGGGCTATTTGAGGGGATGGTTGAGTCAACATTCATTTGCAAAAAAGAGCTTACCACCTTCAGCAGGGAGAAAGCTACTGGAACGACAGCTTTTAATCAGCGGTGATGTGCAAACAAAATCAAGCCTGAACTAGGCCAAAGGTCTGGAATGATCAAGGCGGCGCCTGAGAATTCTCCAAATCAGAGTCGTCAAGTTCTCCTTATTACTTAGGACAGCAGTTGAGGCAGGGAGCAGCAGATGGCTCGCTCCGTGTGCTTCCGGGATTAGCACGTGCCACTGTGAGCACGGATGTGTAGGATCATGAGGGGCCTGAAGGAAGAGGCGGTGGCCACCAGCCCTTCTTCCCCTGGTGATCCCTGCAGGAGGGCTGCGTTTGGGGCGGCGAGAAGGGCTGGCTAGTGGCCTGGAGCTCCCCTTGGCCCATTCAGAGCAAGCATAGGCTTAACCAAACAGTTCAGGCAAAATGAAACTTGAGGCTTCGGCGAATGGGGCAGCATAGAAGCTTTCTAAATAAATAAATACAATTATTCCTCCTTGTACTTCTCTTTCCTCCTCTTTTTTCCTAATCTGAACTTGGATCGATGGGAATTGGAAGGGGGGCATTTTTCAAAAATTGTGCTTTTATTCTTTCAGTTCTGAATGCATGAATTTATCATCTGGAATGAGAGAGATCTTAGATGTTTTTCTTCAGCTACATCATGTTTAAATATCTACTTTGAGAGAAAATATATATTTGAGTATGCATTTTGAGAAGCATTTTTAAAGTGCAAGACTGATGTGGGAACAGAATAAAATTATAGGTAAAAACAGAAACATGGGCCTTTAAAAGGGATTCTGCCGTTCCAGAGACTGATATTTGACACAGTTGCTACTGGTTTAACGCAAGGTCTCTTGGAAATGAGTGGGCTGGTTGATTCCCGATGCTTTACTATTCTTGCTGGGGCCTCTGCTGCTATTTGGGGTGGGCAAACTGCGGGGAAAAGCCAAGTTAGCCCCCAGCCAAACTAAATGCTCATGTTGCCCTATGACCCTCTTCCCCATCTCCTGCCACCCCTTAGAGTCTAGTCAGTTTAGAGTCTGAGGTGCATTCCTTCCCTTCCCCCTTTACCTGCTTCATAAGAACAGGGGTCACCCTACCAGTGAGCCAGGAAAAGGAGGGTCACCACTCCCTTTACTCCTTTCTCTACCCCACCCAGTGTCAAAATTCTGAATCTGTTGAATTCTGCAAGGCTGGAAGCCTTATCCAACAGAGCACTCTGCTGGTGCATTGGACCACAACTCCCATCATCCCCAGCCACCATGGCCAATGGCAGCAGCTGAAGCCCTTAAACAACTCTCAGCTGTGCACCGCACTTCTCTTAGCCGTGCATTTTTGTTATAAACAAACACACAAACGATCATCCCAGGCCAGCGCGCAACAGCCGGTGAGCAGCCTTCAAACTGGAAATTACCTGGCAGGAATGGGATGTTGCTACACAGGATGGCACAACACCTCACTGCCTGCACAGAGGAAAAGCTGGCTCCTTTCTCCCCTTCTCCTGGCAGCAGACACTTGGGTCTGTGGGAGCAATGGGACCGTGTCATCTGGCACAGCTGAATGCCACAGACTAGCTTTGGGGGCGCAGGGCAGGGCAGGGGCCCCACACCGCTCGGTCCTTCAGACCCCCCCGTCCCCCGTGCCTGCTGAAGCAGACCTTGCACTGCCTTCCTTCTAAGGCAGGCCTTGTCAGCTATGACTCTGTCGTCTAACAGTGGTGAAGTGCGTGTCATAGCTGAGCTGGCAAAGGATGGCACAATCCAGACGAATCTAGAAGGGTTGCCTAAGCAACAGAACTCAACAGTGCTGCCACCTCCACTGGCCGTTCCGGCACCCGTGGAGATGCTGGAGGGCGTGGCCCGGTGAAATGTCTGTGCAGAATCTGATATCATCCCTGAGCAGGTGACAAAATGGAAAGGGCCCGGAAATCTGCAACAGGAGATGGAATGGATTTTACAAAACCTCTACACCCCTAAGTATCCATGAAGGAAAAAAAAAAAAAAAAAAAAAACCCAGGCCATCTCCCTTCTCATCCTTGCTTGCATTTCAGGAGGCTCTACTGGAACTTCACTTCCTCGTAAAAACGACCTGCAGCACCACTTGATATTTAAACGTTCTTTCTAAAGGCTCTCAAGAGCCGGCATGATTCGACAGAGCACTCCCATTGGGGGCAAGTCTGCTCCCTGGGGAAGGCAGCATGATAATTGCCACACATTATCGCTTGGCTGCCTTGGGTCCCGGCAGCTGAAAATCAGCCAGCTCTTCATTTTGGAAGGCGCTGATAATTAATTCCTGCTTTCACAGGTAAGGATGCACTTGCACCAGTGGGTTTTAACCTGTCACTCCCCCTGGGATGAGAGTTAGGGTTGCTATAGTAACCCATCCTCCTGCTGGCTGGGCAGTGGCACCGGATCCTGCCAGCCTGCTCAAATGAGCTGCTTTGATCCTGCTTCTGTTAGATACTGGCCTCTCTTCTTTCAACGAGGAGAAAGCACTATTAGCAAAGCTCCTGCAGCCAGGCTGTGCTCAGATGACTGGTGGATGTTTCGTCAGAAACAGCTGATTAAACATCTGAAGTCCTGTAGCTTTTTGTATGATGCATGGCTACAACAACTGGGACTGTTAGCTTAGAAAAAGGCAAGCGAGGGACGGGTTACACCTCACGAGGATGGGGAAAAAGGCCCTTTGGAGATGCTCCAGCGAGCTCCGTCTGGAAGACTTTAAACTGAGCCGGGGGGGGGGGCGTTCAGGCCCCCCAGAAATGTGTCTGCACTGGACAAGTGTGGGGGGAGGATCAGGGCTCTGGGAGCAGGGTTTTAGAGATACTGCAGGGACTGACAGGACTCCTACAGAGAGGGGCCAGGTATTAGGGAGGATGGGAGGAAGGAGGAGGCTGGGAACTCCAAGGAAAGGAAGCGGTGGGAAGGAGCTGAGGTGCATGTACACCAATGCTAGGAGCATGGGTAACAAGCAGGAAGAGCCTGAAGCTCTCCTGGGAATAGGAGGGTATGACCTGGTGGGAATCACAGAAACTTGGTGGGATGAAAGGCAAGTCTGGAATGTGAACATAGAAGGGTATCACCTTTTTAGAAAGGACAGGAAGGGAAAGAGGGGTGGGGGCGTGGCTTTATACGTCAGGGAAGGGATAGGATGCAGTGAGATAGAATGCAGCACATATGGGGATTTGGTGGAGGCAGTCTGGGTGAAATTTAGGGGTTTTGAAAGAGACCTGACAGTGGGGGTATGTTATCGCCCTCCAGGTCAGCTTGAGACCCTGGATGATGTCCTGACAGGCCAGATTCTAAGGATATCTCAGGGGAGAAACACTGTAATTATGGGAGATTTCAGTATCCCGGATATTACTTGGGAGACTCACTTGGCAGTGACAGCCAGGTCACGTTGCTTCCTAGAAGCTATTGAGGGAGCGTTTTTCACACAGAGGATCCGAGAGGCGACGAGGGGGGGAAACATCCTTGACTTGGTCTTGACCAATAGGGAGGAGCTGATAGATGAAGTACAGATTAGGGGAGTTCTGGATATGAGTGATCACTCCATCCTTTGCTTTGAGATCAGGGGACTGCGGACAGGTAGAAGGTTGAGCACTAGAAGCTGGGACTTCAAGAGGGCCAACCTTGGCCAACTGAAGGCCAAACTGGGGAAAGTCTCCTGGGATAGGATACTGGAAGGTAAGTGAGTTGAGGAGGGGTGGATGGCACTCAAAAGGGAGGTTTGGAGGTGCAAGCCTTGACGATACCACTAGTTAGTGAGGTGGGGAGGTGGAGGAGAGTGCCGCCATGGATGCGAAAGGAGGTGGTTAGAGGGATTAGAGGAAAGAGGAACCTCCGTAGGAAATGGGTACTGGGGAAAATAGACAAAAGGGTGTACTGGGAGGAGGAGGCCCGTTGCAGAAGGATTATTCACAAGGCTAAGGCTGATTACGAGCTGAGACTTGCCAAGAATATCGAGAGCAACAAAAAGGGCTTCTTTCAGCATGTAAATAGGAAGAGGAAGGGGAGACAAGTGGTGGGACCACTAAATAAGGAGGAAGGAGATCCAGTGACTGATATGAGGGAACAGGCACAGATGCTAAATGACTATTTTGCCTCTGTGTTCTCTCCAAAGCAGGACGGGGGATATCCACATAGGAGATTAGATGAGGCTGGGGACTTAGGGGCACAGATTTGAGTCACCCCCCTTGAAGTCCTCAGGGCTCCTCAGGGCATTGGACATTACAAAGGTGCCAGGCCCTCTAGAGTACTTAGAGAGTTGGCAGGGGTTCTCTCACACCCACTGGTCTCCATTTTTGAGGCCTCGTGGAGAACGGGTGAAGTTCCAGAGGACTGCAGGGTGGCATCAGTGGTCCCAATTTTCAAAAAGGGTAGTAGAAGGGACATGGGGAATTATGGACCTGTTAGCCTTGCATCCATTGTAGGAAAAACAATGGAAAGGCTCATAATAGAGAGAGATCTAGCAATGCTAGATAGGGAAGGGAGGCTGACAGCCACACAACACGGTTTCCGCAAAAACAGGTCCTGCCAGACAAACCTTGTGGAATTCTATGACAAGGTTTCGAGGTGGCTGGATGGAGGGGATGCAGTGGATGTGGTATACCTGGATTTCAGCAAGGCCTTTGACAAAGTGCCCTATGATATCCTGGTGGAGAAACTGAGGAGTTTTGGGATACACCAAAGCACTGTCCGGTGGATTAGGGCATGGTTGACTGACTGAAAGCAGAAGGTAACCATTAGTGGGGAATCATCGGGATGGCGGTCAGTGACAAGCGGGGTCCCCCAGGGCTCTGTCATGGGGCCGATCCTGTTTAATCTTTTCATTAACGACATGGAAGAAGGGGTGAACAGTCTGCTGATCAAATTCGCAGACGATACTAAAACTGGAGCAGTGGCCACAACTGAGGAGCAGGTACTCCAGATCCAAAAGGATCTGGACAGACTATGGAAGTGGGCAGGAGACAACAGGATGGCGTTTGATGTGGATAAGTGCAAGGTCTTGCACTTGGGGCATGGGAATGGGTGTCATAAGTACAGGTTAGGGGACAAGTGGCTGGAGAGCAGCACTTGTGAAAGGGACCTCGGGGTGCTGGTTGACTGCAGGCTAAACATGAGTCAGCAGTGCATCACATCCACATGGTGGGCATGTCGTGAGCAGAGCTGGCTGGTGCCGGAGGTCAGACTAGATGACCCAGGAGACCCCTTCTGACTCGCTCTGTTTTCTATGTTTCTATGATTGAGGTGTTTAAATTAATACATGGAATGGAGAAAGTAGACAAGCTGGCTGGGGGGAGGCTTGGGACAGACAAAAGGCACTGCTTCTTCACACAGCATATAGTTAAACTATGGATCTGCTGCTTGGGAAGTAGTGAAGGCCACCAGTCTGGATGGCCTTAAAAGGGGGTGAACAGATTCATGGAGGAGGAGGCTATCTCTGGCTACTAGGCTTGCTAGCCATATGCTTCCTCCTTTCCCAGAGGCAGCCTGCCTGCATACCCAGTTGCTGAGGAGCTGGGCAGGAGGTCTTGCAGCCGTCCTGCTGGAGGGACCCCGTGGGCAGCTGGTTTTGCCAGTGTGTGTCCAGAGGGCTAGACGGGACGGCCCCGTGGCCTGACCCGGCATGACTTTTCTTATGCTCTTGTGTTCTAAAGGGCTTTTGTCAAACCGCTACTCATGCTTTCAGGCTTCCCTTGAAATTACGCTGAGATTTTGTATGAGGACAAATTCAGAAATATTCTATGGACGAGATTGGAAGATATTTTGGTCTCCTTCAGAGGGCTTCATCTGCAGAGAAAGCTCCATATTTGTTTTACGTTTCACTTTAAGTGGTAGCATCTGAGGTGGCATAACCTTGAAAAGCATAACTTCAAATTCCCCCACTGCTTTTTAGAAGAATGTTACTGACCTGAAGAACACGGAGCAATGGAAGGCTTTTCCAGAGAGCAGGTACCATGCAGGGTACGAGGGAGACGGAGAAGAAAACACCTCCTCCTGTTGCCCCGCCTTTTCTTTCCACTTACAGGAAGGTGAGTTCTGAGTTGATTTACCTGATCTGCCTTGTTGTGGGTGGGGAGCCACACAGAGAAATTTTCAGATTCTATAGTTTCTGCCCTCTTTTCTGCCTTGCTCCCATCCCTCACTTTTCCCTCCTCCCCAAGGTCTTCCAGGGGAGTGTCGCAAGCTCAGCTGCTGTGAAGCTTTCTGCATGTGGCTGTGAGGGGGTGGGGGGTGTTTTGGTCTCAGTTTCTTTTTCCAAGATCATGGCGATTTCTATAGGCTCAGAAGGGGACCTGCTGGTCCACTGGATCACTTTGTAAGTTCCATTGTGGCAGAAAGCAGGCCCCAGTAAAGAGCCTGGCATCTTTCAGAGCCGCAGCATTGCTTCATATTCTGGTCTTACACACCTGGTCATCCTCAGTTACCTGGCTGGAATACCACCAGGTGGGTAAGACCAGGATATTAAAGATGCAACTAAAAATAGTATATAGGAAGGGAAAATGCATTCTATTTGCACTGAAACTCTGAGAACAAGAGATGTGGACAACACACGTATCTGGATACACTTAGTCAAACCTCTGTCCGTGCAACACCTGATTGGCTCCTCCAAGACATCTGCAGAGATCCAAGCTAAAAGAAGTCATGGGACCTGTTGCATGAATGCACACCTTGACACAGAGGAATGGCTTCGCTCCAGTGGAAGTAACCCTGCGGGTGCCTCGAACATGTTGCAAAGCTGTGGCCAACCAGGCGGAAGCCGGCATCGCAACTGAAATGAATGGTGCTTCCTGGCTGTAGGCCGGTGTGGCTGAGGATGGAGCCATGGAGAGGCGGCCGAGGGAGGCTGCAGTAAGCGGCTAGAGACAAGTGGGAGGGAAACACAAAGGCACATGCTGAAAGCCATGTCACTACATACACAACTTGTGAAGAGAAGAGGCATTGCTTTTGCTTCTATCCATCCCTTGAAAACATCATCCCTGGACACTTGGCATGGGACCTCCGGACAATGGAAGGTCAGGATCCCGTGCCCCCAGTCCCACCTGATGGCCACAACGTAGGCACCCTGGTGCCAATGACATCGCCCTTGTGCGAGCCAACACATGCACATAGGAACCAGCAATGCTAGGTTGAAAACATGGCTGTCCCTGCCAAGTCATGAGCAGCTGCCCAACCTGCAAGAATGACAAGGAAAGCATCCCATCGTTTCCTCTGCTGAGGTGTCTCAGAAGCATCTACCCTCAGATGAATCAAGCCCAGAAGGGTGACTCATGCAGAAGCCGAGATGGCCCCCTTCTCTGAAGGACGGGCATTTCATTTTATACTTTACTTGAGTGTGTGGCCCTCCCATATTAATTCAGAAAAAGGGAGTGTGCCCATCTGGCTACATGAAGATGTTTTAGGGGTCAGAACTTGAGGCCCGCAACCAGGTCTTGAATGGGTGCTCTGAGCAATGACAGGCATGGGTCCGGCCTGTGCACCATTCTCCGTCCGACCAAAATGGAGGATTTCCGTATACCAGTCAGCTGGAGAGAGTCCCCCCACTCCCCCAGATGCTTCCAGGCCAGGCTTGCTTACCAGTCCAAGCAACACTGAGGCCCCTCTTGCTACACTCTTCTGTTCTACAGTGCTTCTTTTTATCCTATCCGTAATCCTCCAGCTGCTCTCCATCTTCCCCTTACAACAACTACTGAGAGTTAAGCTGAGAGTCAGTGACTGGCGGAAAGTCACTCCATGCGTGTCATAGCTTGGTGGAGACCAGAATCCAGATCTCCGAGGCCAACATGGCCGCCATGATGCCTACGATCGGCTTTGCCATACAGACTCTTGGCTTCAGAAGGACCAATTTTGTCCACGGCCCTGTGCCACTTGCCAGCCTTACCTCTCCTGCTCTGAACCTGTTATTTTGAAACAATCAGGCTTCGCCTTTTCCTCACTAAACCTGGGTTCCATGTTGCCTCTTTCTCTCCATTTATCTCTCTGAGTTTTTTCAGGTGCAACCTACTCTAAATAGCAGACAGCAAATGAAAAGGAATCCTCAGCTAAAATCTCAGAGGATCATAAAGCAGGCATTGTTCATTCAGCAACGAACCCAAAACTTAATTTCTCCCAATTAAATATTAATACATTCATTTACAGAATAACAGCATTAACTTATTTATGACACATTGATACGTGTCCCTGCCTTGAGTTTGATTGCTTTTCATTAACTAATTAAAACTTTCTTCATTTTGGGAATGAGTTGTTTAATTTTAAGGGACTCCTTACCAAACACTCAATAATTGCTTTTATACAGGTGGAGTAATTAAAGTACATATGAAACCAGGTCCAGTTTAAATGTGCACGTTGAAAATGCTGAGGAAGAAGTGAGCAGCCCTTTTCCTCCTGGGAAATCCCTGTCCTTTTTTTCAAAAGTGTAAAAATTTGTTATACTTTATCCCCTCTCCCCCCAACACAGAGAATCGAAAGCAAAACAAATGCAAATGCTCAGACACCATCTGAGAGCTGGCGCGGTGTGCTGGCGAAGAGCGTGGGGTGGGGACTCAGGTGACCCGGGTTCTAGTCCCTGCTAAGGCAAAGATGGGCCTGCTGGATGCCTGGGCCAGTCACAGACTCTCAGTCCAGCCTCCCCCACAGGGGTGTTGTTGTGGGCATAAGATTGAGAGCAGGAGATAAACAGCTCTGAGGTCTTTGTAAGAAAAAAGTGGGAGAAAAATCGAGAGAGAGAGAGAGGATGCACTGCCAGTTTAGGTAAGGCAGTTGTTTCGTGTGTGTATGTGCATGCATGCGTTATTACATATTACGTTTTTATCCCAGCACGTTTCCCCTGAAGAATCCAAGAAGTCTTACAAATCCCCCCCAGCTGCCCCCTTTTGACCCCACAACAGCCCCGTGAAGTAGTCAAGTCTGAGGATCAGTATCTGGCCAATAGGTTGCCTCATAAACGTCACAGCCAGGCAGAGCCCAGGTCTCCTGAATTCCAGTCCAATGCCTGAGCCCATCATAGGATCACAATTCAACCCCCCCCCCGCCCCGCTGGGCTTCCCAGATGCCTGTGCCCCCCTTTGACTCTCTGCCCTGGCCCCACCCCCTTCTCTAACAGTGGTCCTTTAGCAGTTTCCCAGCTTTGGAGTCATTTATCCCCTCGTCTAAACTATCAAGATGCCTCTCCTAAGCTGAAATAAGCTGGTATTCTTAGTATTTTTGCCCACCACTTGGTGCTAAGCCCTACAACACTCAATAGACTGAAAACTAAGAGATCAGGGCCTTCTGGCGGTCCTCTGCCCTGCTGGCTGAATCCATGCTGGACACCAGCAGGACGGCCGTGAAAGCCCCCCCGCTTCTCCCTCTTCTTTCCATTGCCAGTCAGGTGAGCCTTCAACTTGCCTACCTGGCCTGCCTTGTTGTGGGAGGGATGGGCGACGGCTTCTCATGCAGGATTCCCCCTGCATGCCACCCCAGCCCTCTTTTTCCTTTCCTCTGAGCTCTTCAGGTGCCTCGTTGCTACCTTGGAAGTGTCTCCATGGTGCTGGGAGGCATATGGGGTGGAGGACTAGGACAGCCCCTCTTGAGGTCTCAGGAATGTCTGTGGTCTTGGGAAGGGGGTGTTTTGTCCAGCCTATACTTAGGTTCTTGAGATGCTGTGCCATGATGTTATTCTAGGCCTCTTTTTCAGACGGGGTGACCCAATCACGATTCCTTTCCTTTCTTCGTTGTCCTTTCGCTCTGTTTGTCATTTTTGTCCAGACAAAGGATCTGAACTACCTGTTACAAGGACAAGGGATTTGCATGCCTCTGAAGGGGCCCTCAGTACCTACTGGCCACCCATATCTGCTCATCACTTTGTAAGCTCAGGCGACTATGATCTGCCATTGCAAAATTTCCAAGTGACAGCATTTAAAAGCCACACTTCTGTGTACAGGGCTAACACATTATATTAACTGAAAAGGGCTTTATTGACACTGGACTGATTACAGAAGCAAAACACCATCATAACCATAATTCTTGAGCGTATCTCTCATTACAAAACTCAATTAGAAACAAGATTCACAAAAGACTGAAGGCTCTATCTGCTGCCAAATCTATAATCACAAAGAGGCATGTTCTCTCTGAAATGGAAAATGTCACCCTGTCAGAAAGGGGCCTCTGAATTTTATCACTAGTAATTGTCCCCATCCATCGCATGATGCTACATTCTCACAGCCAAGAAGGAATGCCAGGTACCTTTGCTGAATTTCACTAAATAGCCATGTTGGAGATCTTAGACCAATGACGTAATGCCTAGATATTCCTTAACAAGAGTGTCCCATGATATGTCATATAAAAATAGCCTGCTATATTTCCTTCCAAAGAGTTGGGAGGGACCCATCACCGGCCAAGAAAGAGTCACTAACACCATGGGGCTTTCTGCTTCTCTCCTCCACATCCCTTTCTGTAGCCCCCTGCATGCTACCATCTTACGCAACCCCCAGAATAGATTTTGGGGATGCGCAGGGGGCTGCCAGGTAGGTTGCGGGGGGGGGGGGGGACAGCACATCTCACCTTGCTAGTTTCCCTGATAGAAGCAGTTCCATCAGGATGCCCCTTGGTTTTATGCACATACTGGGGAGGTTGGCATGGCAAGGGTAGCCAGGGTGAAATGTTCCCATTGTGGCTTCATTGTGTTGTCCAGACCCATTTCCAGTGTTCCTACATGTTAGGATTAGCTTTCTGAGACCACAGAGAGAGTTCACAGTCTGTTCTCAAATTTCCATGCTTCACCAGGGCTTCTCCAGTCATCCAGACCTGGGGTCATCATTTTACCATTTTTGGTATGGAAATACCCTAGAGTCTCCTGGCAGGAGCAGATGCAGCAGTGGTCCCTTCTGGCTTTTGTTCTCTGCTTCCCTCAGCTCCCTAGCAATAGATGCATAATTGTTTGCTTTATTCCCATTTGCCCAGCGATGCATCCATCCCCATTTACTTTTGGAAACAGGAAGACAGCACAAAAATGCATGAAGAGAAAAGCTGGCCATGGTGGTAGACTGTTTATTTTCACTTAAGAATCTCTGTTGCGGGCTGGAGCAACTGGGGAAGAACCACACTCGTGCGCATATGCTCAGGGAGAAGGGAGAACCTGCCTCAGGACTGTAGTGGACCAATTAGAAGGGTCCTGCTGCAGCCGCTTTTGATTCATGGCAAGGGTTCTGGAGTGGGTTGCCATGTCCTTCTCCAGTGGATCACCTTTTGTCAGAGCTCTCTGCTATGGCCTTTCTGTCTTGGGTGCCCCTGCATGGCATAGCTCATAGCTTCATTGTGCTACACGAGCCCCCTTGCCATGACAAGGAAGTGATCCATGAAGGAAATCAACCCCTGACTGCTCTTTAGAAGAACAGATACTGAAGTTGAAGCTCAAATACTTTGGCCACCTAATGAGAAAGAAAGACTCATTGGAAAAGACCCTGATTCTGGGAACAATTGAAGGCAAAAGGAGAAGGGGATGGCAGAAGCTGGATGGGGTCACTGGGGAGGTGGGTGTGGGGTTGGGTGGACTCTGGAGGACGGTGGGAGACAGGAGAACCTGGAGGAATGTTGTTCGTGGGGTTGCAAACAGTTGAAGGTGAACAACATGATGCAGTTCCTAGGCAAGGCTAGGGAAAGGATGGGGATTTTGCTCATGGGGACTGTTGAGATGCGTGGCAAGGCTAGGTAGGTGAAGTGGGGAGAGCTGCCTGGGTAACCATGTTATCATCTGCTCAGAAAGTCAGGGCAAAACTCATGCACCATGGAAACAGCTTGGGATTGTTTGCTAGGTTGTGTAAACCCAGTCAGTGTATCTTGCAGGTCAGAAAGGCTGGATTCTATTTTTCTTTAGAATGATGTGTTCTTTTTCAGTTAGATTAATGATGTGGATGATCATAATAAAATACATTTTACAATGTGAGAGATGTAACATCGAATAATTTACAGCATCCTTTATTACATAAAGAGGAGAAAATAAAACTGAACTGGTCGAAGAAAACAGGTCAGGTTATATTTGTATGTGAAAAATGCCGGCTAGAATTGTACTGATAACTTCGGACTAATGCAAAGAAAACAAAACGGAGCAGGCATTTTGTAGTCCATCACTGCTTTCTGCATCAACCATCCTGCCATTTCTGTCCCTGCTAGTTACTCACCTGAATAGCGAATCCTGAAGCCCTTCCTGCTATAAGCGTGGTCAGAGGACCAGTGGAGGTAAACTCTGTTGCTTGAACTTGTTACCACCAGTGGAGCAGTGTAATTCCCACTGAGAGAGAGCAAAAGTGGACTGTGAACCGTAGGACCTTTGGAAAAGAGCAGACAAAGACAGGATTGGAACATCTAAGAGTGCCCTAGCCAAACACAGCTTCCAAATGCTCTGTGAGAAGGCAACATCAACCTTCTCTTGCTTGCCTCCAGGAGCTGACATTTCGGAATAGGCAGCCTCTGCATATGGAGGTACCATTCAGAGGTTTGGGCAAATAAGGAAGGGTGACCTGTTCTCCTCCACAGAAACAAAAACATAGCAAGTCAGAAGGGGCCTCCTGGGCCGACCAGTCTTACTTCCAGCTCCATCTGGCTCCACTCATGTAATACCAACATGTGGTTGTCCACCCTTTCCTTGAACACCCTCACATGGCCCCCACCCTCCATGGAAGCCCCTTTCCATATCTTAGGGGTCCTAACCATCAGGAAGTACCTAAAACCTGATTCCTTGAGCTCTGCCCCTTTGGACCATGTCCTTTCCTTCCCCACAGGGGAGAACAGGTCACAATCCTCTGCCATGTGACACCCCTTCACATAACTTTATGTTGCTATAAGATCCCTCTGACTCTCCTCCTCAGTGAAAGACCCGGTTCCCTCAATCTCATCTCATATGGCATCCCCCCCAGTCTGGCTATCATCCTTGTAACCCTGTGCTGAACTGATTCCAAACTTGCTATGTCCCTCTTGCAATGTGGAGCCCAGAACTGGACACAGTACTCCAGTCTGGGCACACCAGATTCTTATAGAGTGACACCAATACCTCTCTCAATTTAGAAGCCACGCTTCCGGCTATACATCCAAGGGTGGAGTTTACCTTCTTAATTGCTGCATCACACTGCTGGCTCATGTTTAGGCTGCTTTCAACAAGTACCCCCGAGATCCCTTTCACAAGTTCTGCTTTCCAGCCACTTGTCCCCCATCCTGTACCTAAGGTACCTATTCCTGAGTCCCAAGTGCAAGACTTTGTATTGAATGCCATCTGTTTGTCCCCTACCTACTTCCACAGTCTGTCCAGATCCTTTTGGATCTGCAGTACCTGCTCCCAAGTTGACACTGCCCCCATTTTGGTCTCATCTGGTTACCTCCTCCTCCTCCAGGTTATTGATAAAGAGGTTGGACAGAACCAGTCTCAGAACTGAGCCCTGGGGGACTCTGCTTGTCACCAACTGCCATCCTGATGATTCCCTGCTTATAGTCACCCTCTGCTTGTAGTCTGTCAGCCATGCCCTAAACCATTGGGCAGTGCATCGATCTATCCCAAAGCTTATCAGTTTCTCAACAAGGATGCCATGTGGCATCTTGTCAGAGCCCCTGCCAAAACCCAGGTGAACCACATCCACCGTGGCTCTTCCATATAGCCACCTTGAAACCTTGTCATAGAATTCCACCAGGTTCATCTGGCAGGATCCATGAGCTAGCCTGCTCACGCTCTCGGACAAGGAACTCATTTGGCAATGCGTGGCAGGAATGAGTCCCACTAAGGAACAAGAGGGGGGTGTCAGCATGCTTGGTGAAAAGAGAGGGGCACCACACCTCCCATACCCCAGTAAGAGCTGAGCACACCCCAGGGCATGATTGCCTGGCTGGAACACTGACCAGAAGCTCTCTCCACCTTCCAAAGCAAAGCCTGCTTGCTCTTTCTGCAAAGCCAACTCAGCTAGGAGCCTCAGCACATCATGTGCCCGTGGTTATTTTCCCCAAGTTATTTCTTCATGACTTGCTAGTGAAGCGTTTTATGAATGGCTGCAAACCTCCCAGACAACAGTGGCTATAGGGTAGTGTAGAAATAAATGCATTAATGTATTTTATATATTTGCTTTAGTTGTAGTTATAGTTTAGCCTTTCCCATGAGGATATTTCCTTTTCAACTGCTAGTCAATTTTATCTAATATTAAGGTAGGAGTAACAGAAGTCCAATCTACCTTTCTCTATACAGTTCACCGTTCTGTAAACCTTCTGCCCCTTAGGTGTCTTTTCCCCAATAATCTGAGTAGTTTATTCTTGAGGGAAGCTGAAGAGGAGGAGGCAGAGGCGGTGGTGGTGGAAGCAGCAGCAGCAGCTGCCTCTTGCGCTCAAACATCTGGATAACTCACCATCAAATATCCCAAACTCATCATACTGCTTCTCGCTCAAGAAATATTCAACAGTGAAGGAGATGTTATATTCAGGTTCAACCTTGATGACCCAAGAGCACGTCAGAAAGTGGGGGTAGCTGCCTGTGAAGGTCGGGCTCAGGATCACTCCGGTGGACTCTGTGAGGACCTCATTCATGGGGCAGTGGACTAAACAGTGCAAAAGAGAGCAAGAGACAGGGGGCCATTTTGGGTCAGTGTCAGAGCGAATAAGCAACAGACTGCACCTACCCCCCCTGCGAAGAGCTGGCCCACCACACTGCTCTTTGAAGACTTCTTCCGTTAAGCTCCCTGATGCCGGCTCAGAGTTCATCTACTGCAGTTCTGCCTTCTCTGACTGGCAGAGCCTCTCCAGGACTGCAGCTAGAACATGGTCTTTCCCATCGCTCTTCTGACTATGGAGTGAGGATGGTGGGGCTAAACATGGAAACTTTGGCATGCCAAGTATGTGCCCCTTTGCTGAGCTGCAGATGCCTTTAAGGATGGTTGAATCGTCAGTTTTGCTAGCTTCTGCACTTCTTTCCCCTCTGAGCCATGAGGAAATTTGAAAATGTCGACACATTCTTCTCAAAAGTGATCTGAAACCAAATTCTCACCCGCCTACACAGGTCAAATCCAGTGGGAGCAGCTATTCCCAGCACGAAAAGAACCAAGGACTGGCCTGCCACATCGCTGTTACAGAAGCGGCACCCCTAATGAGCGCCACAGAGAAGGCTGCATGCAGCAGAGCTCAACTCAGACTTCAAGACTTCACCAAAGCCCCCTGCTTGCATGGGCGGATCAGCCCTTTGCCCTTGCTCCTACAGCTGAATGTTTAAATCTCAAGTCCTTTCCATCCCATACATGAAGAAATTTCCAAAGTTTGGGTAAATGTGAAACAATTTTTCACAGCAACAATGTGAAATGAATTTTTCACCCATCCCTCTCTAGTTTTCCTCTTTTATCTTCTTGCTTCCTGTACATGGACTAGCTAGGAGAAGGGCCCCCAACCCTAGAACGCCCTCCTTCCCTCGCTATGGACACTTGCTGAAGCCCAAGCATCTGAGAGTAGGATCCTTTCATGCAAAGGGACTTACTTCTGAGTAGACTTTCAGCAACTCCAATTCATTCTCAGGAGTGATTTGTGTCCATTAGCATCACTGAACTCACTACATGGAAACAGCTTTTTTAAAGGTTAGATACCAATGATGCTACACCATATTTAAAAACGTATGGATTGGTATCTCAGACCTGCTAGCATTGTAGAACCGCTGCAGTTATTGTTCATGTATTAAGGCTGTGCAATGGAATTAGAGCTGGAAGCAATAAAAAAAATTCCCCAAGGCTTGCTGTGGGAGTAATACTCCCTTACTCATGGAAGGGCAGTCCGGAATTATGTGAGAAGGCATGTCCAACAGGAAACGTCAGCTTGACAGTTGATATCTTAACATAAGCCAGGAAAGCAATTGCAAAACATCAGGGAACAAATACACTTCCTTGGCAGAAAGACATCTAAAGATGTCATGTCATGGCTTGTCATGGTCTGGAATTTCAACAATGAATTGAGAATTTGAATGCTTTCTAGTTTTGGGAAGACAGCTTCCCTCAAGAAAAAGAATATGGTTTGGCAATAACAGTATAGCTGCTCTAATGACACCAGTCTTTTCTACCTGGTTTCTGTATAATGGCCCTAAAACCCATGAGGTTACGTACATGACATGTAAAGGGCTTCCTCTGCGTACTTGCTATATTTACACAATCAATATAGCTGGTGTTTGACACCAGCAGCCACTCCAGATGCTCTACAAAGACAGATGTAAAGGGAAGGAGAACTATTTCACTAGCTGAATGACTATTTAATTATTTTTTCACCATTCCTCCTCACACTTGTTTTTCCTTGTGTGTCATGTCTTTTTAGAGGCTAAGCCAGCGGCCGAAGACTGTCATCTTGTACTGATTGCATGAAAGATATTCCACAGTCTTTCTGTCTGACAAGCAGGATAAAACACTTTAAACAAGTATGGATAAATATATTCAGTCTCTGTTTGTTGCCTGGAGCTGGTTTGGTGGCACTTCTGCAATCAAGTCTGGTGGAACTGAAGCATCCCCAAAGCCACTTACCTTCACAGGTTGGGGGAGGACCTTCAAACTGTAAGTGGGTGCCAAGTCTGCAGGTCAGGATCTCATTTCCCACCAATGTGAAGCCAGGAAGACATTGGTACCTAATGATGTCACCTGGAGAAGGGGATGGAGAAGGCCAACTATTCAAGGAGGCATGGGGATCTCATACCATTACCCAAACTAGGTTTGATACAGGAGTTCAGAATCGCCTGTCTTAGAAACAAACAGCCAGCAATTTTAGACAGCAAATGTGGGGGGGGGGGGTAAAATTGCTGTTCCATGCTGCTATTTGCTGAATGCTGAAAAACAAAGAGGCATCAGACAAAAATCTATATGTCTTCTATTGGTCAAAGAGTTGGTTTAGAAGTTCATTGGTTTACATTTGGGAACTGGCGTGTTTGGGAAAAGGGAGAGAAAGAAAAGCTGCTTCTCCCAGTGTCAAGGTCCTAATCTAACTTGCTCCAGCAAGCTGCAGGAAATTCTCATCAGGTATATCCTACAACACACTTACTGTGTCCCTGGGGAACCCTTCTGTTAACTATCAAGGAGACATGCACTTCATGCCAGGTTGTTTCTAGCTTTCTGTAACACTCCTTCACTTGTACTTCTTTGGGTGAAAAGCAGAGAGATGTCTCTGCTGTGAAATGTATGGCCTTTTGGGGCCCCGCCCAAAACCTCCCACCCCACGAAGACATTAGTGGAAAGAGCAAGCAGTCTATACCTATGCTGTAATCCTCATTCTCAGTGATGATTTCAGCGTGGGGGACCATCGTCGGAGGCTGGCACCTCGAAAGCTGATAGGCTGAGAAGAATATGAATCAGATATGTCAGAACACTCTGGTGGGTTGTGTGCCACTTTGTTTAACTTTGTTTGCCAAAAGTCTGAGCACTTAAGAATAATCAGAGAAAACAGAAGCAGTATTTTGGAAACATCTCTGCACCAGACTCCGCTGGAAACGACTCTGCTTCCTTCTTTTGTTTGGAGATGAACAATCATTTTAAAGGGAAACTTAGAGACTGGAGGGAAGCATGGTTTCTGGCAGGGATCACATTGTGTGGGTTTATTTCGCTCTACCAATCACAGAGAATCACAGAATCATAGAACAGTAGAGCTGGAATAGGCCAGAGGGCCATCGGCTCCACCCCCCTGCTCAGTGCAGGACTCCAAGCTAAACCATCCCTCTCAGCTGGTGGTCCAGCTGCATCTTGATGACCTCCAGTGTGGGAAAGCCCACCACCTCGCCAGGTCATGGGTTCCATGGGTCCACTGCTCTAACACACAGTCAGGAAGTTCTTCCTGATGTCCAGCAGGAATCTGGCTTCTTGTAACCTGAGCCCATTATTGGATGTCCTGCACTCTGGGACGATGGAGAAGAAACCCTGGCCTTTCTCTGTGTGATAGCCCTCCAAGCACTTGCGGGATGCTCTCTCACAGGGCTTTGTTTCCAGGCCCTGGATCACCCTTGCTGTCCCCCGAATCCCCTCCAGCTTGTCTGCATCTTTCTTCAACTGTGCTGACCTGAACTGGATGCAGCACTCCAAAGACCCCAGCCCTAAGCCTCACATCCATCAGGGGGTGGGTGCTACTGAAAAGACCCTATCCTGACCCACAGACAACTTCACATCTCTAGTTGGTGGGACCCATAACAAGGCCTCCTACGAGCTACAAGTGGCTTCATAGGAAGGGAAGCAGTTTCTTTTCCATAGCTAGGCCTGAACCCAGACTGAAAAAAGTCAAGAATATGCAGGCGAAGCAAGTTTTATTTTTAAAACAGCCTGATTTGTGGTTGCATGTGTATATGGATTTTCTTAAACCTGTTCCATCTGAGTTTGGTGGATTTCAGTCCTCTTTTATTCTGCTAACTACTCACTGCAGAATCAGATTCTTTTTTCACTAAATTGTGTTGCACTTCATGAAACGCATGAAACGCTGTTAGCCAAGCATGCCCATAGTGAAGATACTCTGTACCCGCCCCCACCCCCAGCCATTGCTGGACACCCTCCATTGTCACTGGGCTAGTTTGCTTTGCTTTGCTTTTTCCCATTAGCAATTTCCTTTCTCTAAATACTATTTCAACTTCTGGAAACCTTGGCAATTCCCAAGAATACCAGTCCCTCCCTCTTGTTTCTCATTAGCCCTGCTTTGTCTGCACAGCCATCATAACTCATCCACATGCGACTTGGCTTTCAGTATGCATATGCTAATGGGGAAGGTTGATTTTGTTCCACATCAGATGCTGTTCCACAGCAGAAGACGTGGCTTATGAATGCTTGAAGGAACGCACAGAAGGATTATCCAAATACTGGCATCAGTGAGCTGTACAGACCATAAAAATAGATGGCAAAGATCCCTCCATTGGCTGCATCACTAACAAACTTCAGGAGGACCTGGTTGGAAGAACTTTGGGTGGCTTTCTTGGCTGAGTTTCCTGTGAAGACCCCCAGCTGGGGAGCCGTCTGCTGAGGCCCATCCCTAAAGAGAAAAGGCAAATGAAAGGTGAAAGAAATACAATACAAACTAGGGGCTATGAACAAATGGAGCCAGGGTGTGAGAATGAGATTAGTGCAAGCTCATGTACAGCAAGTTGTGAAAAGTTTTGGTGAATACATCCTTGCACTCATGTTCAGATCTTCAAGCAGGATGTGCCCACATGCTCTGTCAGCAAAAGGAAATTCTCATGCACCCCGTTAATGGCCCGCGGCGTGAGCCACAAGAGTTGGCGTCACATGAATTTCAACTGCTTCGATACATCGCTGGTCCATGCCATCCCCTTGCACAGTTGCAGTTTTGAAGCCACACCACCAGGCAGTACCAAAGGTGAGAGGGCAGCACTGGGCAGCAGGCTCACGTGGTGCCCCCTCAAGGTGGGAGAACACAGGTGGCTGGGCTTTGGTGGAGCTTCCAGCCTGCCCATCTCACTTACCAGACAGTGATGAAGTCATTATATGGCTCCGTTTGCAGCAGGGAGAAGTTGAGGTGGATGCCGTATCCTGCTGACACCGTGAGGAGCCATGTGCAGTCCTGAGAATTGGGATACTGATTGGGGAAGCCTGGTGAGTAGATAGTGCCATTGTGGGCAGTGATGTTTCCTCCACAGGGGACTGAGCACAAGCAACAGCAAAGAGAAAGGGAAGACTAGTGAGCTCAGACCCATCTAAATTAGCGTGGCTTGATTTCATCATGGCACAGTCTACCTTCAGCATCTCACACCCTCCTTCGCCTGCCGTTCCCATAGTCCGATAAGTCAATGTGGGCCAGTCTGTGCCAACTGAACCCAACCCTGCCTCTTCTTAAGCAAAAGGCCAGCCCAAATGTGCCTAGCCAAGCATTCTGTGCACAAATCCCACCAAGCAACACGCACCAGGTGTGTTGCCAGTGGACCCTTGTGCCCTCTTCCAAATGTGGCTTGGGTGGGCTTCCAGAGGCACTTCAAATATGGCTCCATGCATCTGGAGGTGCAGGGAGAACTGGAAAAGGACAGGTTTGGTGCAGCACTCATGTAACTTGAGCTAACAAACAGGAGCCTTCTGGTTCAAACCTCACCTCCAGTTGCCTCTTGTCCTGAACTCTACATTTGCAGTTTGCAGACAGTGGCATTGACCTGCCTTATTTTCAGGGTTGCAGTAGGAATTACTGAACTAACCCAGGTGAAGATCTTACAGAAGGTGTGGTAATGGCTGCTAGTTAAGAGGACTTCCAAAGGAGCTTAGATGAAGCCATGGGGGTCAAGGATAACACTGGCTGCTGGTCACAATGACCTCTTGCATCCCCCATGTTTAGAGTGGTCCACCCTGCAGTTCCAGCCTTTTGGTACTACGTGCAGGAGAGAACGCTTGCTACCGCATCCTTTCTCCAGGTCCCCCTGGGCATCTGTTTGGCCCCCCTTGAAACAGGACGCTGGACTACAGAGACCTTCGGTGCAACCCATCACAGGGGTTCTTACGCTCCTACCCTGGGGCCGAGCTCTCGCGTGGGGATCCAGTGTGCTCATAAAGCTCACCCCCTGGGCCAATGGGACCTCGCCCTTGCCCTGTGAGAAATAAGCGGCCAGCCCCAGGGAACACCTCTTCCCAAGGCTGTGCATGGCTAGGGAGGGGTGACAGAAGGAGTCAAGCTGCCTATCAGGAACGCTCCTCAACCACGTCCGATCTTTTGTGGGGGAGCCACATGCCCCTTTCCAGAATTTCTAGAGCACTGTTTGATAAACAAGCGATACATGAGGCTCATTAATCAAAAGATCATCTGGAGGGTACGGTGCTCACACGACATAAAAGGCTAGTGGCTTTCGGAATCACAGCGGCTGCCACTGCCAGATAGATGGGGTGCACACGCTGACTATCTGTACCGAAACGGTGTGGCGTGACTGTCGGAAAGGCCACCTCTCAGCAAGGGGAGCAGTGTGGTGGTCCTCATTAAACTTCCTCCAGCATGGTGAGAGGGACGCTTATGCCATAAAGCAAGGGGTGATCAAAGTCCTTCTCCTGCCACCTTATTCATTCGGCCACTTGGGTGGTGTTAAGGTCTAACTTTGATGCTTGTCTGAATGTGAAAAGGCAAAAAGCTGGAACAATACAATGCTGCTCAGATCGTGCTAACAGGAGAAGGAGTCCAGGAGGATGGGGGTTGCCTGCTGTCTCCATATGAGAAGTCTGCCATGGCTCAACAGCTGCCCCTCAGGAAACTGGCAATGGCCTCTTCTGGATGTAACCTTAGAATAGCCCTCTTTAACCTGGTGCCTTGCAGAAAGGTTGCACAGCAACTTCCATTCTTTACAGCTAACATGATGGGAGTGCTTGTCCAATACACATGCAGGGCACCAGGTTGGAGGAAGGATGTTCTTAGAGACTGAAACTGGTGGAGAATGGAAGCCCACCCTACCATCCAAGGCCTGGAGCATGGTTTGAGGTTGCAGGAAGAAAGCTTAAGAACCTCAGGGTCCGGATAGATCCCTCTTCCATCCTTCCAACACTTGAAAGAGGAATAGAAAGAGAAAGAAAAATATTCAGGACAAATGCCTGGCTAGAAAGGTGGTGACAACATGAGAAATTTAGATTTTGGGGCCATAGACTGCTGGTGAGGAATGGGCTGCATCTCACAAATACTCAGTGTATGTGTTTGGCCACAGCATGAAAAAACAAAACAAAACATCAGGAATGCTTTAAACTCGATCTTAGGGAGGAAAGAGAAGTAAACTTGGAGATAACAATGGAAAAAGTTTTATGCGCCACAATGGAGAGAGCAGCTCTCATAGTGCCCAATAACAGGCTTCCAAAAAAGTGGCAAGTACTAAAGCCTGTAGCCTTTGATGCCTATGTACTAATGGCCAGAGAAAGGGAAACAAACAGCAGGAGATTGAACTCTTAATACAGGAGGGCAAATATTACTTGATAGAAGCAATGGAAACTTGGAGGAATGACACCCGTGACTGGAATTCAGCAGCTGAAACATATAACTCGTTCAAGAAGAACAGAAGAAACAGAAAGTGAGGCAGAATTATGCTAAATGTGAAAGTTACATTTCTCAGCGTGGAGATACAGGAGGATGGTCTTAGTAGACCCAATGGGAGTATCAGGAATAAAATGAATGGAGCAAAGGATAAAAGGAACATGGTGGTCAGAGTCTTCTCCTGCCACCAAATCAAGAAGGAAACAAGGGTGAAGTTTTTGGAAAACAATTGCCAATGTTTCAAGGAGACAAATATACTTGGATCAAGTGAGAAGGATCTTGGAATCATTATGGATCACAAGCTGAATCTGAGTCAATATGTGATGTGGCTGCAAAAAAAGGGCAAATGCTATTTGAGGCTGCATTAATAGAAATTAAATCATGTCCTAGTTTCCCTTTACTGAGCCTCATCTGGAGTCCTGTGTCCAGTTCTGGGCACCACAGTTGAAGAAAGACGCAGGCAAGCTGGGAGGGGTTCAGAGGAGGGCAACAAGGGTGATCCGGGGACTGGAAACAAAGCCCTGTGGGGAGAAGTTGAACGAACTGGGCATGTTTAGCCTCAAGAAGAGAAGATCTGGGGGGAGATACGTATGATAGCACTCTTCAAGTATTTGGAACGTTGTCACAAAGAGGAAGGCCAGGGTCTCTTTTCAGTCATCCAAGAGTGCAGGACACGGAATAACGGGCTCAAGCTAGAAGATGGCAGGTTCCAGCTAGACATCAGGAGGAACTCCTGACTGTGAGAGCAGTACGGCAATGGACCCAATGAGCTGGGGGGGTCCTGGGCTCTCCCACACAGGAGGCATTCACGAGGCAGCTGGAAGCTGTCTGTAGGGATGTTTTGACTTGGGCTCTTGCACTGTGCAGGGGTCTGGCCCCAGTGGCCTTCCTGGCCACTTCTAGGAGCCCACGCTGTGGCTGTAGTGACTGAAGGGCGTCATGGTGTGCAGGGAGGGGAGTGGCATCTTATTTCAGTTATTTCAAACTGTCAAATGCTCCGTACAAGCATCATTCTACATGAAAGCCATTTCCTATGATACATGGCCAGGTATTAGGATAAAATGTCGATAATGACCACTCCAACAGTCAGCCCCCTGGCACAGGAGCCAACAAAGCCATACCTTCACACCTGGGCAGTGGGTGGTCCCAGTTCCTATTGGTTCCGTGTTGGCAGGTCAAGACAGGGTGGCCAACCAGCTGATAGCCAGGGAGACACTCAAAGGAAATTGATTGGCCCACGCTGTAACCAGCTCCTCTCACAACGCCATTGGCAAAGGGCTCGGGGTCAGGGCACTCCTGGAGTTCATAGGCTGGAAATCGAAACAGGTGGCAAGTAGCAAATTTGTTTCGGAATCATGTGCACCTCCAAGACCTTCAGTTATGGAGCAACTCATTTCCATAACAACAGATAAATAACGCATAAATAAAGGGGACTAGTTTGGTGCAAGGTCAGAAGGTAGCATAAGGTTAGAAAGAGGGATGAGTTCATGAGGTCTGGACAATAACGGCCAGGAAAAAGAATCCTGACTTGCATAATGCAACACCATGCAATTTAATGCAAGGAACAAAGTCTAGCCTTTTACTGCCAAATCTGGAGTCAAAAGAACTCCATCTGCCTGGATTCACCACCCTGGATGTCGCCAGGATGCCAGCTCTCCCTGTCTTTCTCCACACTCTCCCCCACCCCCACTCCCCAGTCAAAACGTACTGTTGCTGCATGTTATCAAGTCATCTCTGACTGAGGGCAACCCTATGAAAGCCCCCCCCCCCCCCGAAAAAAAAATGTCCCATTCATGACAACCCTGGTCTGGAAAGCTCAAAACTGTGGCATCCTTTGTGGAGTCAGTTCCTCTCATAGCTGCTCTTCCCCTCCCACTGCTGCCTTCTGCTTTTCCATGCAGGATTGTCTTCTCTATTGAGCCTCGGCCTAAGGGAGGTACTAATTTCTGCAGGCAACCTCACCTCCCCCACCCCACAGCAGAATTCTTCTGACTCCGAGCAGTGGGCTCTGAACACTTTTAATGAGCAGGGGAATCCAGGGTGTGGGGCCGTCCTGACTGGCTCCCCCCTCCTTCCTTTCCCAGAAGAAGCCAGTTGCTCTATGCCACCCAGTTCTCTCCAACCTGGAAGGCCTCTCTGAACGAAAGCCCTCCAAAATCTCCTGCCCATGATAGCCTTGCTCATGCATCCCAAATTCAGGCCTGCGGCTTCCTTCACGGAGCCAATCCGCCTTTTCCGTCTTCTGCCATCAACTTGTCCCAGCATGATTGTCTTCTCCAGTTCTGCCTTCTCATGGTGCACCCAAAGCTCTGGCTTGATTTGATCTGGGATCCCCTTGCGTTCCTCGCCTGTCCTTCCTCCTGTTGCTTCTGCCTGTTTTCTCCTTTATTGTCAAAATATAGATGGGGATTTTTTCCCAGTTTTTTGTGCTTTTGATACTCTACATGGCATTACATGGTTCTAAAGGATTAAGAAATAATGATGCAAGTAACTTGCAGAGAGACACCAAATCTTTCATCACTTTCAATTAGCAACAGAATGAAAACAGCTGGCAAAAACTAGACAAAGGGGCTTTGCAAGGGGAATTCCTCTGATACCACAATTAGGAGGCCTCCGGGCATCTAAGAAATTCAGGTCAGGTTGAATTCTCACGCAGAGCGCAGAAGGCCCTCTAGGAAAAGACATCATGAATTAAGTTGTCTGCATCGGCAAGGTGAACAGGCCTGGCTAACAGGATTAAGCAAGGCTCCTGTGTACCTCCTGTCACAGGAATTTGGACTAAACCCTCAACGTGTTCTTCCAAAAGGACAGTAACGGAGCTTTTGCGCTCGGCAGTCTTCACACGAGCCCCAAAGGTGGCCAGGCTGCTCCAATCGTGACTTCCTCAGCCACCCCTCCTCACCTTGGTACTCCACCTTAAAACCAGGCTTGTTCTGTGAGTGGTCACTGTGGAAATAGATGGTGGTTTCGTGTGATGTAGACAGGAGGGAGCCTGGGAGGTCAGTCCCGCTAAACCGGCTGATGATGTTGCTGGTGTCATACGGCCCGTTCCGGATTTCGACAAAGTCATGGTTGGGCTCAGTGGAGAAATTCAGGAACTGGATGTGAGCACCTGGAGGCAAAGGGAGGGGTGGCAGGGTGGAGGGGGAAGAGGCACCCAGTTGAGGCGTGGGTTATGGCTCAGGTAGGGGTGGGTGGGTGGACGGGGGGGGGCGTGGCTCTGCCTCTGGCCCGTGGCACTTGTGGTCTCCCTTTTGCCTGCAACACTTGTGAAATAGAAACACACAAGTAAATCCAGTTTCCAGAGGGGCGGCCATGCTAGTCTGCTTCAGCCACTGCTGTTGCTGCGGTAGATTAAAGAAGGGGTCTCCAGCCAACGTTGGAAATGCAAGTTGGGTGGAAACATTTGAGATTTTGAGGAAATGCAGTGGGTGGGTGCTCCCAGATAACAGCTGCAGCTGGGTGGGTTTGTCTATTTATAAAGTGACTACCATAAAATGGTGGGCATGACTGGTCTTAAAGCATCCATTTCCCAGAAGGCAGCCCTGGTGAGACTAAACTGAAGACCAAGAACTTAAGTTTAAGGCAGAAGTGGGGAATCTGAGCTCCAAAACACAAGACCATTCTCATGAAACCAGATAAAATTGGGGCTGAACAGTAGATGAGAACTTTATCCTACACTGGAGCAGACTCCTGGTTTAAAAACAAGACTTTATAGAAGTCCTAAGAATAAAAACAAAAACCAGGAGAGACGGCAAGCCAGGAGGGCAGCAAGGAAGGTGCCAGGCCCCCCGCGCAGCTTTAAAGACGAACATGTTGTTTCTGGTATAAGCTTTCGTGGAGAATGCCCACTTTATCTGATGCATCCCAAATTACCCCAAGATTAAAAACACATTTAAGCATCATTCAGAGGTTTCTGTTTCAATCTGCACATGGGTCAGGGAGTGCTGTAGAAGAGCAGTTCATATTGGAATTTGCAAAGAAAACATCCTCAATGGGCTTGTCCAGGCTTTGGTCAAGAGTATTTCTAATATTTCTGACCACGGAAGCAGGCTTCCAGAGAGAGAAATACTTTGCTGCACGTTAAAATGATTTACTCTTAGATTGTGAGACAGAAAACAGTACCAGAAGCAAGACAAGAGCAGTGAGTTTTGCAAGCTGGTAAAACTCAGTTTATGGGCCCATTATTTGTAAGGCTGGTCGACAGTGTTGGTCTGATTGTGGCACTCCACACACAGGCACCTGATGAGCACTTCCCAGCCAGTAAAATGTCCCAAAGGCAGCATTTCTCTTGCTCTAGATAATTCTGGCCTCTTGTAAGTTGCTGAGCAGGGCCTGTTCAACACACCTTACAACAAGAAAGAGGTGGCAGAGTCCCAAAGTGGCAGAATAGGCTGTACCAGGTCAAACTGCAGGTAAAGGATTTCTCTTTTAAATGTACCTTCAAGCTAAGAGACCCTGTGCCACTGTAAAGCCGACAGAGTTTGGATAGAGCTGGCTGGACTGGGAGCAATTCTTCCACCATGGTAATTTTCTTCTATTGCTTAAAGCATCTTTTAAAAATGCAGGGAGATCTGATATATGAGAAAGGGAGCACAAATACTGGTATTGGACCACCTCAGGTTTCTAGCACATACAGGGTAGATGATGGGCATCTCCTGGGTCAAACTGAGGACTTGCTAAGGAAAAAGGGAAATACGTCTTTATGCCATAAAGATGCCAGCTATTTGCATAAAATATGCATGTGCTGCTCTCTAGGCATGGATGCAAATGCATGAAATCATGATTCTAAGTTAAATAGTTCATGACCGTACAAACACCTGTGACCAGGTGAGCTGAATGCTTGTATGGCTTGCTGTCCAGGTGTGAGCTGTGAATGGGCAACAGTTCTGAGAGTTCATGAGTGACTCGGTCAACACAGCCCCCTTCAGACAGAGGATGGCCCTCTGTAAAAGGGGACACCCGACCGTGCCAGTCTGATGAACATTAATATCTGTGAAATGTGCCATCCACTGGGCATTGCTTAAGATGTGATGGGAACGGCACAGTGAGCCTTCTTACCGAACCCCACAGGAAAGGAAACCCTCCACGTGCAGTCACTGTTGCTGGGGTAGTTTCCGGGAAAGCCGGGGCTCAGGATCACCCCCTCCATCTCCTCCATGGTCCCTCCGCACTGAGCTGTGGGGTTGCAAGAAGCCACGTGGTTACATACAACGATACAACCACCTTGTACTGTAATCTTGTTTATCATTTACCTTAGACAGGTAAGGAGAAGGATAAAAACATAGAAACAGAGCGAGTCAGAAGGGGTCTCCCGGGCCATCTAGTCTGACCCCTGGCTCCAACCGGCTCCGCTCAAGACATGCCCACCATGTGCATGTCCAGCCTATCCTTGAACACCCGCACCGATGGGGCCTCAACCACCTCCAGGGAAAGCCCATTCCACACCCTCGGGGTCCTGTCAGGAAGTGCTTCCTGGCATTCAAATGGAACGTTGGCTCCCTGAGCTTTGCTCCGTTGGAGTGCATCCTGCCCTCCTCTGCAGGGGAAAACAGGTCTCTACCCACCTCTACCCAGAAAGACTGCAGTGTGGTAAGCAAGCATGTGCTTTGGGCATATTTCACCTTCAGTATCTCTATTTTAAATGAGGATCACACAGCAGGGGCAGGGAAAGACCCTTCTCTGCCCAAGACCCTGAAGCCCCACAACCAGGGCTGTATCCAATGGGGTGATGGTGCAAGCTCAAATAGTGCTGGTAAAGCACCACTGAGTCTTTCTGTGGCACAAGCAGTTTCCCAGCATGCTTGTGCAACCAGTCGTTCATACACATAATGCACCACTGGAGGTGCAACGGCACTTGCCCAGATCTCCCTTTAGCCGGCCCCTCCCCTTGGTGCATCGCTCGGGACTTAGTTTCTGCTCGTGTAGTGGAGTTTGCGCTGGCAGACTCGCATGGCTGGATGTTCCCCCACTCAGAGAAAACACAATGGCACGGTGGAACAGCTCCCAGTGTTTCCTTCCCGTGACATAAAATGTCTGTTCTGAAGGATGTTCTAAATATCTAATAAAAGTAAGAGCAACATGTCCACAGCAAGCCTTATGGGACTTCTAAGCATCCGGCCCTCTTATCCATCTCTGAACACCCTTGGATTAATGACTTCTATGGCTACTTTTAAAATAAAACCACCCACTTCATGTTGTAGCTCCATGTTTGAATGCACACCCACCCCATTTATCCACAGGGAGCCAAAGCTAAACCTTCCTTTTAAAAAGGAAAACAAAAGAAGAATGCCTATCTCCTTGTCTAATGGACTGAGCTAAGTGTGCAAAGTCATAAAGAACGAAGGTCTCCAGGGACCACAGGGACACCAGCACATGAAATCTGGGAATTCTTCTTCAGAAGGTTCACATGAGAGCCATTCCGCACACCGCACAGAAGGGGGCGTCAGACTTGAAGTGGGTGTGTGGGTGATGGAAATCATATTTTAAATGCTCCCTCTGGCTGTAAATACAAAATGAACAGAGTAGTAGGAAGTCCAGGCTCAAGCCCTTCTCTCTGATATGTCTGTGCCCCGTTCTTAAACACAAACACAAAACAAAAATTGGGAGAGGACTGGTTTTTGGTTTTGGAATTATTGAAATAATGGCTGGTATCTGGCTGCCCCTCTGCTTGCGGGACCCACCGTTTGTGCAACGGAGTGTTGCAGCTTCTAGAAATGATCTGCAATGAGCAGAAATGCTCATTTCTAGCAGAGCGGAGGTCATCAGAACTGCCCAGACCTCCAAGTAAACGTTTCCACCCATTTTCAGGAGGACCAAAGCCCCATCGCACAAGTGGTGGGTCCGGAGAGCACAACAGATGGGGGGGGGGGGTGAAGAGCCCCAAACAAGCGCTGGCCAGCAGAATGCATTCAAGAGCTCACCATCAAGGTCAGGCCAACTCTCAGCAGATGGAGCAAGCACCCCCATTCAGAACACAGGACTCACTGCTTGGCCCGATTGTTTCCCTGACCACTGGCATTGCTGGCTATCCTGGTTATTTAGGTTTTGTGAAAAATATTTTCCATATTGGTTTTATTGCATGTTATAATGATCTTATCTTGTCAATAGCTTTTAAAAATATCTGAAAATAAATAATTTTTATTTATTATGTAAGGAATAAAGCAATTATTATGCAGTTTTTGGCCTCATTTGGGAAAGGCAGATACAGCGATGCCTGGGAACCTTTGGGTGTGGGCTGTGATGTGCTCACGTCCTTTGCTCCAAGTCTCCAGTCAAGTCTTTAAATTCAAGTCCAAGCTGAGTCGCAAGTCAATGCAAGACATTTTCGAGTCAAGTCTCCAGGCTCTTCTCAATCTCAAGAGCCAACTTTGACAGAGAAAGGGAAGTGGGGGTGGGGGGGTGGGGGGTGGGAGAGTCCTAGTCCCCCAGTGTTCCCATCTCCTGAAGCCCTGCTTTCCCTTCCCCCTTTTGTGACCCATCCTCCCTATCCTGCTTTTTCTGCCCTGCAACTCCCTCCCTGCCAGGGCCGCTGTGCCTGCCTTCCAGCCCGTCGCTTCCAGCCCTTCAACCGAGATCACCCCACGGAATCCTGCCATGTGTGGGATGCAAGTGGAAAGCCCCAGAGTGACTCGGTTATAAAAACAGCAGAAATTGCGAGTCAGGTCAAGTCACGAGCTCTTTGCCCTCTGGCTGAGTCCAAGTCGACTTTGAGTCAGACTTGGGAGAGCGTCTCCAACACCTGCGTGCAGGTCAGCAGCCTGTCCAGGTGGGAATTTTTAAACAAATGCGGTGAATCCTGCCCGTTCTGAAAAATCATCTCTCTCTCCCCCCCCCCCACACACACCCACACTTGATACATTTGATCATTACCATTTTTTTTTATGAAGCAGACTAAAGAAAAACACAGCAGGTGTTTGCGCTGGTGCATCTCTGTGCACTCCCTGGTGAACAGGGCTCAAAGGCGGAGCGGATGCTTTTCTGCACTCTGTGGCACTTGTTCCCCAGCACGATGGACAGAGAGAGGCAGGCAGTAAGGGCACCTGACACCAGGGCAGAGGGGAGGAAATGCCTCCTTGTGACTTTGGGCCAGCCACTGACTGTCACCCTCATTGACCTCGCAGGGTTGTTGTGAAGAGCGGGGTACTGTATACTGCCTTGGATATGCATGCAACCAGTATATTAATAAATGTGTTTCTCTATCCATGAATGGGGGAGAGAATTCCCAGCACAAGGGGGTTTCCGTTTCAGGGCTGCTAAACACTAGCGCAGTATCAGATCCTGCTCTTCACCTTCCTGCTCTTTTAATGCATTGTTTCCTCCACCCACCAACACAAACAAGAGGTCTTTATTATGCTACTAGCCAAGCCACGGTTTCTCAGAATTACTTTCTTTTTTGCCCCGTCCCCAAATTACTGGGGAATACACTTTCCAGTAACACCCACCCATCATGCCTTGAATTTAAGACCCATAATTAAGGGGAAGATTTGGGGAAGGTGTTGCCCCCTGGGACACCTGCTCACAACTACCTGGAGCCAAGAACCCAAACTTCCATCCCCAAATCCGAAATGCAGGCCCTCTCTCCTCACCTGTGTATCACTCTCCCTCCTACAGCCCTAACAATTCCTCTCAGGTCTGCACTTGCGAAGTCTAAAATAGAATGTGGAGCCCTGCACTTCTAATCTACCCTGACACTGACAGAACGCATTTCCTTCCATTTAATGGCTCATTATATGTATCTTTTTTCTGCTGACTGTGCTACTCCCCAACTCCCAACCCCTTGATGTCTACTTAAATGGAACTCCTCCTCAATTATTTAAAAAAGGATAACATCTGGATGGGGGGCAGAATCCATCCACTCGGCCTCGTAGAGCCTCAGAAACGTTTCTTCAAAGCTCGATTCTTGCTTCAGCCCTTCTCAATGTGACACACAAACCCATCTGTAGGTTTCCAGTGCCGTTTTTTTAGTCACTCAGTAAGAAAACCCCACCAAAAGCCATTTCACATTCAGGATGTACAGCCAACAGATTGAGAGTTCACAGCATATTTAGGCAGGAAATTAAGCACCCTGATTTTCAGAGGGAACAAGAAAAAACATACTCCCAAGCTGCCAATTTTAGGCGTTTGAAGGCTGCTGTGCTTTGACATCTCTGCACAGTAGAGCAATCCTCTGTTTTGCCCATTCGCAGAAGACCTCCAGCTTTCTCCACTCCTGCACCAGGTGAGTGAATGCGAAGGGAAAGCCTGGCAAAGCTGCGGGCTGGGCCTTAAGCAAAGGGCCATAAAGTGCTGCGGAGCCAGTGCAGGGGCCGGCGGAAGAATCCGGAATTCGAACAGCCCCGATTCTATCCAGTGGAGCGTGACTCCAGGTCACATGGGCATTGTGCAGTCAAAATAGTGCTAACCAGGAGCTAATGTGCAACAGAATTTTAACCGTGCATTTTTTTTAATTGTTTGCTTTAGAATCAGCCTGCAGAATCCCATGTCTTATTTTCCTCATGACTAGATGGACCCCCAGTGATGGACCAAAGAGTGAGGGCCACCCTAAGCAAAATGCTGGGGTCTATCTTGGCACTGAATGGGGGAGTTTTTAAAAATGCAGGTAACCAGTGCCATTTCCAGGACTTCCAAAAGGTCGTAAGCCTTCCAGAGAGTTTGGGCTATTGGGCAGTATGGAAAGTGGGTGGGTGGGTGGGTGGGTGGGTGAGTGAGTGAGTGAGTGAAGGAAGGAAGGAAGGAAGGAAGGAAGGAAGGAAGGAAGGAAGGAAGGAAGGAAGTCCCCCAGCTGCCTGCTTTCACTGCCACTGTAACCAGCTCCTCTGCCTCTCCCCACACTGCACTGCGACCACTGCACGACCCGCAGCGTCTTCCAGAGGCAGAGAGCCAGAGACCCTAAGAGGAGGCTGGTGATGCCTTTGCCATGCTCTCCATGTTCTCCCCACATTGTAGGAGAGCAGGGGTGTATACACAGGGGTGGACTGTGAGTAGAAGGGCTGTGCGGTGAGGGAGTAACTTCCAGCAGTGATAAATTGCAGTGCAATGTTAATATAGTTCCTTCCTGAGCCAAATGAAGTGGGGACACCACAGAGAAGCCTCGTCCCCCACTGACTTGCCCATTAGCTTTCTGCGCTCCAAAAGCTAACCACACACTCTCAGATGTTGCGCATGATGTTCGACCAATGGTACGAGGGATGCATTCAACACTGGGGCACCACAGCCACAGGCTCAGGTAACACGCTCACACATGCACCAGGGATGTTCTGCAACAATTCATTGTGGCTCCCCAGTTGTGACTAAGAACTATCCCCTGCCCTCCTGTTGCTTTAGGTGGCCTTCGGATGTTTGCTTTAATTGCACAGTCTCTGACACAGCAATGGCATTTTAGAAATGAGAATCACTTTGAGGGATTTAACAGAAAAGGAGGCTATAAATTGACTGGATGGATAAAAATTAAGAACCAACACATCAAACTGCATGTTCAAACATTGTAAGACAGAATCAGCGAACTGAACACATTATTGGTGGTACTTCCCCCAAAGAGGGCCTTAAAGAATCAGGTTAGCAACAGGCTCTGGGAGCCAATTGACGAGGGGGCAGAGGGGGCTTTCCAGGAGGGACCCCATGGATGCTGTCTCCTACCGATGCAGAGCGGAGGAGGATAGTTCCAGCGCCGGACAGTCCCTGGCATGCAGGAAATGTGAGAGTGTCCCTGCAGCAAGAGAGGAAGGAAAGCAGAGTGTGAGAGGGCAACACTGAGAAAGGACTAGAAAACAGACCTGAGGGGGATATTTGAGGACCAATGAAGTGGGCATTCCCAGTCAAGGAAGCCCCAGCGATCTTGTGCAGGCACAGCCTTGAATCCTAGGCCAAGCCAATTTAAAGATGCTCCCAGGAGGAAGGCTTTGCTCTCCTTTCCCCTGGACACAGCCACCCACATCCCCCACAAAGAGCCTCGGGGGGGGGGGGGGGGGTCAGAGGCTCTCCTTAACAACATGGTGTGGGGTATGGAAGATTGTAGGGAGAGGGAATCGTCCAAAGTGGAAGCTGGCCTCTTACTACAGTGAGGGTCCGTCTATTTCAGATCTGCTTGTTTTAATTGTACCCACAATGCAATCCCATGCTTTCAATAATATACTTTTAACTACAATTAAATGTGTATTTGAATATGCATCTGGATATGCATCTTCTCCCTAAATGCATGTTTAAACGTGTGTCTTGCTGCAGTGAATCTGTTAAGAACTGCACTGAGCCATTCAAGGAAAGGTGGGATCTAGTGGAGAGTTTTGTTTGATCCACTCATCAGTCCAAGATGAGCAATCCAGGTGGCTTGCGCAGATTACACTGCTCAGCTGTTTCCAGTAGTCCTAAGCCAAGCTCCTTTTGCTTACGCCTCCCCACTCCTTCAATCCCCACCTTCTCTCTTCCAATCAGAGGGTGGACAAGAGATAACACCGCACAGACTGGAGGATGACACATACCTGGAGCGCATAGCCTGGCTCACACTGGAAGGAGACAACATCGTTCACCATGTACCTCTCCCCAATCTTCAGACCATTGCTGGGGACGTTGGGTTCTGGGCAGCTGGATAAGCCTACAGCTGTGAGAAGGCAAGAAGCAGGGTGAGAGCACCTAGGCAGGGATGCACCACCTGCTTTGCTGAAATCAGGAGGCAGACAGAGGCTGACATAGGTATTGGAAGAGAGTAACTGTCCAGCATTTAGGACAGTGTTTTGCTCTCATTTGAGTAAAACTCTGGATTTTATACTTTCTAATATGGGAGGCAAATTTTTATCCCCTTCTATCAGATTCTGCACACCCTACCCAACCCATTCCTGATCAACTGGGGGCTTGCAAGGAGTTCAGTCTCAATGTACAACCTTGTGTCAATTTAGGCAGAAAAAAGCCATCCCAGGGGCAGCAGGTGCTGCTTTCCGTCTAATGCTCTGTGCCCAGCAGAGCACTGTGCCACAGCAGCATGGAACGGGGTGTCTCCACAGGTCCTACAGCATGACGGACGACAAGGCATTTGAGCAGCAGTTCCCATAATTCCTGAACAGAATGGATGCATCTGCGAGGGCCTCTTTCTCCCACAGTGGGATGTTTCTGCCCCGAAGACGAAGGCTTTTGCAAAATTTGGTAAATTCGTATCAGAAACAAGCAGAAGCAAATCCACTGGCAGTGCCTACATTCCATAGATGCAGCTATTCCCAGCAAGGCGATGCACCTGCCTGGTAAGGCGGCAAACCAGCTGCCTGCAGCAGACTCACAGGCACCCTGGGATCACGAGACCCAGACCCATAGAGCCGAAAGTGGCCAGGGGGATATAGGGGCAGCCCTCTGCTCAGGGCAGGACTCCAAGCTAAAGCATCGCTCTCAGAGGGCTGTCCTTCCGCTCAGGGCCTGCTGTTCCGGTTCTAATGCTGGAGGTGGCATACAGACGTCGGGGCTAGTGGCCACTGAGGTGCCTCCTCCATGAATTTGTCCAATCCCCTTCTGAAGCCATCCAAATCGGCAGCCATTTCCACCTCCCGTGGTCATGAAGTTCAGTTTCACTCTGCTCTGGGTGCCGGAAGGGCTTTCATGTAACTTTCCTGAACCTTGTACCAGCGCACTTTGCAGGATGACTTTTAGGTTACAATATTATGAGGGAGGAAGAGAAAGGTCTCCCTGTTCACTTTATCCACACCAGGCATCATCCTCATCAACATCATCACCACCACCGTTACCACAGTTTCCACACTGCCCCATAGCCAAAGCCCTCTTACTTCTGTCATACTATTTACTTTGCCCCTGAGCCAAAGAGAGCCAGATATTTCCTTCACAGGGGAGTCAGTGCAGCCCCTTGATGATCGTAGTGGCTATTTAGTGTACATTCTCCAACTCTAGCATGTTTTGCTTAGGGGCAGGGCAGGGTTTGCACACAATCTGTGGGGTTGCTCAACAGGTTTGTGTAAGGGCAGCGTGATCGTGGTGGTTTATTTTTAATTCTTTTTCCAATTATGCTCTAACATGGAATCTGCCCTTTCCACAGCAGCCGCATGCTGGGCCGACATTCTCGTCAAGTGGTCTCTCTTGGCCGGCTTCTGCTTGCTCACATCCCATCAATACTCAAAGTTGGGAATTTTTGCCTCTACAGGCATCACTCCACAGTGGCCAACAGATCCTTCTGGAGCAGCCAGACTGAACAATTGAGTGCCTTCCAGGGATGTGTGAGGAATTCATGCTGGGGTGGGAATCTGTTGACGCAGCTCCGCCAGGAATTGGGTGACCGGGGCCCAGCAGTGTCTGGGGAGATTCTGGGGGGCTTCGTTGCAACCCTTGTGCCTTCATCAGCAAGAGGGGCCCATTCCTAATTCCAAATCATTTATGAACAAATTAAAAAGCACTGGTCCTGGTGCAGGTCCTTCTGCGACCTTGCTGTTAACTTAGTTATTCATTTTTAATTTGGTGGTAATTTAATTTTAACTTATTTTTTATTTTTTACAGATCATGGCAATAATCCTAAACAGGACTCTCTGGGTGCTGAACAATTAAAACCAATAACACAAATAACACAAAAATAAAAACCAGCACAATTTAGACAAATACATAGATCAGTTAAATACTAACAGGTATAGTAAACAAAAACCATCAGTAAATTCATATAACATTAAAAACATTATTCAGTTATTAAAATGTCTGGAAAGTAGAACCATCTTCACCTGGTGCCAAAATGATTGCAATGAGGGTACCATGTGTTCTCCTCTGGGAAGCCTGTTCCTGAGGCAGGGGGTGGGGGGCAACCACCAAGAAGCACCCGCTTCTGTTTGCTGTCCTGTCCACCTCTTTAGGGGATAGCTCTTTAAGAAGGACCTCTTGACCAGGTCAAGTAGGTACAGATGAAAGTAGTTGTCCCTGCAGATTAACTTCCATCCATTGCAACAACAGCTCATTCCTACTTCTACCTGCTTCCTGTTTTTTAAGCAGCTAATGAATGATAAGAGGTACTTCACTCTTACTCCATAACTAATAGGTTTGCTCAGGAGCCTGGTGGGGGACTTTGCCAAAGGCCTTTTGGAAGTCCATGTAACTGATATCTAGCAGATCACCCCATCTATGTCTTTATTGACACTCTCAAAGGACTCTAAAAGGTTAGTAAGGCAGGATTCAACTTTGCAGAAACACTGGTGGTTCTTTTTCAGTAAGAGTTCTTCCCCTACATGCTTATTTTGTTTATTTGTTTGCTTGTTTCTTTGTTTTAATTTATAGAGCAATGAATAACCCGGCAGGGCTGTCTAAACAGTGAACAACAAGATGTAAGACTGATTTAATTACAATTGAAATAAACATTACAATTTCTGGAGGTGGTAGGGGTATGTGGAATCAATCAGTGATAGTAGAACAAAATCTAACAGGCACATTGCTAAAATCAAGTTTCAAAATACCTGAAAAATGGTCAGTTTTTGCCTGACACTGAAATGAAAGTAATGAAGGCACTTGGTAGACCTCGCTAGGAAGCCCATTCCAAAAGTGTCTTATTTTATAATTACATTTTATTTTTTGTAATTACTAATTTTCTATGTATACTTCCCAGTGAGTCCTGGTTAGGACTGTTGGATGAGGTTTTATAAATGAAATAAATGAAAATTAAAAAAAAATAATCACACTTGCTCCCAATTCACCCAGAAGAGCTGCTTAGCAACACCTCAGTGTTGACCTAACCCCCGCTCCCAGGTGTGCATAGTCACTCTCAAAAAGCTCTAAAGGGTTAGTGAGGCAGAACTCACACTTGCGATAGATGTGTTCACTCTTTCCTGTAAAGCTTATTATTTTGCTTGGTTGCTAATTTTAGCTTTAATCATGATTCCTGCCAATTTATCTAGTAAAGTTCTGAAACAACTGGCCAAAATCTCCTCAGTCCTTGTTTTAAGTTGTGAAACCATCAATATCACATTTTTGTCCTTGAACATGACGACGGATACTGCATGGGCCCAGCAATTTGTTGGCTTTCAGTTCCTTAATGAGGTCAAGAACCTTGTCTCTTGCTACCATTATTTGCCTCAGTTCCTCAGACTCCCTTCCTGAAAACATCTGTTCATAGCTACCTGTGCTATATCTGCTGCACTGAAGACAGGTGAGAAGCATTGCATTTCCCTGCAATCGCATGATCCTCCTTTACTTCTCTTTACCTCTGCTGTATCCAAAGGTCCAGCTTGCTGCCCAAGGTGTGAACCAGGCAGAGGCCACAGCACCAAACGAGGCAGCTCAGTGGCTCACACCTAACATGCTCAGCTCGTGCATCGTGAAGCCCCACCACTGGTGCCCACGTTGCTCCCTCCCGTTGCTCCAGTCCAAAGGTCATCTTGAATTCCAGCCTGGACCTCTGTTTCTCCTGCGACTCCACATGCACACGTGCAGGTGCCCTTTGCATTACGAAAACACGTGGGCAACCAATTTTCCTAATAAAAAATGTTTTTGATATCACTCCCCCTCCTACTGCAACCCAGAAATAAACTGTGGAGGAGCCACGGAAGCATCGCACATCCTCATTTTTAAATCGGAAAGGAGGGTACAGTGTGTCAGAAGTTGGGGGGGTGACTATGCTACAACGAAGTCAGTGGGATTATGTAATGGGTCATTATGCAAGAGTGGCATGAAAGGAGGGAGGCATGAATAGCAAGGAGCTAAAATATACCTTATCAATAAGCCAAAAGAGCATAAGTAGGTAAGAGGGTTTTGCAAAATACTTTTGCTGTCCAAACATGTTAAAATTGGAAACTACCCTTCCAAAGTTACTTTTCCAAAAAACAAAAAGGAGAAACATTTTACAGTGGTGGGGTTTACCCTGTCCCACAGAACTATGAGACCGGTAGTTCACCAGGAACTCAAATCTGGGGCAGCTGCAAAGTGGCCTCAAGTTCAGGAAGAGAAGCCCAAGGAACCCGCTGCGACGGCATCCTGAATGGATTCCTCGCGTATCGCTCCTGCTACGCACTGCACACACGCTTAAGAAGCAGAACACGCATTGTGGAAGAAGGTCCTTACTTTTGTATTCGAGGTGAAATCCTGCAGCAGAGACGCTGATGTCGGAGTAGAAATGCAGGTAGAGTTGGTTGGAGGTGCTGTTCAGCAACGCAGGGACTGTGGTTCCTGGCATGGAGGTTGGGGTGGGGGGGGACACAGGAGGCAGGGATGTTAGCAGCACACACACCTCTGTAATGTTGCAGTGGGGCCAGGCAGGTTCAAATCCCCTCCCGAGGCACCCTTTTGTCAGTCATCCTTCCATCTCTGTTAACTAAAGCAAGGGATGGGGAGCTGGCTGCGGGGAGTCCATGTGGGGTTACCCCGGCTTCCCACACACTCCTGCCAAAGAGAGAGACCTCAGAGGTTCAGCACTGAGCCCATTAAAATGCTAGCGGATTTGAAGATCCACTCCATGCGTCCACTGGCTAAACAGTCGCTCAACTGATCCTTTCCTAACGGGAGAACCGTGGCTCATGGGTTGCGGGGCCACCAGCCGCCACTGTGCGCCCCTCCTCCCTCCTGCTCACCCTTGGCGTTCAGGACAAACCCTGCCTGTGTGCGAGAGAGAATGCAGCCCATAATACGGTTGGTCAGGCTTCGTGAGTACTGGTCAAAAATGTCGACAGTGCTTGGTGAATGAAAGGGCAGAGATGCCTGCCTGTCATGCAGTTGGACGAACAGGCCTGCAAAAAGGGGCTGGGGGTGAGCAGGTGTGAGAAAGGCGCAGTGGGCGAGGGTCAGAGAGGACGTCTGAAGCTCCTCCTCTGGTTTGCTCTGCTCCGGCACCTGAGCGGCAATCCTGAACACGGTAGGGAAGAGCGAGTCCTAAAATGATTCAGCTGGGGAGGAGCAAGGATGGGGACAGGTGGTGACGACAGGAGGCTCCCAAGAGGCCCTGCTGTCCCCCACTACGGCAACTTATGCAAAGGGAGAGCTGGGGGCAACGTGTCAGTTCCCCAGACCCAGGCCAGGCCCCAGGAAAACTGTCTGTGTCAGTCGATGTGGAAAATGTCACCGCTTCTTCAGACTAAACTGAAGATTCCCAATCATGGTCTTTCCTCCAGGATGCAAAGGAAGAAATAGGATGGGATACTTGTGGGGAGGTGGCTGTGGCTGGGATAGAGACTGCGCAACCTCCATTCTACCTCCTGTTTCCCCTCATTTGGCTGGGGGACTGGGTCTTCTGTCTCCCTAGAGGGGAATTACAATGGCAGGGAAGGAGGAGAGGAGGTGAGGTTCGGCAAAACCCGCCATGGGTGTTTTTTCTTGTTCTTGGGGACACCAGCCTGGAATATTGAGCCCAGTGAGTGCCAGTGTGCGCCATGCTGGCCACATCTTCTTGCAACCCAAAAGGAATCTTTCCTTGACTGGTTCTATGCGTAGCGATAGCCCATGCAGGGCAGGCTTCAGAACTCACCTGAGAAGCTTCCCAGCATAGTGGCTGTGTTATCTCCTCCATCGAAGACTTCTAGTGAATCCCAGTTCTGTTCAGTGACAAAACTGATCACTTGGATCTGGGAACCGACACAAGAGAAGAGAAAATGAAAACAGTTGATTGATTGATTGTATAACTAGCCTGCAAGGAACCGAAGATTCTTCTCTATTTCTTTTTTCCTTCACAACAATTCTGCGAAAGTCTGAGACTGACCAAAAATCACCCAGGGATTCAACCTGGATCACCTCACTCAACGCTTTAACCACTATGCTGTGCTGGTTCCTACATGTGGCATTCTGTCAATATTTTAATGAGCAAGTCATTTGTAAGCAACAAGAACCAACACCCTTAAAGCACTCATCTCTGCTTACAGGAAAAACTTTTCATGTTGGTTAAGCTGCTGAGAAATCCATTATCTCTCCTGGGGAACCTGGAGAATTGCACTGAAGAATTCTGATGTGCATTGAAGACCATTACAAGGCTTTTCCACAGGCAAAGTTTAAAGTAGCACAGGGCCAACCGGTTCTCATTGCCACCCCAAAGAAACTGAAAGCATGCCCTGAAGTGTACCCAACATGCTTGCAGAAGCACATCGCAGGGGAAAATCAGCAGTCAAGGGCAAAATTTCATTCCAGGAAGCTTTCCTGCAATTGCTGTGGTTGCCTTCCAGAAAGCCCTGTTCAGAATCTGTGATACTCTAGGCTTAGCAGAAATACGCACCACTATCTCAGGACATACAGGAAGGAGAGGAACACATCCCATGAATTAATCCTCCCAAGATTGTGATATGGATGTGTTGTCAGGTTGACTTTCTCCAGAATATGGCAGGCTGAACTACTGATCCCGAAGGCTCTTGGTAGCCTCTGGATTCAGAAAAGTCAGCAGAGAAATGCAGCTGCTGGAAGCAAGAACAAGACAGAGTTCCTTCTCTCCTGTTCTGTTTGTGGGCTGCCCAGAAGTTGTTGGTTGGCCACTGTGGAAAAGAGGACTCTTTTGGGGGGCAGATGTCATCTAGACAGTATGGCAACATTACCAGACATAGATTAGCCTCTCCTGGGTTCTCAGAGAAAAAAAGGCCTCTGTTTGGAGAACATGAAGCATTCCCAAGGAAGATGGATGCCCTGAAGTCTGCCGAAGCCTTTATTCATGTTTATGCACGTGTGTGCACACACACACAGAAAAGTCAAGGTCGTACATCCCTGGGCAGGCTGTACAACAACCCTTTCCCTTGCCAGAATACGCGAGATGTGTGCAAGGAGTACAGGGCAGCACATGCTGATCCCACTCCCAATGACCCTCGCCAGCCTCGTCACCCCTCTTGTGCCAGCCTTGCTAGGCTCTCTTGAACGTAAGTAGTTCCTGCTTTGTTACAGATTCTTGTGGCAGGGGAAGGAAAGGAGCTGAAGCTCAGTTCAAGGGAGTTGGGGTGGGGGAGATGGGCCTGGCACACAAAGGATGTCGGCAGCACACCGGAACAGGATTCCAGGCACTATTCTTCCTTCGGGATTTCTCAGTGGCCTCTGATGGCTTCTCGTCAGCACTGGCCTTCTAGCTGTTTCCTTCACAAGCATTGAAATTTCCAGGAGACAAAGAGGAAGCCACCAGGGATGAAGGATCCATAGCTAAGATATATTAGAGTCTATAGGCAGGTGTCAAAAGCAGGCCTGGTTGGGCACCTGGCAAGAGCCCCCCCAACCAGCAGGGGTCCATTGATAAAAGACCCCTAGAGCTGCTGATTCTTTTCTCCATCACAGCCTCCTTGTTCTACTGCCTCTTGCTTAGGTCCAGATGACATTGGGGATGGGGGGGAGGAGGAGGAGCAAGGGATGTCATCACAGGAGGTTTCTGATCTCTGGTCTCTGTAGGGACAGGGCCAACTTCTCTCAAAACATAACATTCCCGGTTAGAAAGCTCAGACTTGGAAGTGGAACTGGATGGAGAAAGGGGTGGCTTGGAAGTTGGCAAGGACATGTGAGTGAGCAAGAATTGTCAGACAGCTCCTGAGACCCAAACTGCCTTAGGTTGGGGAGGAAACTGTAGACAAAGGAGATCCTGAGAAGGAGAGGTGTGAATTTAGTAACCCAGTGAACCAGCATCAAGCCAAACCAGCAGGCCAATTAAGCAACACCCAGCCTTTCTGTTGTCTAGCCCACGAGCAAAGTGAACCTCCTTGAGGATGGAGTCAAGCCTTTCGGGAAAGAAAAAGAGAAAAAGATCTGCAGTGTGGAAGTGACTCTTCACATAGGCAAGAGCTGCTCCAGAAAGCCACAGAGTACATGACTTTGACTGATGCTCCTTGAGAACAACTTCCTTAAGAAACACCCTGTATAACAGGAAAAGCAAAACAAAGCAAAGACCTGTCCAGATCAAATAAGGGACTGTCCCTTTAAGGTACTGTTTAGATCTTCTGGAAAGAGAAACAGAGAACATGTGTTCACAAAAGCCTCTGCTTATCAAGCAAGCAATGGGCAGCAGTGCAAAGAAAGAGAAGGTGGAACAAGTACTTATGGTGTCAGCCTTGTTGGTGACCATCATGGTGAGAAGGTAAACTCAGTGAGGGAAGGGGACAATGGAGTGGGGTCTTGTCCAAGAACCTTAAAAACCTGGGTGTTTCTATAAATGCAGAATCAAAATTATGCAAAGAACCTTGCACGTAATTTGGTTTATAAAGGGATTCATCTTTCAAAGACTTCTGAAATACAGAATTGAAATGCTGCATCAGTCTTTTTCATTGTATTAGAAAATCAGAGCAGCTGGTGGGGAAATGGTCATTCAATTTGCTTGAAGAAGCCTCCATCATGGTGGAAGGCTGAGCAACCCTTCGTCCTGTACTAGCTTTCTTCAAGGAGCAAAGTTTCAGGTGGTTGTTGTGGTTGTTCTTGGTGGGGGCCCTCAATCAGGCAGTCCCTCAAGCAGTTTCAAGTGACAAAATTCAAATAAAGCATCTCCAGCTGATCTCAACATCTGCAGAAAATGACCCTCACCCATTCTCCATCTTCTCTGGATGACAAATTCATATTATAGCTGTGCAAAGCATCTTCTCCTTTGCTGATCTCAGCAGAGGAGAAAGGTATATGTCAAAGGAGTGATCATAAAACATAATCTCTGGTGTTCGCACTTGTTTTCCTCCTTGACTTATCTAGAATAGCAACACAGAGGGAACTTGAAAGCCAAAACAAAAAACTTCCTGAATTCACCCTGCCAAAATGCTAATAACCCCCACGAAGCCTTAACCAATCCCTCTGGCATCTCCAAAATTATTCCCCAAGTCATTATTTCCTGTATCACAGACTCAAGGATTGGGCTTCACGCCCCACATCCATTCCTAGCCCCCCCGGCTCCCCCTTTTTGGAAAGGCATAAACAGCCTAATGTTCTAATTCTACATTGATGAGCAGGATTTCAGCAGGGATCAGTGTGTATTTACTGCCTGGGATATAAATTAATTCACCCAAGAAAGAGCTGCCTCTGGAATGAATAATTCATCTCAGAAGCACCAGTGAGCACACTGATTACATAAAATTCTCATTGGCCTGACACTGCCTCTGTTCTGCCACAAAGAATGCATTTGTTTCCACCACCGTGCCAATTTGCCACTCTTTAACCTTTATCTGTGGTACAAAACAGGAGTTAATGGATGGCTGAAGGTGCGGGCATTTCAGGACTCGGAGGCGAGTTTCGCTGGAGTGCTCTGGAGCCGGGTCTTCGCAGCTTCCTCACTAGTGGGGCACGGATGTCATCCACCACACCCCCGAGAATGAACTGCTTCTTCTGAGCGTGGCTGCAACCCTCACAGGAGCTGGGGAAATGAATTTTCCCAGCAATAGCATAGGACCTCTTGAGTCACCGTTCGAGAAGTCTGGAAGGCACCAGACTGAGGAAGGCGGCCCATGAATCCTCGTCAGGCGAGTTTGGATGTTTAAAACATCTTTTTCTTTTTGTTTACACACATTCTACCTCTGCTTAGCCAGGAAGCCACCAGGAATGCCAAAGCCAGTGCGATAGCTAGTACAGCGCGGTGGTGAGAGCACTGGAATGTGGACCTGGGAGATCTGGGTTCCAGTCCCCATTTGGCCAGGAAGCTCCCTGGGCCAGTCACAGACTCTCAGCCAAACCTACCTCACAGGGTTGTTGTGGTGAGGATAAATGGAGCAGCGTATGCTGAGCCTGGGGTTCCCCACAAGAGGAAAAAAGCTGGGAAATGATGTATTGTGAGGAGAAGAAGGAGGAGGAGCATGCCCACATTTCAGGATGCTTCTGTTTCCCTCTCAAGTGGACCACGCCTGGCCACCTCGGGCTGCTCGCTGTTCTGTTGGCAGCAGTATCCAGACTTCCTGTCTTTGAGGAACCCTGCTTATTATTTTATTTATTTATTTATTTATTTATTCAAGACCTTTTTAGACCATCCCTTACCATACTACTTGCTGAGCAAAACCTGCTTGCAGGACATCCGGGGGGCCTGTGCACAGTTTGCACGAGGCGTTCCACCTGCCAGTGGTGCCCAGGCAGGCTCACTCCATGGCAGCTGCATGGAGTGGGGGCATCCGTAGCACTAAGGCAGCTGCTCTTCAGGTCTGCCTCCTGGCACCACTGATCAGCTCATTCTGGAGGGGCCCTTAATAGCTTCTGGGAAACTTCAGGTTCTCTGGAAGAAAACCTGAAACCCACTTCGATGGAGTGAGGTGAAAGGAGATGGATTTTCTTTTCTGAATAAAGATACATTTCCTTAAATGTCTTCATTTTCCTCCCCCTCCCCTGGCACACACTTTTCTGTTTCTTTTTAAAGCTTCCTTGCACATGTTCCAAAACCCCATTAGCAGCTTTGCCAGGGAGACTCTTGGTTCAACATGGCAGTCCGAACAAAAGGAGCAAGAGAGACAGGTCGGGTCTCTCTGTGCTCTCCACACCACTGCTTAAATGAATGCATGAATTAGTGCCTTGAAATCACAAGCGCAAATGCTCGGCAACACCCCCTCAGCAGTTTAATGGACACATTCTGACATTCTGTTCAAACGGAGCTTGCTTTCTTTTTCTCTTTTGTTTGTCATGCCTGCAGGAATTATCAATAACAATGCAAACCATTGACAACATATCCAGGGCTAAATTAACCATTAGAATTAAATAAATAAATAAACAAACAAACAAACACATGAATAAAGGAAACCTGAAACAAATCTGTTAATTGGCTTTAGAACCCAAGAAAATTGCCTCATTTTTTGATGCTAATTATTTCCTCTCTGCCTTTTGCCTGTCTATTGAAGCAGAACAATTTATCCTCCTTTCTTACAGTGTTAAAAATGTAAGCAGACACAGTAAGCCTCAGTAACTTGGGCTGGACCAGGCAGTACCCCTAGACTGTAGCTACATCAGGAGTACTAGCTCCCTGCATTGATTTCACAGGGCTTAGGTGAGGTGTACCTAACTCAATTTGGATCCGTAATATATACCACTAAATATTTTTGGGTGGTAAAATTTCACACCAGCCTGGATGTTAATGATTCCTTGGTCTTTGGATTGGTTATTAGCCATGGGCAGAGCAATTCTATGGACTCTGAACTGCATCTGGAGCAGTGCATGGTTTCTCTGAATCACGGCTCTTCCATGAGAACAGCCGTGTCATCAGAGCTGGAAGTTGATGCTTGGGGTTCATTCGCTCCCTTGTAGCTGGCTTGGAACACACCCCAGCAGAAGTCGTGAGTGGCCTCAGAAAAGGGTCTGGGATGGCTCCAAGGGTGGGGACGTGGGGGGACCAGCACCGCCAAGGTGTGGGGCACCAGGGGCACCCCGGCTTCCTTTCCTCCTGCTCCGAAGTGCCACAGGCAGATGGCTGAAACACACTTCCCATTTGTCATCTCCTCTCACAGTCCTGGCATTTGGGCCGACTGGTGTGGAAGCAGATGCTCTTTCAGGCACCTAGTCCTCATGCTGTGCAGTCTCATTGCTTTGAACTGGCACAAGGAATGGACTGAAAACCAATGAGCCCCTCTAGCGCAAGGCAGAGTGCTCTTGGTTATGGGTCCTGGTTAGTATTGCAGCACATCGAGGTATGTCTAGTTTGGCAACTCAGACTCAGGGCTGAATTCTCAGTGCTCCAGAAAAGATGAGGCTGGAACAGCAGCACCTGTCCTGTCGCACGAGGTCCTAGTTTTGCTTGGCAAGAGTAGTTGCCTTAGCTAGCTTAGCAAAGGAGACTCTTTGACGGGTTTACCTGTATTCCGGCTCCTTCAGGGACGGTTATTTTCCACACACAGTTGAGACTGTTCAAATAGGGTTCAGGGAATCCAGGGGACAAAATGGTGCCTTTTCGCTCCGTTAAGTTTCCACCGCAGGGCACTGAAACAGACAGGCAAGGCTCTGACACACACACAGCTTCCAGGCTGATGGCGAGCAGACTGCTGCCCTCTGCGCACAGCCGGTGCATCTGACACCGCTCCCCAGCATTCCTGTCACGTCCACTCCCACCCCAGACACCTAAAAGAGCAACCAACTCTGTGCAGTCCTCAACTAGATCTTCACAAGTTTTGGGATTTGCTGTGCTGAAAGTCACGAGTGTCTGTTTTTGCTGCAAAAGCCCCTCTTCTGAAGGGCACAGACATATCTGCGGGGAATATGTTCTCCATCTTCAGCATACTCTTTGCATCCATTTGCAATCAGCGCTACTCCAAAATACAGCTGATCAAGGGATGCGCAAGGAGAATGCAGTGGAGGCTGGTGGCTCTGATGTCAGAAAGGGAAGTGCTCTCCTGCAGGTTGTTGTGTGAACTTTTAAGGAGCTACCCACAGTGCTGAATGCTTCTGCGGTGCGGGAGGACGGGTTCAGCCTCAAGGACCACTTGTTGACAGTTCAGGCTGAAGCCCAGGGTGGCTTCACCTCCCCACTGAGGCCAGAGGCAGCCCATCACCAGGGCAATGCATTCTAGCAGGACAGCCTCTGCCTTGCCCCACTGTCCAGCAGCTCAATTTGTCTGCTGGAGCAGTGTGGAAATAATTCCAGCCTCATCCAACTGTTGCCCCATGAAGTTGCCCTTCCAAGATCTTGGAGGATGCAATTGTGTATTCACATATTATTGGAAACGGCGCTGCAAAGCCAGCGAACACAGACCATCCTGCTGTACAACACACAGACACCAAATTGCCCATCCTCGCTGGGTGCTGTTCAGCTGGATGCACGTCCTCCGTGGATGTTCAGAATTAATGATCTGCATTTGCGTTTGGACGGGGGAGAGCAAACCTAGTTGCCCAAGTGACAGGGACGGAGTCCTTCTTCTCCATCTCCTTGGAAAACATTTATGCTCTTTTGTGAAGGTGTAAACAAATCACCCTCAAAAAGACCCTATTCCCAGAGATGTTTGCATTCTGACAAAGCAATAAGTAAGTTAAAAACCTGTGACAAAGTCTCAAATATTCTTCACCAAGAAGAGCTGGATTCTGCATCTGGTGAATCTCATGAAAATTAAGAAAAACTATGTACATTTTCTAGCTTTGCCTAATTATTCTGAAACATTCCCCTCTCCACACACACACTTGCTGGGCATGAACTTGTATACATGAGGGATGTAAGAGAATTTGTCATTGGACTCCTATGAGGTTGAATTTCTAAGAATTCAGCCCAAGAACTTCAGAGCACACTGGCCCTTCCAGAGCTGTCTGGATTCTGCAGATTTGCAAATTTGTTGTCATTGTTGTAACTTTTTGTAATTTTACACAAATTTAGCCATAGAAAATATGGAAAATAGAAAAATACCAAGATTGCGTATTTCTCTGTAAACTAAAATGGGTAGGCATTACATATGTTGTGGAGGAGGTTTGCACAATTTTGGAGTGTAAATTTGTGCAAATGCTATGAATGCATTTGTGCAAAATCTGATTCTATTGATAAAGGGATGATTGAAGAAAAGGTGTCTGACAATCCATGAAACATAGACAGAATGACTCTTATAACATACACACATTCTGAGTATACTCTGCCCCCACAACACACAAATACATAAGCACTATTTTCAGGAAGCTGAATTCTGCACCCAGGTGCTCCACTACCACTGCTGAACCTCCTGTGCGTATATGTCTGCGATCATACATTTTAGTGTCACCTGTTAAGATTTGTTTCTATATTGATATTATGAACTATGTTTTCTCAGTCAATACAGGAGGTTTCCTGCACTTTAGACCCCATCCCCAGCTCATGTTGAAATCTGTTCATTGCAGTCCATGTCTGGATTGAAAAAGAAGGGGATACGGAATGTGTTTGCAAAGGCCTAAAATCCTAGTTCATGCCTCTTTAATATGCACTCATCATTCCTTGCTGGGATCTTTACAGGTTATTACGTGACAGTGTTACTCTTTTTCAGAGCCTTTTCCTATTTTATTTTAGAGCAGGGAAAATGGAGTTCATGAAAGTGAAAGGAAACATATTTTCCTCCTTGCCCAGTTATGATCTTCTGCTGCACCACAGTGCCACCTAGAGGTTATGTAGCAGAAGTGCAATGAAGGAAAACCTCTTTGTGTAGAGCCTGGAAGTCAATTCTGCAGCAAAATGGAGAACAGCTACAGATGGCTAATGGCCCTGTGTAGGAAAGCTTCTAGCTTCTCAGAACCCCAAAGCTGGAGAAGATGACGGAGGTGTGGCCTTATGTTCAGCCAGCCACAGCCCTGCCCTGGCGGGTACATACCAACGCAAGCAGGCACGGAGGAGTTCCACTGGGCGAGTGCTCCAGGCATTGTCAGGCACTCGATACTGCGGGATCCCTGGAGGGCATAACCAGCACTGCACTCGAAGAGAATCACAGCGCCTACGGAGAAATCACTTCCTATCCGCCTGCCATACCGGGGTTCCGGCACAGAGCTGCACTGCGTGGCACTCGTTCGTGGAACCGCTTCAAAAGAGGTAGAGAAAAGTGTTATTCAGGGACTCGGATGAGAAACACCTCAATGCAGGCTCCTTTTATGGCGGAGTGTTAGCTGCCATACTCTGGCATGGGCCTCTGCAGTGTGCATGAGATCAAATGCAGGACACAGGCTCAAGAGATGCAGGAAAATGAGAAAGGATCCGGTGTGGGGGAACCAAAATGATCCAGGGTTTGGAAACACTGCCCTATGAGGAGAGAATGAGAGAACTGGGCATGTTCCACCTTCAGGAGAGAAGACTGAGGAGAGACATGATACCCCTCTATAAGGACCTCAAAGGCTGTCCCAAAGAGGAAGGTCAAGATCTCTTCTTGCTAATGCCAGAGTGTAGGACAAGGAATAATCAATTCAAGCTGCAGCAACCCAGGATCAGGTTAGATATTAGGAAAAGCTTCCTCACTGCTAGAGCAATAAGAGAGCAGAACCATCTGCCTGGAGAGGTGGTGGGCTCTCCCATGCTGGAGACATTCAAAAAGGAACTGGACAGCCCTCTGAGTGGGATGGTGTAATGTGGTGTCCTGCAACAGCAGGGGCTGGACCTGATGGCCTTCCTGGCCCCTTTCAACTCTCCTCTTCTAGGATTCTACGATTCTGTCAAGAGGGGAGTAATGGTCCCCAGGCAAAGGCAAACAGGTCTTTGCTGCGTGGAGGCTTTTGCAGAGATTGCTGAATGCCCAGTGCGACTCGCGCACATGGGAGTCGGCCGAGGAGGAGGAGCACGAAGTGACTGTTCTTCCAGAGAAAGCCAGAAAGGCTGCCTTGTGGGGGGGGGGGGG